AAGTCCGTGATCGTCCAGACAACAGTATTCCCATTGCTTTCTGGTAATTCCACTATAAAATCCATGGCTATTTCTCTCCAGGGGGCTGAGGGATTTGCCACTGTTTGTAACAGTCCTGGCGATTTCCCTTGCAACCTCTTTGCAGTTGCACACTTTGGGCAACTGACGACGTAACTTTCTATGTCCTTTTTTATGGATGGCCACCAAAATTGTCGTTTAATTAAGTGTAATGTTTTTACAAATCCAAAATGCCCTGCTGATTTTGTGTCATGGCAAAGCTGCATGAATGTGACTCTTTGGGTTGTTGGTATATATAACTTTTCCCCCACCCAAGGCAGCCTATCTCTCATTGTGCACACATTTTTGTTTTTCTGGAACCATTCATCTGTTTCCAAACTTTTCTGGAATTCAATTCCGGTTTGGCTGCCCAGCTCTGGTGGTTACTGCTGCTGCCAGTTGTGATTCTACCATCGGTAGAATCGGTAGCACCCCGTGGGGCAGTTAAATGCGGTCTTCCATTCATCCCCTTCCTTAATTCTCACGCGATAGTAAGCTTCCCTTAGGTCTAGTTTAGAAAAATTTCCCTTTCGATAGGTGTGACAACATGTCTTTCATGAGGGGCAGCGGGTATAGGTTGCTTTCACTGATTGTATTCAGGGCCCTATAATCCACGCATAAACGTAAAGAGCCATCCTTCTTCTCTCTAAAAAGGACCTGGGCAGCCACTTTAGGCATGGCTGGCTCAATGAAACCTCTCTCTAGGTTTTTTTTTTATGAATCTTTCCATTTCCTCCTTCTCCTTTGGGCTCATGGAGTATAATCTGGGCTTCGGGAGTTTGGGCCCAGGCTTGAATTCAATGGCACAGTCGGGGGGGAGGAGCTCATCCGCCCTCTCCTCACTGAAAACTTCAGAAGGTTTCTGTACTCCTCTGGTATTTCTGGTAGTCCCTTTTCCTCTCCCATGGATGCTTTTTCTATTCTTGATTCTGGTAGCCCCCCTTGGGATTTTAAGTCCATAGGGTCCCCCTTTGGGAATTTGATTTCTGCTGTCCTCCAATTCACCCAGGGGTTCCATTTTTTTAACCATTCCATCCCTAGGATCATCGGGCATTCCATGCCTGGGGCCACTACAAACGTTATGTCTTCCTCATGTTTGCCAAGGGAGAGGTGTATTGGTAAAGTGGCTAGGGTAGCTGGCACCCCCCCTGCTATGACCCATCTAACTGGCCAAATGAGTTTGGTTGTTCCAGTCTCCTTGACGGAATGCCCAGATTCCCCACTAGTGTCAGGCTAATGAGGCAGCGGGTGCAGCCAGAGTCTGCACCTTCACGGCTTCGGACATGGGGGGAATTAATATAGTCACTGTCTTGAGGATGGGTGCGATGCGTCCACTTATCAGGGGTTCGCTTTCCGAGCTGTCGTCTGAGGTGTCCACCGGCTCTGCGGTGTAGGCTGGAGTTCTTTCCCCCTGATGAGCAGAGGTGGGGGATTCCACAGCCTCCAACATTCTCATGGTCGTTTCTTTTGGCTTAGCTGAAGACTTTCCGGATTTGCTGGCCGGTGATCTGTCTGGGTTGTGCTGGGGGGCTTTGGAGCGGCATTCTACAGCCCGATGCCCTTCTCTCCCGCACTTGAAACACCCCATTTGCTTCTTGGTCGTCGCCAATGGTTTCACTGGTTCACATGTCAACCCAGGCAGCGAGCGGCTCCATTGTTTTCCTCAGCGGTACCTCTTCAGTATGTCGATTTCGCTTCCTCTGCCAAGACATACCATTCCTCAAGTTGGTGTGGGGCCCCTCGGGGCAGGCAAGCATCATATAGGTCATAATTTAGTCCGTCTTTGAAATGGCTAAGGCGGATGTCTTCTGGCCAGTTCAGTTTGCTGGCAATGGCCTGGAATTCTAGCGTATATTCGGCTAGTGGGCGTTTGCCTTGCCTCATCGTTTTTATCCTTTCGCGGGCTTTGCGATCAGCCAGGGGGTCCTCAAATTGCCTTCTCAGAGAGGATATGAAACGGTTGAAGTCGTTGAGCTCTGGGGCATTGGAGTTATGCAAGTTCACCACCCAGTCTGCGGACGGCCGGCAGATCCGGATATAGGCTTTGTCACTGGGGATGTGCCGCCTGTATTCCTCCATGTAGCTGAGGACTTGGGTTAGGAAAAATCCCAAGCATGTTGGCTCCCCCTTGAATCTCACGTCCAGTGGCGGGAGTCTTTGGGGGGACTGGTGCCTTCGTTGTCGGTGGTAGTGTCTTCCATCCAGATCGCCATCTGCGGGTCGGCGGGGAATGGGGGCTACTGGATCAGCAGATGTCCCCAGGGCTGCAGGTTCCACTTCCCCCTCGGTGTCTCTCCTTTTGCGGCTCCGGAAGCTGGGGCGGCCGTAGGGCTCAGAATTCTCCTCTCCTAGGGAGCTGAGAGTTCTCTTCATCAGGTCGATAGCTTTCTCTAGGATCCAGTCTGAGTACGGTGCCCAGCTTTCTCCCTCTTCACTTGCGTGCAGGGATATCTCCATCTCCTGCTTCCATTCTGGTTGGTTGCCCCCCCCAATCTCAGGGTCACCTTTCTTGATTTCTTTTCCCATTCGCCTTTCTTTCCAATGCCCATTGACCACCGAGGTTTGTGGTCCTGTGTCTCCACCATCTTTTCTCCTGAGGAATCTGACCTCTCAGATCCCAACATCTGGCAGGGTTTCAGTTGGGACAGCGGCTCCCTTCTTGGAGAGTTTTCTCCCTTCCCTGCTCCATTGTCTGACATGGTAATTTTTGCAAAGGTCCCCGGCAAGGTTCTCCCTTCCAGGTGGACTAATTCTGCAAGTCCTGTCTAATGTAAGGACCCACCCCACTTTACATCTTAAGAAGACAGAACTCTTGGAATATTTCTTCCAACAGGCATCTTTATTAAGAGAAAATGGTTGCAGGCGTTCTAGACAGGAGTTGGGGGCCAAGCTCTATGGTTCAAGGTTTTAAGGGGTTCCCAGCAACCCCACCCCACCCCACCATCCTTCCAGTGACAATCCCAGGCATTACATTTCCACCCCCTTTTCCTCACTGCCGGGGAAGGGAGACTTCAGAGAGGAGCAGATGAAAGCTGATGGCCCCATTGTTATGGTTAGTCAATCCCCTTTGAAGCTGTAGTGAAGGAAGTGAGGGCCATAAAGCCCCTTTGTTCACCTCCCTTCATCATATGACAGAATCCAGAGAGGGCAGAAATGGGGTTTTCCATAGTCGATAACTAGAGATGAAATATAATTGGATTCTGACATCCTCCTCATCGCTGTCCGCTGTGGGAGCATAAACTTGTATAACATTCATATTTACTGGAGTACTATTTATTTGGATCATTATCACTCTATCGGATACAGGAATAAAGGACTTGATGCATTTATTTACACGATTGTTTACAATTATAGCTACTCCATTTTGATGGTGTTTGCTATTCTCACCAGAGTAGTAGATAGTATAATTTCCTATTCTACACATTCCATTTTCAGGCCAGTGCATTTCACTCACTCCCAATATAGAGATATTGTATTTGGACGTTTCTTGGATAGTGATGTGTGTTTTCCCAGCTTTGTATAGGCTTCTCAGATTCCACATACCAATTCGTAGTTTTGGGTTTATCATGCTTCTAGACCAGGGCTTTTCAACCTTTTCACCCATTGTACCACTTTTAGGATATTGCAATATTCGAGTACCACCAGTTGCCTAACAAGGGGTCAAAAACGTGATGACAAAAAAAGGGGGAAAAAAAAGGAAAAAAGTGATAAAGTACAGGTAGTCCTTGACTTACAACAGTTTGTTTATTGACTGTTCAAAGTTACAATGGCACTGAAAAAAGTGCCCCCCAAGCCACAGCCGAGCAAGACACCTGCCTGCCCGCCCGGCAGCGCTCTTCCTCCTGTCCAAGGTTTTCATTGTTGTGACCATTTCTGTTGAGGATTGGCAGTGGGGGGGGGTTGGTTTTTATGCTGGGTGGTTGCAGCAGGTTTTGGTCACTTCACATGACCCTGGGACACTGTGACCGTCATAAATATGAATCAGTTGCCAAGCATCTGAATGTAAATCACAAGACCCTGGAGATGCTGCAACATTCCAGCTGATTGGTGCTTCTGGGCTCGGCAGAAGCGCCAGGATCAGTGCCGAGCTCCAGCTGGAGCCTGGCGCTGATCCTGGCGCTTCCGCTCAGCCCTGACAGCCCTGCAGCTCCAGCCATCTCTCGCTCAGGCTTGTGCGGTGCTGCCACCATTCAGCTTATTCCCCTCCCCCGCTACCACTTTTCTAGCGCCCATACTCGTGGCCATTGTTAGGTTTTGCCGCCATTAACATGATTTTCCTGGGAAATAATATAGTGTAGTAGTCTTCCCTTTGCTTTCTACACCGCTGTGCACACGCTGTTCTTCTGAATCCGTTCCAACCAATATGGACTCCGCCTTCAGTCGACTGTGGAGCCAGCTGCCACTCACCAGGCCTGTTGGTCCACGGGAGGTATTTGATTCCCTCCAACCCACCATTACAGTATAAAGCCATAATGGGTAAGGCCCCCCAATCTGCCACCCAGGGACGCGCTCTGGGGGGTTCCAGGCTCTCCCTAAGAGCTGGGCTGTGTAGCTGTGATTAATCTCGGGGGCACTGAAGTTCGGCTTCTTCGTGTAAAATCTGCCACAGACAGTGTAGACGTTGTGTATCTTCCACAGGAGTTTTTTTTGATAGTGAAATGAAGAGGGCCAGTTCTCTGCCTGGGGCAACTGAAGCACTTCCCGTACCTTTACGGGAGACGTGGGTCAAAGTCCCAAGAGTTGAGAAAAGTTGCCAAGGGGATCAGGACCCTCTGTGGCCAGGGACGGGTTAAACTGCCCGGCCCTTCTTGGTTCATGCGAAGGCTTCTGCTCTTCTCCCCTCTGCTCCGTCTCTGGCCGACCGTGTCTGGGGCTTCCAGCCCCTGGGCTGCCAATCCCACCTCAAGGGGCCTTCCCCCGGTGCTGCTTCTCCCTCCTTCCAGGTGTGGCCCTGCTGTCGGATGCCTTCCCGCAGGATGTCCTGCCCCTCCTGCTGACCCAGTACACGAGTGCCCCGATGCCGGAGACCAGGATGAAGGTGGGGGAGGCGCTGCTCCGCACCACGCGAGCCCTGGGTGAGTGGGTCTTCCGGGATGGCCCTGCAGGGGCCGGGCGGTGGGCAGGTGTTCTTGGCCAGAAAGGCCGGGGCAGGAAGGAGGCTTTCTCCCTGGGGTCAATGGCCTCGTGGCCCCCAGTAGCCCCCTCTCCATTTTGAGGGAAGGCTGGAGAGCTTTGGGAAGCCCTTTTAAGTGCCGGCCGGGACACCCGTCTCTCCCAGGGCTGAGTATTCTCCAGCATGATAGATGTAGCCTCCACCGATTGGGTAATCAAAGCCCTCCTGCTCAGATTTAGACTAAGACCAAACTTTAGCCACGCCTCCCTTGGGTGCTCCTTTCCCAGTTTTGTCTTAGTCTATGCTCAGAGAGGACACAGTTTTGTTAGCTCCTCAGCAATTGTCAGTTTAAATAGCTTCCTGTAGTGTACTCTTTACATAATTTTTGTTTTTTTAGTAAAGGATAGTGAATTAGCAACCTTGGAGAGTTGCTTTCCAGAGGGCCTAATTGGCCTCGTGGATCCTCGGAGCTTTGCCACTGAGGCATTTTTCAGCTCAGAGTATCTGTTCAGCACACCGAGGGAGGCTTCCCTTGTGTCTGATAACAATTTTTATTGCCAGCGTTTCTGGAGAATTCAGCCGATTACCAGAGCTTCTCTCTTGCCTCGTGGCCACGAGGCTCTATCCAGGATCGCACAGAGACTCCCCCAGGCTGCAGAATCGCAAGTAGTTTGTGGTGCCTTATAGCTGTAAGGGGGGAAGTGTGTGTAAGGTTCCATCCGTCCTTTTGCCTGCCTGAACGGGGACTTCAAAGACGAGGCTGGAGAAGCTGTCTTACAACTCTGACTAAGAGGAGAGGCCATTTTTAGGCACAAAGAAGACCTGCGGCAGCCATTTAGAATTTGGTGCTGGGCGTGGTCGCCATTTTAAGGTTGCTGTTTGCCTCCAATTCAGGCCTAGCATTAGTGACTCACTGCGTTGGGTCCTCTTGGGGGTTTAGCTGTTGTTTTTTCGACGCATTGCTTCTCAGAGATTTATTACAAAAGTAAAATAAAATAAGATAAAATAAAATAAAAATAATAATAACAATAATAACACCTTACCTACAGTGGCAAGAATTTATTTGGCCAAATCCTAGAGCCGTACCTGGTTGAAGGGAAGGATAAGAGAAAAACCTTAGCTCATCCGTCCAAGAAGACGGATAGGAGACCTCAACAAGAATTTCGCAGGCAGTCCTTCAGGGCCGGAGGTTCTTGGGAATGGAGGCAGCCCTTTCGATCAGGGCAGTCCTGGGATTGGCCCAGAGGTTCCCGATCCTTCTCCCCCAGACAGGATCGCCAACAGGACCGCCAGAATTCAGGAGCCAGGGGTCAGTTCCAGACCAAGCGACCCTTCAGGGGGGCGGGAGGCCGTCCATTCCTAAGGTCTAAGTGACGCCAGATTGGACCCTCCCATAGGCGGACGCTTAACCCTGTTCAGCGACACTTGGGAGGTCACCACAGACGATACCTGGGTGAGAGAGACCATAAGATTCGGTCTAGCCCTAGAACTAAAGTCCATACCACCAGACCGTTTCCTTCAGTGCCCCGCCTCAAGACACGCACACAAGGCCGAACTAGTAGACACAGCAATATCACACTTATTAGAAATAAGAGCCATAGAATCAGTTCCTCCGGAACAAAAAGGAAAGGGGTTCTACTCCATTCTCTTCGTGGTTCCCAAGCCCTCAGGGGGATGGAGACGATATTAGATCTAAAGGGACTCAACCGCTTCCTAATCTACAGGAAGTTCAAAATGCAGTCCCTCAGGTCCATTCTAGCAAGTGTCAGGAAGGGAGATTACCTCTCCTCCATAGACCTGACAGAAGCCTACCTTCATGTTCCTATCAGACCACATCACCGCAGATTCCTCCGCTTCTGCCATGCAAACAGACATTATCAGTACAGGGCACTTCCCTTCGGTCTATCCTCGGCACCACGGGTATTCACAAAGATACTGGCAGTATTAGCAGCATATCTCAGATTAATACCGGTAAGAGTACAATGTTACCTGGACGATATAATCATCCAGTCCAGTTCATTCCACACTGCTCTACTAGATCTACAGACCACAATAGAGACACTTCAGAGACACGGCTTCTCAGTAAATTTCAAGAAGAGCCACACCACCCCTACCACTCGGATCTTGCATCTAGGGGCGGTGAGAGATTCAGACCAATGCAAGGTCTACCTCTCCCAGGAACGCAGGGACGGGATCAGATCCTTAGTTCGCAGGATCCAGAGAGAGAAGGTAGTTCCCCTTGTCCAGTTGTCACAGCTGTTGGGGAAGATGATTTCTTGCCTAGGAATAGTGCCGTGGGCCAGTCTTCATTCCAGACATCTACAATGGTTCCTGCTTCCCTTCCAGAAGCGGAACATGAGTGCCTCCACACGGAAGGTGAGAGTTCCGTACCACACTATACAGTCACTCAGATGGTGGGGGTCACCAGCCATACACAAGGGGACATTCTTCAAGGAGCCTCACAGACTTATCCTGACCACGGACGCCAGTCTGTTCGGTTGGGGAGCGCACATGCAGACACATATGGCTCAGGGTCAATGGTCCAAGCATGACCTCACGCACAATATAAATTGGCTAGAACTCAGGGCAATACACCTGGCTCTTTGCCAGTTCTCCAACATAGTGAAGGGGAATCATGTCCTGGTAATGACGGACAATGTCGCAGCCAAGGCTCATATCAACAGACAGGGAGGGACCAAATCTTGGTCCCTCATGCAGGAGGCCCTAGCATTGGGTCTGTGGGCAGAATCCCATCTGAAATCCATCAGAGCAGAACACATTTCCGGGGAGGAGAATCGTCAGGCAGATTCTCTAAGCAGGGAGACGATAGACCACTCGGAGTGGCGATTGGAACCGAACCTCTTCAGGGAAATATCGGAGAGGTTCGGGCAGCCTCAGGTAGACCTGTTTGCTTCGCCAGCAAATGCTCAGCTTCCCAGGTATTTCACGCGGTTTCCGTCATGGGGGGGCGGAGGGAACGGACGCGCTATGCAGCAGATGGCCCAAGGGACTTCTGTATGCCTTCCCTCCACTTCCCCTGATTCCAGCTGTCATCAGGAAACTCCTATTAGAGGGGGCAGAATTAATCTTGCTGGTCCCACATTGGCCAAGGCGTCCTTGGTTTGCAGATCTCATGGACCTATCGATCTCCCCACCTTGGAAGATTCCAGCAGATCGCATCTCCCTCAGTCAGGGTCAGCTCCAACATCCGGACCCGCAGTGGCTTCAACTAGCCGCTTGGCACTTGAAAGGGAGAGCTTAATTAGACAGTCCTATTCGACTGGCGTCATTGCTATAATTCAAGCCTCCAGACGTCCCTCCACTAACAGGATCTACGATGCCACGTGGAAAGGTTTCTGTGCATGGTGTAACACCAGGAGGGTCAACCCACTGGCTACCACCATTCCGATATTATTGGACTACCTTTTAGACGGACTAAACAGGGGACTGTCTCACAATACCATCCGTAGGCAGATCGCAGCATTATCCACGGTCCTCATTTGCGAGGATCAGGTACAGCTATCTCATCATCCAGCTGTTACGGCCTTCCTTAAGGGAGCCGTTAATACAGGTCCCCCTGTAGTACACAGATATCTCACATGGGACCTGCCAAGGGTTCTGCAGGTTCTTACCAGTTCACCATTTGAACCCATCAGATCTTGTTCACTACACTTCCTTTCATTGAAAGTAGCCTTTTTGATAGCCATCACCTCAGCAAGACGCATCTCGGAACTTGCTGCACTCTCGATCAGGGAGGATCTTTGTGTTTTTCTGGATGACAGAGTGATCCTAAAATTGGACCCTTCTTTCATTCCGAAAGTCAATACTAGCTTCCACAGGTATCAAGATCTGATTCTTCCGGACTTTTGTCCGCGACCTTCTCACCGTCTTGAAAGATTGTGGCATACATTAGACGTACGCAGGGCTTTGCATCACTATGTGAAGCGAACTGCTGCATTTCGTAGATCGGAGGCCTTGTTTGTGTCTTTCCAACCTTCTTCCATGGGTCTGAAAGTATCATCCTCGACCATTGGTAGATGGATTAGGGCCTGCATCTCTCACGCTTACAGGACTCAGTCTCTTCCTGTTCCTCCTCGCATCACTGCTCATTCTACACGTAGCGCTGCTACATCTGCGGCCTGGTCCACTCAGGCCTCGATTGAGGAAATTTGCAGGGCAGCCACCTGGGCTTCCCCCTCTTCATTTATAAGGCATTACAAGCTGGATAAATTCGCTGCCTCAGACGCATCCTTCGGCAGAAGGGTTCTGCAGCAGGTAGTCTCTACGCATGAGCCACAAGCCTAGACTTCCCTCCCGACAGGGACACGGGTGGCTTTGGTATGTCCCAATCGGTGGAGGCTACATCTATCATGCTGGAGAAGGGGCGTTGTCTTACCTGAACGCCTTTTCTCAGCATGAAGATGTAGCATCCACACCCACCCTTAACACTTAGTCTAGGCAGATTTTTTTCAGGAGGAGCTACTGTGTCGGACCTAATGAATGCTTCGCCTCGACAAAACTGGGAAAGGAGCAGCCCAAGGGAGGCGTGGCTAAAGTTTGGTCTTAGTCTAAATCTGAGCAGGAGGGCTTTGATTACCCAATCGGTGGATGCTACATCTTCATGCTGAGAAAAGGCGTTCAGGTAAGACAACGCCCCTTCCCTCTGGGCGGCTGAAAGAGCTGCTGATGGGAAGCGGGGCTGCTCTCATGGCCCCAAAAGTGTTCTCCTTGGCCTTGGCACCGTGCATGCGACTGAGTGGGCCTGTTTGGTGACCTCCCCTCTTTATGCCTGGAGACCCGGGGGAGGGGCAGAATGGGCCTCTGCCTTCTGCGGGAACTGCCTGTAGTTCAGGAAGGGGGACGTCCGCCTCCTCAGGTCCCTGAACCGGATTTGGCATCCAGCGTTGCAAATTAAGCCAATTTGGCCATAGCGCCACAGAAAACGGGGGCTGAAAGGGCTCTGTGAGGCCATAGAGTCTGACCCCTCCTGCCATGCTCAGTGCAAGAGTCTAAATTAAAGCCTCCTTGCCTCCTGCAGTGAAGGTAGCCAGCTCCTCTTTCAGGCCTCTGGTTCCATGAATGAATCACTTCCTTTCTCTGCGTTGTGTTTGATCCCCAGGAGGGTTTGGGGCTTCTGGCTTTCCCAATAAATGAACAGCCTGGAACAGCCTGCCTGTTTCCTGTGTGTTGCAAGTGCCTTCCTGGCCTTCGGCCACCTTGCCAGCTTGGCTGCTTCCTCCAAGACAGAAGCTGAGCGAGGGCTTGTCTGGGCTTGAGTCCTCTTCCTCCCGTTTTGTGCTGCCCGGTTTTGAATGGCTCGTCCCGAGGGCCCCCCTCGATCTTCACTGCGACCAGCTCAGCAGGGCTGTTCTTATCCACCTGGCATAGCCCAGACGTGTTGCCTCCTGCCCCCCCCCCATTGCCTGAGCATGTGGCATCCCCCCTCACCAATGCCCATCCCTCACCCAGTCTAATTGCCTTCTGTGGATGTGGAGCCTAATTCCTCCTTAAGCTCCCATCTGGCCCAGATGTTTCCCCATCTGCATCTTCCACCCACTGTCTGGCACCTCTGGGCCCCCAGGACCAGGCCTGGGCTCCGTACAGCAGCAGCAGGTGGTTGCCACTGTGGGCAACGTGTCTCCTGGCTCTCAGACTGCTTGGGTAAAGGGAGTCCACACATTACGGACCCTCCCCAACTTGAGAAGCCCCCGGGTTCGTCCCGTGTGCCTTTTCCTGGGCCAGAACAATGGACCATTCCCTCTCTCAGCCCCCCCCCCCAGCCCCATCTTCCCTGCCAAGAGAAATGACCCCTTGGCATTTCTTGCTCTTTGGGTCCCATGGCTGGTTTTGCTTTGGTGGTGGGGTCTCCCTCCCCATAGTTGCTCCTTCAGCTTATGGGCAGCCTTTGGAAGCAGCGGGGGTCTCTTGTCCGCTTCCTCTCCCCTCAGTCTACGTTCCCTTCCTCCCAAAAATATTTTGTTCTTACCCCTGAAAATGGGAACTCAGCTAAGGTGCACGTGCACACACGCACACACACACACACACACATCCCTCTGCTGGAAGTCCTCTTGGCTCCCTGAACTGCTGCTGGCAGCGAGCCCTGTCTTACAGATAATCCCCTAATTGCTGCCTGTGTGCTGGGCGCTGGTCTCCTGCCGTCTCTGTTGGGGGTGAGGGTCTGCCTCTCTGGGAGTCTCCTGACTGCTCTGCCCAGCTTCCCTGCTCTTATTCTCCACACAGCTCCTCAGCCCTGGGAGTCAGCTGAGCTCAAACTGCCGTCTGGGCTGCAGTGCTCCTCGCTTGCAGGTGTGCCTCAGGCGCAACTGGCAGCTTGGCCCCTGTTGCAGGCACGGGTTAAGCCTGGTAATTGTGCCCTACTTTTCAGGGCTGCAGAGCTGTTTTGGGGTCTGCCTCGTGTTCTCAATGACCCCCCTTTCTTTGTTATGGCGCCGTCCTGGATGTGGAAGACCCTGGGGCTGGCTGCGTTCTGCTTCTGCTTGAGGGGAAGTCAATAGACAGCCATCTTGCTCAGCTGGGCTACAGGGAGACTGGCCTCGAGGCAGTGGCGTTTGGATGGAGGATCTGGGGTCCTACCAATGCCTTCCTTCCCCAGATGGTGGTGAGGAAGGGCATTCAGTCTCCGCTCCAAGGAGAGCCCTTCTACCGGCCCTCAGAGGGACAAGCCTTGGGCCAAAATTGTCCTCATTTGGGAACAGCTGTGGGTGGGCATCGGCCCCTCTGCTTTGTAATTCCTGATCTTGGCAGGGACCCCACCTTTCCACAAAAGAGTCAAGAACGTGTGGAGAGGGAGAGAGAGAGACTGCTTGGTAGCCATGGGACCCCCTGTTGTTGCAGATCTTTTTGCCCCGTGGCAGAGAAGCTGCCTGGATAGGCCCCCCGCCACCTTTGTGATGGTGTGCAAAGTTAGAGTCTAAAATTTGTTCATGGCGGCATGGACCCCGCGAGGACAGGTGCACAGGCAAGTGAGCTTCTCGCTGCTCCTCTGCAACGGGGAGCAGCACCAGCGCATCCATCGTGGCCAGAAATTGCTTCCTGCAAGCCACGGAAGGTGAAGGACAAGGCACTCTGTCACTATTGAAGGTTTTTACATGCGGGGCTGAGTGGAAACTCATTAAATCTCCCCTTCTTTGGGGATGCCCTTCTCTGAGTTGCTTCGCAGGGAGAGAACAACCTGTGATTTGGGAGGCAAGAACCGTAATTATTGGTGCCTTCCAGCAGTTTCAGAGACTCAAGAAGATGTTCCTGGCGCCTGGTCCTTGGCTTGGGGGTGCAAGTTAATTTCATCCCATTAAGGGGGGGAAGACAGCTGGTGCTTGAGGCTGAAGCTGGTTTTAGCCTCTGTGCTGGTTGGATTATTTTATCTGAGCAATTTACCGATTGTGCCCTGCTGGCTCAGGAAAGAGAACTGAAGCCCGCTTTGCCCAAGAGGTGTCATTGCGGGAAGTGTGTCTGCTACATGGGAGGAGTTGCCTAGCAACAGCCACTCATGGTGTTGGGGTCCCCGTGAGCAGCTCCTCCATCAATGTTTTCCTTCCCCCGCCAAGGACTGAGGCCAACGGGGCCCCTAAATAAAGCAACCCCGGAGAAGGCACAGAGGCTTTAAAAAGCCGGGGGGGGGGGACATTGGCCTACAGTGCAAATCACAGCACGGAGGGTGCTCTTCTTTGCCTCCCAGGCCGGGGAGGCGTGAGCCCCATTGGAGGGGTCATGCCTGCTCACAGACCCGCTGCCTCCTGGCTCATCTTGAGCTGGTCCCTGTCCCTCCGGCTGTGGCCCTTCCCCAGCTGGCTGCTCAGCCGTGCCCAGCCTTGCCCCACCAATCAGCTGCACCCCTTTGCAGGTCCCTTCTTACAGCCAAGAGCAAGTGCTGCTTCCATCACCCGGCCCTTCTTTTTCCTCTTCCTTGCAGGAGATCTGGTCTTCCAGCATCGAGACACACTGATCCATGCTTTCCTGCGAGGAGTCCGAGATCCTGACGGCTCCCTCAGAGCCAGCAGCCTGTCCAACCTGGGAGAGTTGTGCCAGATCCTTGGTTTTCAGCTAGGCTTCGTGGTCCATGAGGTACCTGCCCCATTTTCTCTTCCCACACTGGCTGCTACTCCCGCTGGAGCCTTGCAGCCCTCGGGGTGCTGCAATTGGGGGTTTTCTGGGTCCCAGTGGATCTTCCTGGTCCTGCCTTGCCTTTCTAGAGATGCCACTAAGTAGCAGCAGCAGCAGCCCAAGTTTGTGAGGATCGTGCCCCTCCTCCCAGTGATTGAACACTTCATGGTCTCAAGTGTCGGTCACAGTCCTTTGCTTCGGCCAGAGACACTAGCCAGGGCCGGCCATCAAATGCAGGAGTGGGGGGAACATCTGTGGTAACAGCCTGAGGAGTCTTTTTTTCCCAGCCTCCTTTCTCAAACGAGAACCAAACACCAAAACCAAACATCTTTCCGAGCAGGGGCTGCTTGCGCAGACGGATCCGGCTGGCTCTGAGGCCGAGGGGCCGTCCTTTGCTGCCAGAGCACTCGCATTTCCCAGTCGTCACAGGTGACAGATCCAGGCAGGGAAGCCCGTGCGTGTCTGATGCTGTACTTGGGAGCCACCAGTGTTGGCAGGGTCTTTGGGGGCATCTCCCCTGTCAGAGCAGCAGCTCCTGGCCGTGGCTCATCTAGCCTGCAGCAGGAGACGCCTGGCACGCTCAGAGGCTCCGCCAAGATGCAGGAGAGCCCAGGCTGCATTTTATGCCAGCTTGCCGATTCCGAGCAACTCGTTCCTCTGCTCCTTGCTGAAGAGCCAGCAAAGATTCAAAATCACTCTTCTAAGCTAAAAGGGGAATAGAGGAAAGCTACACTTTACACATTTGAGTTTGTGCACGCATGTGTGTGTTCAAACTGGCCCTGGCCCTCCACTTTTACCAAAGCCACTCTGATACTGGGATGTGGTCTGCCCTGGCAACCCCTCTCGGGCAGAAACACCCTCCTGTCATTCTGGCTGCAAGAAAAGGGCTGCAGGAGAGGAGCTGAAAGGTACAAGGGAATACAATGGAACTTGTTCAAGGTCTACTTTGTGATGTTAAAGCTGTGGCAGCCTGTGTGCTGCGGATGCTTTTGTGGCAGCCAAGCCCTGAAGGAGTGTTCTGTTGTGGCTGGGCCTTTTGGCAAGGCTGCCCTGGTCCTCCAGCACAGGGGCAGGAGGTGCAACTTTCCAGCCACGGCTGTGCAGCTGAGGGCTGTTTCTGGCGCTGCAGCAGGCCAGGTGCCAGCTGACTCAGCAGAAGCTCCTGCTGCTGCTGCAGTGTGTGGAGAAGGCAGACTGTCCTTGAGCCCCAGGCAGGAAAGATGCAGCTTGGGGGGGAGGGGTGTGGAAGTCATGCTCCTCTGGCTCCCCTTGCTCCCTCCTTGCAGATCTGGCCCTGGGACCAAACCAGCAGAGCATGCCGGGGGGTGGGGGGGGGCAGCGAAGTTCTGCAGCTGCTGCGACCCAGTAGGATCCACCAGGATCACGACTTGGTCCAGATCTCTGCTGGGGATTAAGTCAGCCCTCAGGGCCCTCGAGGGATCCAGAGATTAGTGTCTACCTTTTCTTAAGGCAAAGGAAGACCAGCTTTCAGCTCTTCACTCCCCTCTGGCACCTCCCACTCTGCCTTCCTTAGCAAGGTCTGGAGTGCTCTGAGAGGCCCTGCCTTTCTCTCTGACAGCTGGCGTCCTGCTTAGCAGCTGTGGTCAAAACCGACCATGAAGCTGAGGTCCGTAGAGCCGGGGTCCATGTGGTGGTGCTTCTCCTGCGGGGGCTCAGCACAAAGGCGGTGGAGGTGAGTCTCTTCCTCCTGAGCAGGCCAGAGGCTACCTGCCCACGCTGCCCTCCTGCCTCTGGTCCCTGCAACGGGCAGCTCTTCTGATGGCCGAAGGAAGATGCAAGAGGCTGGGAGTTCTGGGGGGGGGAGGTATTCCTACCCTTTTGAGTCTATCCCAGAGGGGATCCAAGGAGAGCAGGAGAAGGAAGGGGAAGGGGACTTGCTTACCGCTAACCAGCCCTTGACCGCCAGCCATTCCAGGCTCTGCCTTCACTGCTAGCTGGGCCCAGGGCAGGCACTTCAGCAGCTCTGGGGCAGCCTCTCCCTGCCCCGCCCCACTGGCTGGTCCCTTGGCAGGGCTTCCCTGTAGAGGGAGAGGAGGCTGGCCGTGTCCTCCTGTCAGCAGGCCTTTTCTCCCGTGGCCAGGCTTGGAGGAAAGGAGGCCCTCTGGACATGCTTCAGAGCTGCCTGAATTCCTGGAGGAAAGACCAGGAGAGCATTCTGCCCTTGGGGGGGCATGAGTCTGCTTCCTTTTTTATAACAAACTAGCTTCTCCCAGTCCCTCAGAAGAGCTGCTTTGTTCAAAGTGTTCACCTTAACAATCCTGGTCAGTTGCGCTTTGTTGCATCCATCCCTGGTACCAGGAAGTGCCACAGAAGAGCTGGGTTTGCCCAGCCTGGCATTTACGGGCAGGAGATCATTACTTTCTTGGAACTGGCCCAGAGTAGTTTGTCTACACCTTTCCTCCAGAAAGGTGTGTAAGATTCATTAGTGCAATGCTGGCCTTGAAAAAATCAGGAGAAGGTGAGTTCTAGTCCTGCCTTAGGCGTGAAAGCCGGCTGGGTGACTTTGAGCCAGTCGCTCTTTCAGCCCAACCCACCTCAAGAGTTGCTGTTGTGGGTGAAATTGGAGGAGGTAATTTCCCCTCTTCATATATTTTAGAAAGGTGGAATAAAACTCTAACCCTGCCAACTCTGCTATTTTTCTGAAAACTTGTGATTTCTGCTCCCCTTTCCAGGTTCTCCACGATGTCCTGCTGGACCTCTACCGCCTGCTGAAGTTCGTGGTGCGCTGCGAGCAAGACGAGGTCACAGTGCTGCATGCTCAGCTTGCCTTGGAGGAGCTGGACGGCCTCCTCAGGCAGCTCCTCTTCCCCCCCCAGACGCTGCAGAAGAAGATTGAGATCCTGCCCTAAGGCTGCTGCTCCAGATGGCCACGGAACTCTGCCACTCAAAAGCCCTCATCTTCCGTATGAACTTTGCCCCTGTAGGGCAGACTCTGTACGAACTCAGCTTTGTCGCAGGAGGGCTCTGTCCCTTGAAGGGGATGGGAGCAGATCAACCGGGGCAATAAATTAAGCCCAGCAGTGGCATACTTGGAAAGGAGGCTGCAGAGTCCTGGGGGGGAGGGGGGCTGGCAGGAGGCTGCCAAGGTCAAATCCGAGCAGGACTGATGACACCCCCTGGCAGCCTCTGAGGGGTCCTGTGTGTCCCCAAACACTTCCTGGGCTGGCCTGTCTCATTGGCTTTTCCTGTGCTACGTGGCCAATCGTGCCAGACTTCTCACTGGGAGGGGTGTGGCCCAGAGCAGGAGTTGGGGGTCCCTGAAGGCCCCATCAGTGCAGCTCCTGCGCAGGGAAAGAGACCCTCTCGGCAGAGTCCCTGTCCCATCTAGGAATCCAGGTTTCCCCCTCCTTGGTCTCTGTTCCCCTGGGCTTTGCAGGGGCTCTCTGTGTGCTGCCCAGTGCTCCCGCCTCCATTGGCGGGAGGAAGGGGGGCCTCTGGGGTCACCACCAGCCTGGGAGGCTTTGGGAGTCCTCTGGCCCAGCCTACCTCACAGGGTTGTAATAGGGAACGGTGGCAGCTGGGAGCAGTGGAAGGGAGGAGGGGCGGTGGGGGCGTCAAGAGCAGGCCTCCCCCCCCCACCCAGCCCCCCCAGGACGGCGGAGGGTGTGGCTGGAGCCAATGTGGCCGCCGGGAGTCGCTGCGGCGGGGAGCTGTCATTGTCTGGGGAGCGCCTGCCGGCCGGTCCGCCCACACCCTCCCGGGAAAGGAGGCGGTGCCTGGGCCCGCGGCGGAGGGTCTCCGCCGGGGCTGGCGGCGCAGCGGACAGCTTCCCTCCCTCCCGGTTCCCCTGTTGCCCGCGCTGGGGCGCCTCTCCCGCTCGCTGGGCTGCTCCGGGCTCGCCGCGGCCAGCGGGGCTCGAGAGGGGCAGCCGTTCCCGGCCGAGCGCGCAGCCTCCGGAGTCTGGAAGGTAAGGCGCGCCGCTGCACAATGGAGCCGCGGAGAAAGCGGCACCTGCCCGAGCGAAAGGGGGCAAAGCGCTTTTAAGTGGCGCTTGCCTCGACTGGGCTTTGGCGGGACCGCGGGCGGCTGCCCTCACCCGGCCTCCGACCGGAGGGGCTCTTTCCACGCAGATTGCGTGAGGGTGGGGGGGCGGGTGATCGGTGCGTAGCTCGCTTGCTCGTGCGCGGCTTTGCAGCAGAAGGGAAAACTCGGGGAAAGCCCCGGACTCGCGTGGAGCTCCCGTTGCGTTCAAGAGGCTTGGAATTAGTCCGGGGTCGGGGAGAGCGGAGACAGGCGAGGCTGGGCTGCCCCAGGAGAAGCAAGTCGAGGAAGTCCCACTGAAAAGGGAGCTGGATGCGGAAGGCGCCCTGCAGCTGCGGTCGCCCCGGAACGCCCCAATACGCATTAATCGGGCTGGTTTGGTTTGGCTTCGTGCCTGAGATGAACTCGGCCGTTGTGGTTGCAACTCTGGTTTATGGTTTCGTGAATTTATGAACCCAGCCAGTGATGTAATTAATAAACCGTGGTTTAGGCTAAATCTCCTGGACTGGGTTGCGTGGAAGGGGAAGATAGAAAAAGTAAGAGCTGGAGTTGAGAAACAGCCCCAGAAAGGAAGGAAGGAAGGAAGGAAGGAAGGAAGGAAAGAAAGAAAGAAAGAAAGAAAGAAAGAAAGAAAGAAAGAAAGAAAGAAAGAAAGAAAGAAAGAAAGAAAGAAAGAAAAAGAAAGAAAGAAAGAAAAGGGAACTCTGCAAGCAGAGGAGACAGGCTGGTTCGTGAGGACCCGGAAGGAAGGAAAGGCAGAGAATGACGCTGGCACCTGTGTTGCTCCCGTGTCGGCGCGTCTTGTGCCTTTGATTTCACGGGCTTCCTATTTTACACTCTTTTCTGCACGTTTCCCTCCTGTGGAGAGGGGAGGAGGATAAGCAGCCTGTGTTTACAGCGGAAAAGGTCGGAAACGCGAGACCGTGAAGGGCACGCTCGTGTTTCAAGCCCCGGGCATCTTTCCGCCAGCAGCAGCTCTTGCGTGCGTCGGAGGGTCCTCCATTAATCGAGAGGAAACTTTAAAGAAAACATCTGAAGGTCCAATCGCCCAGGCAGAGGAGCTTCATTTCCCGGCCTCTCCCATTGCCTCGCCTGTCTGCAGCCCTCTGCCGCCTCCCGGGTGCTGTGCCAGCTCAGCAGCTCTCCCCTCTCTGCCAAAGGGACCGGAGACTCTTAACCGGAGCAGCGTGGTGAGAGTGTATTTCAAACACCTGGGTAGTAAAAAGACAAAATTAACTTTCTGGAGCCATTATAGACACCAGAAATAGACTTGGAATGAAGCAGGCTTGACTTAGCTAATTCATGGAATTATAAAGTTTATACTCTGACGATTTGTGGGGTAGGGAAACAGCATTCTTATAGGAAAGGGGTGTTTAGCAGTGGGACAATGGGGAATCCAGAAGGGCCTTTTCTGAAGCGGTTGGAACAGTGTCCCCACCAGGACTGGGAGAGACAAGAGAGAAGCCCACGGCTTGGCTTTGAACACTGTCCAGGGCTTGTCTGGCAGAACATAGCTGGATTCTTATTTATGCTTCAACTGTGGTTTATGGAACAAACCATAAGAGCCAGATTCCCCCAATGTACTAACTCAGAACCAAGAAATGGCATTGCAACCAAACTAGGATATGTGAATCAGACCTCGGAGTCTCTTTGCAGTGAGAGGTGGAAGCTCGGAATTTCAATCAAACAAACAAACAAAGAATAGAGCTGGAAGGGACCTCTGAGGTCTTCTAGTCCAGCCCCCTGCTCAAGCAGGAGATCCTATACCATTTCAGACAAGTGACTGTTCAGTCTCTTCTTAAAACACTCCAGTAATGAAGCATCCACAATTTCTTTGGAAGCTGAGTGGTCCTGAGCTGTGATTTTAGGAAAGGGAGAGAAGTTCCAGCACTCATTTTGTGCAAGGCCCAGAAATAGAAGTACTGGAGGCTCTGTTGGGAAGAACATTGAGCTCATCAACTTCGTTCCTGTAATTATCTGCAGGGTTCTTACACTTAAGAAAGGGAGGGCATTAAATCTTCAGATTCAGTGGGAAACATTGTGAGTTCTTCAACTGGCATTCCATTGCCTATTGCCCCTTAAGGCTAGCCAGTGCCTCTTCTCTCCATAAAGTGCACCTAAAAAGGGACTTATTACAAATAAGGGGCAGCTGTCGCCTAGTGACTGCCTAAGGGAGGTGAGACCTAATTCTGGCTATCGGTGCCAAAGCAGGTAACCAACCCTTCCTCTGCATTCTTACACTTCATTTCCTTCAGGGTTAAACTTTATGCATTTCCTCCTCTAGCATAGATCTGCTTGTTTCTCTTCTTTGTTTACACTTCATAAGCACAGCAATTGCAGCTGAGGGGTGTTAGCGCTTCTCAGGGGATGTTTGATTTCAAGAGGAGAGCCTCTCACCTTATGGGAAGCTTGCTAGGCTGTCCAGACAATGGAAGCCATGGGGGACCAGCCAAGCCAAACTGAATCTGGGCAAACCATTCTCTTGCTTATGAGGAATCTGCTTTTTCAGAGGAGCAATTTGTGCATGGTTTGTGTGAGATTAGGACATAGGGGGGATTCCAATCCAGAGTTTGATTATGAATTGAGCAGGACTTGGCCTTCTCCAACCACTTATCTTCCAGATGTGCTGCACAGGTGTCCATGATGCCTGCAAGCTTAGCATTTGGGGACGTGGAAGGATGTCTAGAAGAGCACCAGATTGGGGGAGCTGGTAGATTCTCTCAGGAGAACCCATATCCACCTTGGCTAAGGAGTCTTTGGGCCAATTGTTTGCCTTGAGCAGATCAAGGCAAGGAGTTGGCTTAAATTCATTTTTATGCAAAGAGCAAAAGGAAGAAGGGGAGGGGGAAACACAATCTAATAATAGATTTGCCTGACTGGATTTTGAACTCTATTCTTGATGCAGATCTTTCCACTGTAATTTTACAGGCATTGTGATTTCCTGGGAAACTTCTGCAGTCGGTAGACCTTTGTGCTAAATTTATCATATGAAATTAATCTCCACGGTTATTTCTGCTACATCTGAAGGCAAGGGGTGTGAACGGGATGTGTGTGTTTGTGCGTGTAGGTGACAGGCAAGCAAGAACAAGATCCAGTTAAGAAACAGCATTGCAATTAACTGTTCCTGCTTTGTGGGAGAAATGCTGTTTTCCCCCAAAAGTGCTTCTTTTAATCAAGCAGGGCCCATCTGAGCCCAGAGCCTCTGGAATGGGGCCGCCTGGACTGGGCTCCCACACAAAAAGCGGCACCTTGAAGAGGAATTACCCAACTGGGAAAGGGCCTTTTGGGACCTTCCTGGACCTTTGTTCTATCCCAGCCCTGGTTGGAAGCTATTGGGGAAAGCTGGGGGGGGGCGGAGGGGGGGAGATGTATGAAGGCTGTGGACTCTGGTGTCAATTTGTAAGGGCATTTGGTTGGTCTAAGCAGTGGCTGGGGCCAACTGCCTAGGCTCCCCAGCATTTGCACCTTCAAACCAGCACAGCAGAACCATCAGAGGCCCTGGCAGCCTTAGTTCCCCACCCCCTCCCATCACTGAAAACCAACCAGGGGAGTGTGGGTCACAGCTTTCATCGTCCTTTGCTGGACAATTGCGTGTTCTTGGTGGCGCCTCTGATCCGTATCTTGAATGGGGTCTCTCTGGGTCAACGGATCGCTAAATTGGGAGTTGCTGTAAGAGCCGCTCTAAGCCTGCGAGAGAGTAAGTCTGGCGGGCAGATGCCAGCGAGGAAGGCGCAGCCGCTGGGTGCCAGAGAGGCCCTCGGAGCGGATCTGCGGGGAAGGGGATCAGGACCGGTTTCCTCCGCCTGCCCAGAGGTCGCCTTCCCCGGACAGCGCCGGCGGCAGTTCCGCCGCCTCGAGGCAGGCAGGCTCATGGAACGAAAAAGGAGGCTGAGCAGGAATCGAGCGGAGCCGAGCCGAGCCGCCTTCACCCTTCCTTGGACCTGGCCGTCGGGACCGTCCTCTCATCCCGCATCTCCGGAGTTGCGTCGCCCTTGCGCTGCCCAAACCTTTTTCCCCCGGAAGGCGCGCCCGTGGCAGCCCCTGCTGGACCTCGGGGAAGGGCGGGGCGGTGGGCGAGAGCACCTGCAGAGAGAGGCAGGTCACGCTGTCGCCCCTCCCCCTGGCCTGGGAGGGGGCTTCAACCCGACGGGGCGGGGCGGGGCGGGGTGGGGCGGGGCTGGGCTGGGCTGGCTCTAGCCTCCCGGGTCGGGCGCTTTAAAACGCCGCGCTGCTTGGAGTCCGAGAGAGAACGGCACGGCACGGTGGGTCGCGCTCCGGGAAGAGGCGGGGAGGATCCCTGGCCGGACCCCGCTTGTATTCTGGGCGGGAGGGGGGAGGGCGCGCTCTGCACATGCTCCTCGGTGGCCTGCTGCTCCTTCGCACTTCGGGTGGCGACGCATCTCTTTCCTCGAGCGATTCCGGGCTGGGTTCAGGAAGAGGCGCCTGGCTGGCCCCATCTCCGGGATGCATGGCAGGATAGGCGACGAGGAAGGACGTGTCGCTGCTGTCGGAGGCGGTGGCGGGAGAGAAGGGCAGCGCGGACCGGAGAAGAGCGAGCGGGCAGACGTGTTGCAACTGCTCGGCCGTCCCCGTTTGCACCGGGCCGCCTCAGAGTCGGCTCCGTCGGGCTTCCTGGGAGTGGAGTAGGGCAGGAAAGGGCAGTGGCCGCGGCCTCGCCGCCCTGCCCTGTCCGGACCCGAGAGCCAGCTCGGAGCGGGCGGCGCTCTTTTGTACCGCTCCCCTCCCAGTCTCTGGGCTGGACTGGGTTGTGCGCGGCGCAGCTGCTGCGTGTGTTGGGGGCTCCGACGGGTCTCAGGAGCACAACTGGGCAAGCGCCCCTCTCTCTCCCCTCCTGCCCGCCGATACGGAGGAAGGGCCCGCCTGGGGGGAATGCAAAACCCAGCTCCAGGCCTCCTTCAGGACGGGGAAGGAGCAGCGGTGCGGGTTCGGGTTCTTGCCTGAAGCGGGGTGCACGGATGGGGTCGGATGCGGACCGCCACTGGGTGAGCTCTGTAAGCGGGCCTCTCCCCTTTTTTCTGCAGATGCCCTTGAGCCTTCCCACAGCCCTGCGTGTTTCGGGGACCACCCTCTTTGCCGTGACGGTGCTGGGGGGCATTCTGGCTGCCTACGTCACAGGCTACCAGTTCATACACACGGAGCAGCACTACCTGTCCTTTGGGCTCTACGGAGCCATCCTGGGCCTCCACCTCTTCATCCAGAGTTCCTTCGCCTTCCTGGAGCACCGGCAGATGCGCCTGGAGGGGCGACCTCTGAAGCTGCAAGCCTCAGTGGCCCTCTGCATCGCTGCCTACCAGGAGGACCCGGACTACCTGCGCAAATGCCTGCGCTCCGTCCAGCGCATCTCCTTTCCCAGCCTCAAGGTGGTGATGGTGGTGGATGGCAATGGGGAGGAGGATGCCTACATGCTGGACATCTTCCAGGAGGTGATGGGCTCAGAGCAGACCAGTTGCTACATCTGGAGCAGCAACTTCCACGCTCAGGCGGTGGATGAGACGGAGGGTGCCCATCGGAAGGCCATGCAGCACGTCCAGAGCCTTGTCCGCAACCACACCCACTCCTGTATCATGCAGAAGTGGGGGGGGAAGCGGGAGGTCATGTACACAGCCTTCCGTGCGCTGGGGGACTCAGTGGACTACGTGCAGGTGAGTGCCAGCATGCAAAGCCTTCCTGTTCTTTCTCCTCCCTGTCCTCCTGCCACCCCCACCCTGGCACCCAACCATTGAAGAAGAAAGCAGGTGTCTTGTAATGTGGAGCCCGGGTTAAAAAGCTGGGTCTCCAGCCCATTGGACCTGACACTTTCCTTATTTCTCAAGTGGAAGGGACTTCTTGCCAGAGACTTCCAGCAGATGGCGCCCTTCCAGCCCCCCTTCTTGCCTCTTGGGGCTGGGCTCATCTTTCCCATTCACATGTAAAGGACACGGGCACATTCACACTCTGGTGCTGACCCACAAGGAGAGGATTTGCTGCATGCCAGTCAGACCATGTTTCCTTGCTCTGTGACAGGCACCATCTGAAGGGACCATCCATGCATTTTGCTGTTTCTCCTTGATGCACTCTTGTCTCCTGGTGGCTTTTCAAGCCTTGCCAAAGAGGACTAGTTCCTTGTGTGACTAGTTCCTTGGGCCATGATGGTCCTTTCTCCTGGGCAGGTGTGTGACTCGGACACCGTTCTGGATCCTGCCTGCACCGTGGAGATGCTCCGGATCCTGGAGGAGGACTCTCGTGTTGGTGGTGTTGGTGGAGATGTCCAGGTAAGGTGTGAAAGCTCAGGGAGCACGGGGGGGGTCCCAAGGAGAGGAGGTTTCTGTTTCTGCCCAGCCCTGATTTCTGTGTTGTCTTAGAATCTGGCTCTTCCATTTAATCCTGGATATTTTGCAACTCTATGACATGCTTATTCATGCTCTACTCAGCCATTGCAAACTAAAGTTGTGACTTAGTGTTGTGTGCAATCTTAGCTAATTTATTTAATAAACAATTATTAAACAAACCAGGAATAAATGCAAAGTTTGAGCAGTCCTCTCATGGAAAACTGAGTTTGGAGGAAGAACCGGTAAGAACAGGACAGCCCCAACGCCTCTCCTTCTGTTCTAGATCCTCAACAAGTACGACTCTTGGATCTCCTTCCTGAGCAGCGTGCGGTACTGGATGGCGTTCAACGTGGAGCGGGCCTGCCAGTCCTACTTTGGGTGCGTCCAGTGCATCAGTGGGCCCCTGGGGATGTACCGCAACTCCCTGCTGCAGCAGTTCCTAGAAGACTGGTACAATCAGACCTTCCTGGGAAGCAAGTGCAGCTTTGGGGACGACCGGCACCTCACCAACCGTGTCCTCAGCCTGGGCTACCACACGAAGTACACGGCGCGCTCCAAGTGCCTGACGGAGACCCCCACCCGGTATCTGCGCTGGCTCAACCAGCAAACCCGCTGGAGCAAGTCCTACTTCCGGGAGTGGCTCTATAACGCGCTCTGGTTCCACAAGCACCACCTCTGGATGACCTACGAGTCAGTGGTAACCGGCTTCTTCCCATTCTTCCTCATCGCCACCGTCATCCAGCTGTTCTACCGTGGCCGTGTCTGGAACATCCTCCTTTTTCTCCTGACGGTGCAGCTGGTGGGCATCGTCAAGGCCACCTATGCCTGCTTCCTGCGGGGCAACGCAGAGATGATCTTCATGTCTCTCTACTCCTTACTCTACATGTCCAGCCTCCTGCCGACCAAGATGTTTGCCATTGCCACCATCACCAAGTCTGGCTGGGGCACCTCTGGCAGGAAAAGGATTGTGGTCAACTTCATTGGTCTCATCCCCGTCTCAGTCTGGGTGGCGGTGCTGCTGGGCGGGCTGGCATACACAGCCTACCGCCAGGACCTGTTCACAGAGACCGAGATGGTCTTCCTCGTCTCAGGGGCCATCTTGTACGCCTGCTACTGGGTGGCCCTGCTCACCCTCTACCTGGCCATCGTGGCCAGGCGCTGCAGCAAGCCGCAGGAGCAGTATGGCTTGGCCTTTGCGGAAGTATGATATGCTGCAGGAAGACAATGGAGGGAACTGGAGCAAGAAACTCCATGGATCAGCACTTTCCCTGTGTGGCTGAGCCATGGGAAGGGCTGGCCCCACCTTGCTTGAGATAGTGTTTCATGTGGCTCATCTGGAAGCAGCTGGCAAAGTCAGCAAGCCGGAACACTTTTCTCTCTCTCTCTCTCTCTCTCTCTCTCTCTCTCTCTCTCTCTCTCTCTCTCTCGGTGGTTGGTGATGGTGGGGGATAAACAGGGTTTCTGCTCCAGAACTATCCCGAGGGGCTGGCAGAAAGACCCTCTTGGACTTGAGCAAAGGACCTTAGCAGCAGCTCACCTGCCCTCCTATGCAAACAAGACATTCCTGAAGGGGCTCAAGGTGACCTTCTCCTGAGTGGGTGACAGAGGTGGCTTTCAGAGGCCATGCTTTGGGGGAATCACTGTTGGAAGACATCGTTGAGGCCTCTTGGAGGGAGGGTAGCTCTACCCAGGTCCTCTTTGGCGATGCTGTCTGTAGGAAAAGCAAGAGGGTGTCTTCCAGTCGTTTCACTGCAGGAATAACGAGGTGGGGTGGAGGTGGCTGGAGGGAGAAGGCCAGAAAGCTCCGTTTGGGAAAGAGCCCTGAATGAGGTGCCCACCAGAAAGGGAACTTTCCCAGTCTCCCAGAATGCCCCCTCCCCTGCGTGGTAGCCAAAGAAAGGGGGGCCTCAGCTGGAGGAGCCGGTTGCCTTATGGCCACTCCGGATTTTCCACCATTTACATGCTATCAAGCACATGAATGACACCTGATTTAATAATGTTTAGGTGGGCCAGGGTTTGTTCCTGTCTGCAACCCTGTGATTGTAACATTGTGTGCACTATTAGGACATTCTACCTCTGTCCACACCTCTTGTCCTCGTAACTCTCTGGGGCTTTTCTATAGATTCACCCACGGTGCTACTTCCAACTGGGAGAAGAGAGGGATTGAGATACTTCACAGGCTTGGGGCTGGAGGGGAACGTTCAGGGCTTCTAGTTCAGGGGTGGTGGAAGCTTTTACTGCAAACAGCAGCTCCACTGAGAGGCAACATGACACCCTCCTTCCCCCTCACCCCCCTTTGCCAGCTTCCTGCTTAGCCAGCATCTGAACAGGTGGACACAAGTTTGCTCAGCCACCCCCTTGCGCAGAGCCTGCCTGCCCCCTGCTGGAGTTTAGAGGAAAGGCGGCTCTTCCTAGTTTCAGACCTGAAGAGGATTCTGCATGTTTTTACATCTCCTTTGAAGAGCAAGTTTCTACATTTTGAGCAATATTTTAAACCATCTCAGAAAAATTTAGAGACTTTTCTGAAGTTTTGTACATCTATTGCCAGATTATGCTCTCCTTTTAACAAACCCCAAATGGCAAGACAGCTATTTGTCTGGAAAGGTACAGGGTCTCCGGAGGTTGGACTCCAAGGTCCCCTCCAACTCTGACAATGTTCTGTTCTAAACTTTTTAGCTTATCAGAAATATGGGTAAACTGTAAATAAGGCCTGCACATTTAAAAGAATGCCAGTTAAGTTCCATGGACTGAAAAAAATTGTTATAATGACAAAATGTTGCTGAACATTTTGGTGTTGAATGCACTAATACAGCTACCATCTAGATGTATGGACTTCAATGCCCATGATCCCTAGCCAGCAATTAAACTCTGGCACATCTGGAGAGCCCTGTGCTGGAGAACTAGCGAAACTTCACGGGCTGGCTGAATAAAGCTCTCCTGGGTTCTGTGCATGTTGCTTGCTAGTGGGAGCTCCTGATTGTAGCCAACACCCAGACTCTTCGGCCTCCTTCAGTTCTCTTGCACGGGAGTCAGGTGCTGGGAGTTATGGTGCATCCTTACAACTCTTTGTATCCTCAGCGGGCAGCTTCATTGACTCAGACTGATGAACGGGTATCATAGCATCCTCGTTTAGTTTACTACGGGCATTAATCTCTGAACCAAAAAAAGTATTTATATACACCCTTCTCCAGTTAGGTGTATTCCTGCCCTGTATAGAACATTTTATGTGGAGAAATTCATTCTGTAACTAGATATTTTGCAGAACAGGTTTGATTTACAAATTTTTGTTTCTGATATGCAGTTTGTGGGTTTTGTCAGAAATGAGGAAATAGTTTGCTTGTGGTTTTTTGTTTTTGGCTTGAAATGCCGAATTTGCCAAGCCATCAAGAGGACCAACCCTTTCCTTGGTACAAATCCCAAGAGCCTTCAGGCACTCACGGTTTCTCTGCAATTCCACAGAACAACAAAGTAGAGCTGACTCCTGCTTCAGCATCTTTGCCCAGACCATTTCTTGTTATGCCCAGTATGCCAACTGGTATTTTGGGGAACTGATGCAAAGGGCAATCACTGGTCCTCAGGTGGGCAGGAGAGGGAAGGAGGGAGGTTCTCCCTATGCTGCCATTTTGCACAGGCCTCAAGACCACAGCGGGAGGAAACGCCAGGTGCAGAGGCTCCAATACTTCACCAAGAGCTGCCAAATGGAAAGGCTTCTCTCTTCAGGCTGGCTAAGGCTAAAGCATGTTGGGGAGGAGCCAGGATCCGGCCCCTCTTTTCGCTCATCTCCAGCTCTGCTGAGCTTCAGTTTTTGGGTGATCCTTTTGGGTTCCTGATGAGTTTTAGAAGTTTTTGTACTCTTTGGTAATAACACTAGTTGAACACTTAAAAGTTGTTTGTAAGTGTATTTATTTTTTACTTGCATTTTCATTTTTTAAAAAGAGGTTTGAATTTTTTTATTACATTTATTACAATAATAAACATTTGTAAACAGAGGAGCCTTTTTCTGTCCCCCCCCCGCCCCCAAATTAACAGGGTCCCAACAAACCGTCCCGTTTCGGCAAAGAATAGACAGCCTGACAGGCAAAGAGCACCGGGGAGGCCCCGCCGGCGGGACTCAGGCCTTCTTGGGCGCGCTGGGGACGATGGGCTTGGGGCGCGTTTTGAAGAGCATCTTGGTACGGATGAGCGCGGCGACCTCGTAGGCGGCGGGGCCGGAAGGGTCGCCGGGCGCCGCGGCTCCTCTACGCAGAACGGCCACGGCCTTCTCCAGTCGCACCGCCTTCCCGTAGAGCACGTGGTGGCCCACGATCAGCACCGGCGCTCCCTGCGGGACAGAGTGCGGGACGGCTTAGGAGGGTCAGCGGACGCCTCTCCGGCCTCCCCCCGCCCTCGCCCCCCCGGCCCCGCGCTGACCTCCCGGGTGAAGTGCAGGTCCCCCAGCAGCCGCCCAGCCAGCCCGCCGCCGCCGCCGCTGCCCCGCGCCTCCAGCTGCCCCTGCAGCTCCAGCAGCAGCCATTCCGCCGCCGCCTCCTCGCGCGCCGCCCTGCAAGACGGAGCCGGTCAGGACGAGACGGGCCCCCCCGGCGGCCCCCCCCGCGCCCCAGGACTCACCGGCGCACGGCCAGCTGCACCATCCCGCCGCCCAGCGCCTGCCCCCTCCGCCGTTTCCGCTTCCGGGGCAGCGCCGCACGTGGAGTCGGCGGCGGCCATGGGCGAGTTCCAGGTGCACCGCGCGCGGCTCTTCGCCTTCGTGCCGGCCGGGGTCCGCTGCCTGGCCACCCCCGCCACCCGCCCGCCCCGCCGCCTGGCCGCCGCCCGCCTCGACGGCGCCGTGGAGCTCTACGACCTGCGGGCCAACGGCGCCCAGGAGAAGGTAGGCGGGGGGCCGGAGGGGCCGGGCGGGGCGCGCTGCCCGGCCGGCCTCCGTGACTCTGTCTCCCTCCTTCCCGCAGGTGGTCCCGGGCCACGAGGCGCGCGCCCCGGAGGCGCTGTGCTGGGCGGCGGGCGAGCGGCTCTTCGGCGCCGGGCTCGGCGGGGCGGTGGTGGAGTTCGACCTGGAGCGGCTGCGCGTCAAGTCTTCACTCGACGCCTTCGGGGGGCCCCTCTGGAGCATGGCGGCCAGCCCCAGCGGCGCCCAGCTGGCGGTGCGCGGGGGTCCCCGGGCCCTCGGGGCGGGGGGCACCGGGATGGTCCGGGTTTGCGACTTCTACCGCGCGTGGAAGGCCGGAGGAGCCGCGGGGGGGGGGGAGCGCGGATGCTCTGCGCAGCCAGGGGGGCTCTGACGCTGGGCTGGTTTCTGCAGGTGGGCTGCGAGGACGGCTCCGTTAAGCTCCTCCGAGTCGAGCCGGATCGAATCCAATTCGAAAGGCAGCTGGACCGGCAGAAAGGTCGGGGGACGGTGGTCCAGAAGGGATTTGCCGGGGGTGGGTGGGAAGGGGCTTGAGAAGCAAAAGAAAAGGCCTCTGGGGATCATAAGGGTGGGGGTGGGGGAGTTTGCTTTCAGCTCTAAATTTTTAGTTTGGGGCTCCAAGTTGAAAACTAACAGAGTTGAAACAGGACTATAATTATGGTGCTTTAATTCTTTAGCGTTTTGCCCAAAGTTGTGATTATGGGATAGATTCCCAAAGTCAACAATCGGCCTGTTTTCATTGTAAAGGGTGGGAAGTTCCAGGTAAGGGTCCAGTGGCTGCCCAATCCTGGGCAGCTGGATTCCTCTGTTTGGGGGTGGGGAAACAGCATTACCTGGACAGTTCCAGCCTCTGGGGTTGAGACCTTCCCCCCCTTCTTTCACAGAGCGCATCCTCTCTCTATCCTGGCATCCTTCTGGGACCAAGATTGCAGCTGGCTCCATTGACTGCTTCTACATCTTTGACATCGAAACTGGTAAGTTCTCCAACTAGTTTGGATCAAGAGAAGCAAGCAATGAGCAGGAGCATCTGAGAGGGACCTGCCTGGGCTGCCAAGGGAGTCTCAGCCCCTCTTGACTGCTTCAGTTACACAAGGCAGAGGCAGTGGCAGTATTCGTAGTCACTGGAGCCTGTTCTGGTCTCACGGTGCAAAAGGTCCTGGGTTCAGTTTCTGTAGGTGTTCTAAAAGGAGATGGTGGAGTCAATCAGGGCCCCCAGGTAAGCAAAAAATGCTAGTGTGGTAGAAAAGAGCTTTCTGTGGCTTTGTATGAGCAACTGTTTTTCCCAATTGCCTTTAAGTATGGATGATTTTTAATTGCCGCAGTTGAACATCCCTCATGCATCTGTCTTAGGGCACGTCAGCCAGCGAATCCTCGTAGAAAGGTGTCTGCAAGCCCCCCCCAGCCAGAAATGCCTCGTGTGGGGCCTGGCCTTCCTTTCAGATGGCACAGTGGTCAGTGTGGATTCTGCTGGAAAAGTGCAGTTCTGGGATTCGGTGATGGGCACTCTGCTCTCCAAGCATCCCATCAGCAAAGCTGCAGTGCTTTCCGTGGCCGTGGCTGAGGTGGGTGAGAGTTGCAGAATGTGGACAGTTTTGCAAATCCTGGTAAAAAGGACAGGAAGAAGCGTCTTTGTCCCATCAGAGTATTGAATATTTATCAACATTCTATCCTGATGCAGTTGGGCCAGTAGTACAAACAAGCTGCCAAAACCCAGATTCCCCCTAAGGCCTCGTCGTATGGAGCTGGGGGATCAGCTTGCCACCCAACCAGACTAGCACAAGTACCTCTCCCTGTAGGTTGCTTCTTTCTGGAAAGGAATTCTTGGGCATTTTGTGCTGCAAGTCCAGTTTGAAATGCTGAAGTTGCTCACCAGCGAGTAGAAAGAAGCAAAGGGCCAGCTGTGGCTGATCCACTGTCTTTCAGCAGGGCCTTCTCTGAGGCATCTGGCTAGGGGCATAATTGGCCAGAAGGAATCTGAGCCTTTGTGGTCTTTGAGGTTCACGGCATCATGTTCTCAACCCCTGGTATTACCCCGTTTTCTTCAGGCAGAAGATAGTATGGTTGTTGGCACATCGGAAGGGATGGTATATCAGTTCCAGCTGCTACCGGTGAAGCTGGACAGCTCTGAGCGCCAGTGGGTGCAGACGAGACCCTTTCGGCATCACACTCACGATGTGCGGACGGTGGTGCACACTGCCACAGCCTTCATCTCTGGAGGTACAGTAGGGCGCCCAACTTCTAGGTTGTAACTCAAGGTCCTTTATAAGCAGAAGATGGGCAAGGGTATCCCCACAGGATCCCCAAAGAACACAGTGAGGTAGATGAGACCAGTTGTGTTCCTGGCTATCTCCCCTGGTCTGGTGGCATTTGAGTGGCTGGGATGACTACGCATTGCTCTAAGTCTTAGGATTAGGGCTACGTCACCATGAACTTGGAGAGCAAAATGGACATTGTCAACAAATTTGGAGTGCTTGGGTATAGTTAGGAAGGCACTGAATTTTCTAGCCTGCCCTATCTATGTTTCCTGGTAAAATCCCAATGGAGGAATAGTCCACTTAGGGTTAAGTCACCATGAACTCATAGAGCAAAATGGACATCGCCAACAAATTCGGAGTCCTTGGGTATAGTTAGGAAGGCACTGACTTTTTTAGGCTGCCCTATTTATGTTTCTTGGTAAAATATATGGGGAATCCCATTGGAGGAAAATTCAACTAAGTGATGGTTCAAGAAGCCTGCGCATCTTGGCTCAGATAATGAAAAGCCAGAGGCCAGAGTGTGCTTTGGGGAGACACACAGAGCCAGCCCTCACTAGGCAAGCTGTCAGGCAACTGTCAAGAGTGGCTTTATGAGCCAGGTGCCATTCTCCTCTGGTAGGGCTGGATGGGCAACTTGTGATCCGACCCCTAATGGAGAAGGTGGAGTCGAAGTCCTATGACGCTGCCCTCCGCACAATCACCTTCCCCCACGTGAGTATCTGGACTGTGCCCTTCTCCTGGGCTGAGGGGGAGCTGTTCCCCCTGGAGAGAAGGTTGGGATCCTGCAGTGGTGGGGCCAGCTGTCTCCTTTGTTGGTACTTCAGGTGGCTTTTCTCTTCCTGCAGAAGCGCCTTGTCTCCTGTGCCAGGAGAGCCCGGCTCCTTCTCTTCCAGTACCCCCAGCACCTGGAGCTCTGGCGGCTTGGCACCACAAACTCCTTTGGTGAGGATGCGCATGGCTTTAATAATAATAATAATAATAATAATAATAATAATAAACCCTTTATTATCAAAGTATAACATGTATACAGTGAAATTGGCTGAGCCTCCCTCTTTGCCACCCCTCACCACAAACTCACAATAACTACAAACCCCCGACTTATTTCACCGTGAACTAATTGCACATCACGCCAGCCTCACGAGTCTGTCATGCATAAAATTATAAAGTTATGTCCCATTCAGAAGCCTGATGGCCCATGGATAAAAGCTGTTCTTCAGCCTGTTGGTATGGCTGGCTATGTTTCTGTATCTCCTACCCAATGGTAGGAGAGTAAAAACGTACCAACCAGGGTGTGAATCATCCCTGAGAATTTTCCTCACTCTGCCAAGGCAACAGGCCCTGGCGATGTCATCCAGTGGAGTCGGAACAGCCCACAATGTCTTGTGCCATGCTCACCACCCTCTGCCATACCTTCCTGTCCACGGCTGTCAGGCCAGCATACCAAACCACGATACAATATATGAGAACGTTTTCAATAGTAGACTGGTAGAAGAAGGTCATGAGTCGTCATTCTGACCTACATGCAGATGATGGGCACGGCAAAGAACACAACCTCCCTGCCTTGCCATCCTCTTTGGCAATCACAGTAGGAATGTTTTGCCATGTCCTGTCTCAGGTGGCATCTGGCTTTCTGCAAGTTGCCTTGGTTCTTGTTGCAGGAAGGCCTGGTGAGGTCCTGCCAGTATCCTGTCCCCCCCAGAATCTGCTCCAGTTGAAGGCCAAGGTGAGAAGCCATGGTTTCCTAACCCTGGCCCTAATCCTGCACCTGGGGCAACTCTGTCCAGCCCTGGTTTGGCGTTTCCATCCTTCGCTGCCTTCTCTGCTAAGAGGAAGAATGGAACGGGTGCCCTAGAAGTGCCCCTTGAGGGCTTTTTGCAGCACATTGGTGGGTCTGGAGTAGTGGTTCTCAACCTTTCTAATGCCGTGACCCCATAATACAGTTTCCCATGTTGTGGTGACCCCCAAGTGGGTGTGGCCACCAATAAGAGGGAGTAGGACAGCTAGGGAAAAGGGAAAAAAATGGCGGACAGCGTGGTTTGGCGACCCCCATGAAATGGTCGTTCGACCCCAAATGGGGTCCCGACCCACAGGTTGAGAACCACTGGTCTGGAGAATCCCTCCTGTTGCCGAGTCAGTTGCGCAGGCTCTCCTTGCTGCACTATTATTGGTCCTCTCGCTTCATCAAAGGGCCCAGAGCACATCCGCAGCAGCTGCATCTCTCCGTGTGGCGGCTGGATCACCTACTCCATAGCTAGCAGGTTCTACCTGCATCGAGTTCAGCTCGTCAGCGACCACATTTCTATCAACAGAGTGAGTGGGAACTCCGTGATGTGGGGGGAGATGTGGGTATTCAGCCAGCTGGAAATGTTCCCTGACTCTCTGGAAGGCCCAGCCAGTTATATCAATCCTGGTTTGTTTTCTTCAAGGTTCACAAGACTCCCAAGCTGAACGGCTCAGCCCACCACCTCCTTTTTTCCAATGACTCTACCAGCCTTTTTCTGGCATCGGATCGGGGCTGCGTGCATGTGCTTTCGCTCTTGAAGTCAGGGACCTGCAGGCATCTACACACACTTCGCCCAAATTCGGGTAACAGCGGTTTGTTTTAGATTCAGGCATATTGAACATTCTTGCAGGAATAGCCAAATGTTTTCCGCAAATGCTCCCAGATGAGAAAGAGAGGCAGCAGTTAGCTGGCCTCCACAGCAGTTGCTGGAGGAAATCTGAAAAGCTCCAGCTCCAGATCTGTGTCTCCCTGCAGAGACCTTGGAAGCAGTGCAGCAGCTGGCGGTGAGTGCGGATGGCAAGTGGCTGTCTGCAGCAGGGGGAGACCGGGAAATCTGCATCTATAATTTGGAAAACACCAAGGTGAGCCCAGCCACAAATGTGGCAACCAGAGACCAGATCTCTTAGTCCCGTTCTACCTCCCCTTTTCTGGTCTGGGTCTTGTAGCCAGTACTGGGCAACAGGCCTCTCAGGTGCCTCGTTTGCTCTGCCTTGGGTTGGCTTTGTGGGAGCAGAGAGCTGGCTGAGCCACTGATGAGTCCAGCAGCCTCTGATGGAGAACCCAGCTCTGCAAGTGGGAAAGGCTGAGGCAGGCTCTCCCGCTTATTCTGCTGTGCCTTTCTTTCCCAGTTTCATTGCACTGTGCCAGCATACGACTGCCCAGTGACTGCAATGGCAATCCATCCGCTGACCAATAACCTCATCGTTGCACATTCAGATCAGCAGGTAAGGGCTCTCTTCCCTAGATTGGCAAAGCAGAGTTGGCACACAAAAAGGTCTGCCTCCAAGAACTGCCCCAGGCAATGCCAGTTGAGGGCAGTGTTAGCCTTGCACACCCATCCTTTGTGCAGACTTCGGCAGTAACCTGCTGCTCTTGGAGTTAGGAAAGGTGCGGGGGGGGTTCCATTAGGGAGTCAGCAGCCCAGTCACCACCAATTCTAGTTAGAGCAGAATGTCTTGTTTCCACTGGAATTAGCTGCAGTTAAGAGGCACACCCTGCATTAAAGTGCATCTTTTGCCAGAGGAAAATTTGCTTTGAATGCAGCACCGGGAAGGGAGGCCGTTCTCGTGCTGGGCTGAGAACGATCTGGCTTCAGAACAGGATCTGATTCCAGGTGTTTGAGTTCAGCATCAAGGAAAGAGGCTACACGCCCTGGAGCCGGAAGCTGCAGCAGTTGGGCCTGCACAAGGATTGGCTGGAGCGGGACACACCCATCACCCACATCGCCTTCCGCCCTGGGCATTCCTCTCATGTCTTGCTCCATGACACATACATGTTCTGCATCCTGGACACCTCGCTGGTGAGTAGGTGGGTGGGACTGAGTGTGGCTCTCTGACCTGCAAGTCACAGAAAGGCTCTCCTCTGAGCCCAGGTCGCCCATGCCGGCTGGGTCAAGCAAGGTGTTCGCTTAGATGGGAAAGCCCCCCTTGTGCCCAGGCGTCCTGTCCCTGCTGATCCCGCATCTAGACCCACTGGAGTCCAAATTGGTGTTTAGCACCACTCGGCAGTTCAGCCAGAAATGTTATTGGTTTGATTAGGGCTTAGTACAAAGTGTGAACCAGGCCACTGAGACCCGTTCAGCAAAACATGCCTTTAGCTCCGACAGTGACTGCCCTCGTGATGGTCTAATTTGCTCCTCCAGCCACTGCATGAGGACGCTACGGCCTCAAAGAAGGCAGCGCCACATGTGAAAACAATCCAACGCAGTCATGGCCGGCCCTTCAAGATCTGCAAGAAGTTCCAGGTAAGTCTTTGGGCAGTGAGCTTTCTAAGCCAGGAGGGAGGGGGAGGCCTTTTATGCGGGGCTGGGTAAACAGCACCTGCTGAGTAGGAATTTCCCCCCCCCCCAAGTGCTGCAACCCCAGCCTGGAAGGTTAGTTTGTAGTTCTGGGGAGACGCTGGGCCCTTGGATTAACCAGGATCAATGGATCCGGTAAGCGTTCGCTTGCCAAACAGGCACGGGGATGGCCACTGCCAGCAATGATTTTGGGGCATATTGGACAGTTTGGGGGAGGGGCGTTGTGCCAGCTGCTGAAGCCCCAGCTGAGGAGCCCCTGGCCCATTAGAACAGAAGGGAGGTTGCCATCCTGTGCCTGAGCCAAGGAAGGTCTCTTCATCAGAAGACCAGGTCTCTGCAAGGGACGGGGCCTGTGTTCACACAAACGCCCACCACAGAGGACAGGGACAGTGTTCTGGTAGCCCCAGGGGAGAGAAGGGACCATAATTCTCCTCCCCTTCTGCCCTTGTATGAGAGGTGGAAGCAAAGGGCCGCAGCTGTTGGGCAGTTGCAGGAACAAGATGGTGCCTGGCTCCTGTGGGAAGCAGAGAGCTGATGGCTTCTGTGTTGCTGTGTGTTCATGTCACAAGGTGGCAAGGCACTCTGAAAGTCCGGGGGGGGGGTACAAGCCCTCTTGTGGCTGGCAACGCCGGGGAGCTCAACACGGTCGCATTCTTATCCCTGCCAGGCATGCAAGGTGAAGGGCCAAGCTAGATACTCTTCAGAAAGTCAGCTGTGCCAGCAAAGCCCCTTCTAGCTTTACTGTTTGTTTCTTCTCTCCTTGCCCTCCCTGTCTGTGTCCCCCCCCTTCCCAGCCTCTCCTCTTTGTGGATTTCCTGGATGACAATTCTTTGGTGGTGACGGAGCGGCCGCTGATGGACATCAAAGCCCAGCTGCCACCACCCATCTATCAGAAGAAATTTGGGACATAGGTTTGGAAGGATTTTTGCAGAGGCCATCCTTCACTGAGGGGCTCCCGGTGCCCTTCCCTTCAGAAGCAGGGGGCTGCCTGGCCAGAGGAGCAACTGTTGACGGGGACCCTGCCACCCCCATCCTGTGTCCTTGAGGTTACCTGTTTTGCCACCATGGTCTGGCCGGGAAAGAGAGGCCAGGACTTCACTCAGGAGTTCCAGCATTGACCGGCAAGAAGACTTGTTGCTTTTCTCTGAGCCTTCCTTGTGAAGACTTGCAAAAGAATTACTTCCCATTTTATGCACAGCCTGTTGGGGCCATCCCTTGCCCACAAAAGTGCAGCCTGGCTGGGCTGACCCTGCAGCCGCATTGTCTCTGGGAAAAGCCTGCTGCTGCGTGTGGCCAGCAGGCAAGGAGCCAGCAGACTTCCTGCTGGGTAAATGGGGGCCCTGGGACCCCATTGGCCTGCTGACACTTCACTGCTTCCTCCAGCTCCACCTCTGCTGGACCAGGAACCCTGATTTCCGCCCCATCAAGCCAGAACAGCAAAGTCAGCAGTGAGGGAGGAGGCTGCCTTGACCTTGCTTTGTTTTGTGTTCCTCCAGGGAGGGAGGGAGGGAGTGTGTGTGTGTATATGTATGTATGTGTGTGTGTTCCCTTGTCCTTCCCCTTCCGTCTGTCCCTGGGTCCCTGCATTTTCAGAAGGGGAGAAGGAAAGGGCCGCAGAGGCCATGAACAGCCCTTTTGCAGCTGCTTAGTGGAGCCTGAAGGTCACATGTCCTCTGCTGGCAGGAGAAGATCCCTGCCCCTCCCTGCTGGTGGCCAGTGCTGACAGCCCCTCCCCCCCTCCAGTCTGACGTCCCACAGGCCGATGTTGGGCCGATAATAACACGGGGAGCTCTGAGTTTGGCTAAGAGACGCTGTGGTGACCAGCCTCTTCCTGGTGTACAAAATGTTTACATCGCTCCTCTGGACCAGGAACACAAGACACTTAAATAAAAATCCCTCCAGCTGCTCCAGGCTCTTTCTCAGACTTCGCGGGGGTGTAGCAGCTGTTTGCGAAGTTGCTTGGGCTCAGTCGTCCAAACGATCATTTGGAAATGGAAACGAACCCTGGGTGTGTTCCAACAGGAGAATCGCAGCTCCCGCCACCGCTGCTGCTACCCCTGGCTTGGACCTGCCTGGAGGCACCTGGCAGCCCGCGCTAGCCTCTTGGGACCCTAAAGCCCGCTCGGCGCCTTCAGCGGGGCTGGGGCTGGGGAGCCGGCGAGGCTGTTGCCGGAGCAACAGGTTGGGCTAGGGGGCTCGGAGAGGCTGAAGCCTGTGGCTCAGTGCCCCCCCCCCCCATGTTTGGCAGGCGCACTTCGGGGCGCGGAAGGTGCACCTTTCTCGGCCGGATAAGAGCGACTCCCCCCGCCCAGCAGCCGGGGACCCCGCGGGCCTCCCTGCTTCGCAAAGGCTGCGGGCACTGGGGAGTCCCGCGGCGCTCCCGGCCGGGCGCGGAGGCGGCGCGGGCCCGCAACTCGCGTAATGGGGGGGGGAACGGCAGCTGCCCCCTCCTTGCGGCTCACGTGACGCGGTGCCCTTGGCACGAACCTGCGGGCGGGGCGGGGCCAGTCTCCCGCGCCCTGCAAGAAGCCCCGCCCGCGCCACTCGCGGCGTCTCGGCGGGTGCGGGCATGGCGGTGTGGACGCGCGCCCGCAAGGCCGGGCTGGTGGAAGTGCTGCTGCGCGAGCGCTGGGTGCGGGCGCTGGCCGAGCTGAGCGGGGAGGCGCTGGCGCTGAGCTCCGAGCCGGAGCCGCGCAACGGTCTGCCCAACGGCGCCGCCGCCTCGCCCTCCGCCTCCCCCGAGCGGGGCGCTGCCTCTCCCTGGCCGCCGGCGCCCGCCTCGCCCTCCCCGCCGCGGGGCTCGGCGCCGGGCTCCCCCCCGGCCGGGGTGCGGCGCGTGCGGGTGGTGAAGGCGGAGGCGGGCGGGCTGGGCATCAGCATCAAGGGCGGGCGCGAGAACCGCATGCCGGTGCTCATCTCGCGCATCTTCCCGGGGCTGGCGGCCGAGCGCTGCGGGGCGCTGCACCTGGGCGACGCCATTCTGGCCGTCAACGGCATGGACCTCCGCGACGCCACCCACGACCAGGCCGTGCAGGCACTCAAGCGGGCCGGCCGGGAGGTCCTGCTGGAAGGTAAGTGCCGGCGCTCGGCACGCGCCCAGGGGCCGCGCGGCTCGCGGGGTGGGGTGGGGGACAGCCGGCCGCCCCGTCGGCGAGCGGGACGGGCCTCGCGTTCCAGCGCCCCGGGAACCCTCCCCGGGGCCCGCCGGCTTCGTCCCGGAGCTCCACGGGCAGCCGGTCTGGGGTTGCGGGGACCCAGGCAGAGCCGGACACCTGGGTGCCGCTTGGGCCTGGCTCGAGACCCCCAACGCCCCCCCCGCAAGCAGCCTCGGTGCCCCCGTCTCTCGCCTGCTTGGCTGCTGAAGGAGAGGGAGGGGGCGAGCGCAGCCCCCCTTCGAAGCGTCGTCGGGAGCGACTGGACCTCCACGCGCCGCTCAGTAAATCCAACGACTTGGGAAACGGCGGAGTTTCCTTTCAAAGCGGAATTTCCCACTTCTCGGTCCGCTTTGGGCCAGACTCCGGGAAGGGCAGAGCGGCATCGGGCTCCCGGTCTTGGCCAGAGCGTCTTAGGCCACCCTTGCAGCCCCATCAGGAAACCCGATTAGCCTGCCCGGAACAGGCTAAGAGCCGGAGATGTGATCACGGTCAGTGGGGCGCCTCAGGAAGGCCCGACCGACCTCGGTGCGGTCTGCTCCTCCTGCTGTTGGTGTGGGAGAAGCGGGTGCTCCCACCTCGCCGGCTGCAGAAGGCAGCAACTCTGATCAAACTCCAGGGACAGGTCGGCTTTCTCCCAAAGCCCATCTCTCTTGCTATTTCGATGTCTGGCGTGTCATTTGGGGGGACAATGCAGCTCCCGGAAGCCCCTGGCAAATAGAAGGCTGATCACCCTGCAGGAGAGTGGCCGGTGGGCCACCTTAACACCTGGAAACGCTCTTTAGCCTATCTTGAATTGTTGTTCAGCTTCAGCTATTAAGAAGTGGGGCAGCCGCCTCTTTATCTGGGGCGTGATTCTGACTCTGGGAATGCAGGGCGAAGGCTGGAAGGTGTCTGCGCTACGCAAGAGGTTGGCAAGGCTGATGCCATGTACACCTGTCGCTTTCCAGCTCTTATGAACTCTTTATCTTGGGGCATTGCTTGGTTGGGCTTCGCTCCTTGGCTTAGATGTGTCTTTCGTGGGTCCAGTAAGTGGTCCCACAGGGGCAAGATGGACTCCCTGCTGTAACTCATAGCCTCTGCTAGGAGCAGGTGAGGCCACATTTGGGTGCCGAGGGATGACCCTTTTGGGAGTGGACACAAAGAACAGCAATGCTGGAGACTGGATTTCGGGAGTAACCAAACCAGCGTTTTTGTTTGCTGCTCCCCCTTTTGGAACACAGCCTGCCTTTCTCCACCTCTCTTGGATAAGAACTATTATCTCCCCCCCTTCTGCCCCCATCAACCCAGTAATAGAAAGGAAAGTGGGGCTCTTTGTGGGAAGTCTGCAAAAGTGTTTGTAATAGCAGGGACCCCAAATCTTGAGGAGGACTGTCCTTCATTGCTCTGTGATAGAAGGCTGGGCTTAGTCTTTGGGAGTCGACAGGTGAAGCACTGAGGGCTTTTCTCTAAGTCTCCCCACTTCATGCACTGCCTACAGCTGGGGGGGGGTTCTCCTCAGGATCTCCCCAGGTTGGCTCACCCCTTTTTCTCCTAGTTCCTACGCACTGTAAATGTGTCTGGCTGGGAAAAACGTATGGAAATGCAGCACCCCCTTGGGGGAGGGTGGTGGGAAGGGTGATGGGAGGGGGGCTTGTGGGGAGCTGGAAGGTCCCACCCGGCCGCTGCTCTCCCTCCCTCCCTCCCTCTGGCTTCCCCTGCTTGAGCCTCTGGGAGACCTGCAGGGTCTCCTGCCACTCAGTGCTCTTTGCACCTGAAAGGCAGCTGCGGACTGAGAGCAGGATGTGTTTCTTCAGTAGGGGGGAAAGGGGACTGGGCTGTGCGTTTCTTCCCCCCCCCCATGCAAAATGCCAAACGTTGTGAAAACTCCCAGAAAGCTTTCCTCTCACTGAGCAGTGGCTCTTCCTTGGTTGCAGCCACTCCAGATAATGATGGCTGAGGCCAACTGGGCTCCGTCTTCATGGGAGCGAATGGTGCGGCCTCTGAGGGCCGCCTTGGCCTCCTTAGAAAAAGAAAGGTTCCTGTGGTTGCAAGCGAAGGTCCTTAGAACTTTCCTCAAGAGACCAAGAATTTGGACGGCCTTCAGGGTCTTTGCAGCTGAAAGGGTCACTGTTAGGGCGGTGAAGTCCTGAGACCAGACCGCCCAGTTAGAGCGGTGAAGTCCTGAGACCAGACCGTCCTCTGGGCCTTTTCAAACTGTGGCTCTGTCCAGGTTGAGCCTTCTTTTTGTCACTTATCTTGGTTTCTCGTGGGCAGCTGACCCAGAAGAGTTTTCTTGAGAGGCCTAAATGTTTCCGTTCTTCGACAGGATCCTTTAAGCCCCTCCTCTGTCCTGCCTGTCAGTCCAAGGGGCTTTTTTGAGGGCTTTTGCTGCTGAACTTTTGCTCTTGCAAACCCGTTGTAACAGGGTGACCAGCTTGATTTATTCTTCCCAGCTCTTGAGTCATTGGCTGACTGCTGTTCCTTGGAGCTGGCTGGAGAGGAGTGCAAAGGCCTGCTGGGCAAAGGAGGATAAGGAAGTTTTATGCATGGGGATACTGGAGAGCCCACATCTGGTAGCCAGCTGTGGAGCTCCTCTTCTGTTGAGCCAGCATCCTAGAAGGGGCCTTTCCCATCCACTCTGCTCCCTCCGCCTCCCCCTCCCCCTCCCATCCTGTGGGGGGGGGGGCGGGGTGAACTGAGCTGCTTGGCTGGAAAGCTCCCCCCTGGGCCACTGAGGCAGCTGTACTGTACTGAGGCAGCTGCCCTCCTTTGCACAGGCCTGGAGCCCCACTGGACAGGCTGGGTGCTAGGACAGCAGGGGTGCACAGGCAGCCCCCCCCCCGCCATTGGCCCCTGTTAAGGCTGTGCCCTGCTGCCACTTATAGGGCTGTCCTGGTTGATAGCTGTCCTGCTCTTGCCTCATTGGTGACTTGGGGGAGGGGTCTTAATGTTCGGCCAGCCCGTTGGTCCTTCCAGACAGAAATAAGCTCCTTTATATGTGTTTTTTATGTCTTTGGAACCTGCCATTGCTTCAGACCTCCCTGGAGTTGGTGGGGCCCCTCCGCCTGGCAGAGTTGCTCAGGAGAGTTAAGTTTAAACAAAGAGCTTCAAAAGTTTGGTTAGCCTCCCTGCCTTTTAGGGCTGCACTGTCTGGGTGCATATTCTCAGCCCGTGATGGCAAGGTGATCCGAGGAATGCGGAGCTCTCCTTGTGTGCCACGGATTTGCACGGGGAAACGGAGACGGCATTTCCCCTGGCCCTGCTTCAACCGGAGGTGGATGAGAAAGCAAGTGACTGGCTCCGGATGTCCTTTCCTGGTACCCCCGTGCCAGCTGCTTCCTCTCTGCACGTAGCCTTGGCTCGGTCCTCATCAGGAGACCCAAAGTGACCCTTCTGGGGAGAGCAGCCCAACAGAAAAATTGTTTGCTTAGGTCATTAAAACTTTATTTTCTGCTAAAAAAATGGAGATGGTTGCGTTTATTTAGAAGTTACTTCTTTACCACTCTAGGACTGCTGTTCCACTAGCTGATCTTCCTAAAGGATTAGTGGGATTTTGAGAGTTTTCTTAAGGTTTTGTTTAGCACGTGCTGGAGTTTTATGTGGCTGCCAGGCATGTTTCTGCTTCACAAGTTGGGGCTCATGTTTATCAACTGCATCGTTTGCAGATAATTGATCCACATTTGCATTCTCTTTTGGATATTGGCTCTTTGCATTGCTTCTGACCAAGAATTCATTTAGCCAAACTTGTAAGCAGACACAACAACAGCATGTTTTCAAGGCTAACCCAGATGGCGAGTCATTTGCAACCAGATCAAAGGCCTGCTCTAGTAACTGCATCTTTGCTGCCCCAGAAACCACCCACTCTGCTGCCTCTGGACCTGCGCTCTGGGGGCAAGTAAAACTTCCCTGCAGCTTTTCCTTTCCTTGCTGGAGCCAAGATGTCTCCCAGGTGCCGACTGTCCCTTGCCGAGTGGGATTAGAAGCCTGGCTGTGCACTAATCCTCTCTGGGCAGCAGCAGGGTGCAGAGCTGATCCCTGAAGTAGCACCCTGGGAAGGGCTGCTCTCCTTGCCAGGCAGGTGGGGGACTGCCCCAGAGGGAGTACGGTTGGCCTCACCTCACCACTCCTCTTTGCTGCTGCCACCGCAGCCTGGCAGGGCGGTCAGCATTGAGCAGCTCAGAAGTGGGGAGCTGGGCAGTGTTATGAGAGACCCCTCCTCTGGAGTAGAGCACCAGCTCTTTGGCTGGCTGCCGTGCTCTTCAGGGGGGCATCCGGAAGTCCCACCCGCCCCCAGTTGCCTTCGCGTTGAGCATCAGGACGAGTCCCCGTCAGGCAATGGCGGTAGTGAAATGGCCACTCCTCAGCCTGGGAGTAGCTGCAGGCAGAGGGCGAAGGGGCTTTTCTCCGTACATTCACCAGGCGGTGGGAGAGGCAGGAGGCAAAGCAGGATTGGCCTTGCAAGAGCCCCTCTTGACCAAACGAAGGCCCTGAGACTTCCCTGAGTTCACTGCCTGCCCTTCCTTTAAGGTGAATCCAGGGGGAGTGGGTGGGTTGATCTTTGGCCTGCTTTCTTCCCAGCCGACCTCCCCGGGTTCAGCCCGAGGGGAGCCCGGGGGGGGTCATTCTGTGGGGCCTCGAGCATCAGGACGGGAAACACTCAGCCCCTCCCTTCTCGGCCTGCTCTTAGTGAAATACATGCGGGAGGCAACTCTGTACATCAAGAAGCCATCGCTGGTGTCCGACCTGCCGTGGGACGGGGCCTTTCCGCACTCTCCCAGCCTCAGCCTCAGCGAGGAGTCTGGCTCCCCAAAGCATCAGAGCGCCCCCCAGGATCGCAAAATCATCCCCTTGAAGATGTGCTACGCTGCCAGGAACCTGAGCATGCCGGACCTGGAGAACAGGTCAGGGGGTGGGCAAGCAGAAGGTTTTGCAGGGCAGCAGTTGTCTCCTTACATGAGGACTAGTAACTTGGGCTGGCTTCCAGGGTGCAGCTAGAAAGGCCCTTCCCAGATCCTTTCAAGGTTGCAGCCCTGCAGCCTCTCTCAGGGAGGGGCGGAGGACCAAAATCTGATGCCTGTCTGCTCCCTCCATCCAGAAGACCGTCTTGTTTTGGAATGGATGGTCTGGTTATGCAGAGACAGCGGAGCCTCTGGACATGGGCGTGTTGTGCCACCTGCACCCAGACCTGCCGCTTGCACAGAAAGGCTCTGGGGCGACCTTGGCGGCTGTGGCATTGCAGCTGGGAGTCCTCCTGCTAAGCAGGGCTGTTTTGGGGTGGCAGCAGAGCCTGGCGGAGAGCAAGAGTGGTGGATTCCCACTTGGGTGCCATCACTGGAGGGGCCCCCTCTTTCCCTGGCTATCAGCCCAAAGGCTTCCTGGGGTGGGGGGCAGGGACAGAGTGTGAGTGTTCCTGTGCCCTGCAAGATGGGTGTGGAACAGTGTTTGCTCCAGGAGTCCATAGGATGCAGCCCTAATCCCTGGCGAGGGGGGGCAGGGAGAGGAGCCCCAGCCAGGCAGGCAGATCGGAGGAGGCAGTGCCAGCCATCCCCGTTTCCTCTGCTCCTTGCCGTCTTGGGTTTCAAGCCATATGGCCGCTCCTGAGAATTCAGAAGGGGGGCGGGAATTGTGGATGGGGGAGCCCCCTGCCAGCCCCACACCCAAATGGCTTTTGCAGACCTGGCTGCTCCCAGAGCAGTCCGGTCCTCTCCTGGGTCAGTGGTCCTTCAAGGCCCCTTTTGCCAGGCCCTGAAGAGAGTCGAGCGTATTGTGCAGGTGGCTCTGCTGCCAGCTCACCATAGGGGGAGGGGGCCACACTCCTCCCCTGAGAAGAACTGGAGAGGCCAAAAGGAACCTGGAAGATCAGGGATGGAGCCCCCCCCCCTTCTTTCAGTGGATCTGCCTTTTCTCTGCAGGCTGATTGAGCTACATTCACCCGACAGCCGGAACACCCTGATTCTTCGCTGCAAGGACACGGCCACGGCGCATTCGTGGTTCATGGCAATCCACACCAACATCATGGCCCTCCTCCCACAAGTCCTGGCTGAGCTCAACACCATGTTGGGAGCCAGCCACACGGCAGGTAGCAGCAGGGAGGTCAAGCAGATCGCCTGGCTGGCTGAGCAGGTGAGCCCCTCGCCTGGCACCTCTTTAAGGCTCGCTTTTTTCTGGCGTGCAGCCGGGGGGGGGAGGGGAGGGAAGTGATCCGGCTGGGAGGCCACTGAAGCTTTCTTTGGCCAGAAAGTCACCATCCCTCCCCCCAGCAACCTTCAGGTGCAGAAGTATCTCTGACCACTGGCAACTCAAAGAAGGGGTGAATGGGTCTGTGTGGGGCGCCCTTATCTGAATTTGCTCCTGATCCTTGTCAGTAGGCAACTCTCCCACAAGGGTGGCCGTCTTGTCCTGGGCCCCTCTATGTGGCCTCTTGTTAGCCCTAGGCCCCAGCTTCCCCGTGAACACCTCAGCCCACCCTTTCATCTCTCTCTGCTTCCTGCAGGCCAGACTTGACGGTGGGCGGCAGCATTGGCGGCCGATCCTCTTGGCTGTGACGGAGAAGGACCTGCTTCTCTTCGACTCCGTGCCCTGGACAAGGGACGCCTGGGCCTCTCCCTGCCACAGCTACCCACTGGTGGCCACCAGGTGGGGGAAACCTGAGGGTCTCTCCAGGCTCAAGCCATGCACAAGGCCTTCCGGAAGGGGAGGGGGCATGAACATCTCCTGGGAATGCTCGCCTCTGGTAGAGCAGTCGGTTTCTGGGTGTGGTTGGCATGGTCTGGGGCTCTGATCTGGCAGGGCGTTTAGTTCTTATGAAGCCCCAGGGTGGTCTTGCCTTCTGGAGCCCCCTGCCCATTGCCTCCTGCAATACCTTGCCTGGGAAATTTCTACCAGCGTTCATTTTGGAACTTTCGTTCTGGAGGCAGGAAAGTCCCAGATTGCTTCCTGCAACCAGAAAAGCCACAGGCAGCTGTTTCCCCCTGTTCCCCTGCGCCAGGTGAAGTGGAGCTGTGGGGCGGAGGGGGGGGGAATTGGCTGCCAACTCAGGCAGAAAAGTCTTATTGGGGATCCTTGCCTGCCTTCCTCCTCCACCCACCCCCCGCCACCCCCAGTCCCCCAGGACTGGCCTCAAAGCTGCCAAAGAGGAGAGGGCTGCACTTGCTCCTCCCTTTCATTTGGCTTCAGCCTTTGTACTTGGCCTGTGCAAGAGGAAGCTGGGGAGAGCGAGGGGAGGGGCGGAGGGGGGAGCTTTCAGGCTTCTGGATGGGTTTAGCAGGAGGCTCCAAGGGAGGGGTGGGGCGGCTGGCAGAGACTTGGCGAGACTCCCTCAGGTTGCCTCTCCGGTGTCCAAAGTCTGCCCCAAAGTAATTCTTCTGCTAATGGGATGCTGCTCTGTGGCCTGTCCACTCCCCCAGCTGGGGCTCTTTCATGATCTTTGGTGAGGAGAACAGGGCGCAATGGGGGTGGGCTTCAGGGAGAGTCTCTGCAATAGAGAAAGGACTCCCCTTAGTATTTCTGCAATCCCTCTGGGATGGGGGGAGGCTTATTCAGAGCAAGTCACCCCCAGTTTGCAACTGCTGCTCCTTCGCCCCCCCCTCAGGCTGGTGCATTCAGGCTGCAAGTCACCCTGCCTGGGATCAGACCTCACCTTTGCCACGCGGTCAGGGTCTCGCCAGGGCATCGAGATGCACGTTTTCCGTGTGGAGACCCACCGCGACCTCTCCACCTGGACCAGGACCCTGGTGCAAGGCTGCCATGCTGCTGCAGAGCTTGTCAAGGAGGTCTCCGTAGGTATGGCCTGGCTGTCCAGCCTTGAGGACCATGGCCCCTCCTTTTTTGAACTCTGGAAGAGGCCCAGGCGGTCAGTCTAGTAAACGGGATGGAGAGATTATTCCCACCAGCTATAGTGTTGGCACCATTGACAGCAAGAACGAATGGAGTAGATGGTGGGGTGGGAGTCCCTGCCTTGAGAAATTGGCAGCCTAAGGTGGGCTGAGTGAGTCCCAGCCTCCAAGGCTCTTTGGCCCAGCCATCGGAGGGAGAACCTGCTTCTCTAATGTGGCCACATTGCCCAGGCTGGGCAGCGCTTTCTCTCAAGCAGACCAGGCATCTCCTGTTGAAGTAAACATTACACACACACACACACACACCATGCCTGCCCTGGTCCCTCTGAACCAATTGCTGCTCTCCTGGATTTGAAGGGCAGAAGGTGAGGACCAACACTGGACAAAAAGATCCAGGCTGGAGATGGGCAAAGCAAGCCTGAGCCCGGTTGACCTATGGGGTGGCCCTCCCCTCCTGACCACGAAGGCTCTGCTTTCTGTCTTTCGGCCTAGGCTGCATCTGGAACAGGCAGGACATTCGACTCACAATCCACTATGAAAACGGCTTTACCGTGTCCAGCGAGGGAGCTGGTTCTACCAGTATCCTCCTCCGATACCCTTTTGAGAAGCTGAAGATGTCTGCTGACGATGGGGTCCGAAACCTGTACTTGGACTTTGGCGGCCCGGAGGGGGAACTGGTGAGTGGCTAATTGTGAGTCATAAGGAGAGACCCATCATCTGGCGATGTTTGCCTGAAGAGGGGCTGTGGATTTAGGCAAATTCCTGCAATTCTGTTGAAGAATAAAGGAGGAGGGCCTTTTGCTCTCACACCCAAGGGAGGAGACGACCACACCAATGGAGCATTAAAAATGATCACCACTCATAACCAGAAAGCCACCTGAGCTTAGAGGTTTGGCTACACCTGGGCCATGACTTTAATTTTGTGTGGGATGTCAGTGCTGGTCTTTGAAATGGCAGGGGATGACCGTCTCTCCCTCACATGTTCTCCTCCACAGGCCCTGGAACTGCACTCCTGCCCCAAACCCTTGGTCTTTGTCCTGCACACCTTCCTGTCGGCCAAAGTGACCCGCCTGGGCCTCCTGGCCTAGCCACAGCCGCCGCCGTTGCAGCCGCCACACGTAGTTCCTGGCTTTGCAAGAGTCCCATCTGCCAGCCTCAGTGCCTTGACTGGACTTAGAACGGTCCCATCTCTCCCCTTCTGAAGGGCTCTGGGGAGGCTGCAGCCATAAACCCTTTGCCTGGTCAGGGCAGGGCAGAGAAGGAGCAATTCTCTGGTGGGATCATGTGAAGCCATCGTTCTGTTCCACTTACCAGATGTGCCTTTCAATGGAGGCCGGGAAGAGAAAGGAAGCCTCCTCCCAGAACAAGCAGAGCGGTGCCTTGTGTGCCCAGCTTGCCCTTGACGTGCCCAAGTCATGTGCTGCTGCTGTGGGAGGGTCAGAGACAGCCTGGGGGTTGCTGTGCAGTTGCTGCCAGGTTCCAAATCAGAAGCCCCCCCCCCCAAAGGCTGGGGAGATGCCCTCTCATTCTGTTCAAGAGTCCTCTCCAATTCTAGTTTTAATCTCAGAACCAGTAAAAGATGCAGCCTTAGCTTAAGAGATTCTTTTCAGCATCAGAAAAAGTCTGATTCAGAAACCAGCACAGGGAAAATGTTTGAGTAGCTTTCTTTGAGCATCTCCAGCTTGCTATGCAGAGCCCGTCCTTCTTACTACAAAGGGAGATGCTCTTTGAAGCAGGTTGACTGGCTCCCTTCCTTATTTTGACATTGACTGTTACACTAGAGTAGTCTGAATCACAATTTTTACTATTTATCTTCTGCAGAACCTCCCGCAGCTAAGTGACTGTATGAGCAATTCCTGAGGGGTCATTTAAAAAAATACTCAGCATCTGCTAATGCAGAGCCAGTAAGGAGGCCACCACTAGCCACAAAATAGACTCTCCTTTCCCCTCAAACCCAGAGGGACCCTCTTGTCCCTCTGCAACAAAAGGAGTTTGGTCTCTTGATACAAAAGTTGTGTAATCTCCCCAAACTCCTTCTGGGCACATTACCAGTGAAAGGCAATGGAGGCATTCAGTGTTTCTTGCTCTCCCGAGGAAAGAAATGAAATTGTAAACCTTGAGTGGTGCCCTGGTTCTTGTCTCGAAGAAGCAGAGAGCCCAGCGGGGGGGGGGGAGTCCATGGGATGCCCCCAATTCTGGCTCTAGTGGAGGGTGTGTGAAGGAGGTGCTACTTGCACCTCTGCCATCCAAAGATTGGGGGTTCAGGCCTCCATCTCAGGACTTACAAAGAGGGCTGGGCAGGGATGTTGTCATGGGGGCCCAGGAATAGAACCAGAGGTTGCTGCCTCCAGGGCTCCTGGTATCTGTAGTCTGGGATGGGTCTTGGAAAGCCCTCTCCTCTGACCTTTCAGCTTCCATTCTTTTAGATCTCTTGGCCCAGCTGAAGGAGGCTTCCTGACCCCTCCTGTGAAGGATTTGGGCCCTCTAAGCAGAAGAGGAAGGCTGGCCCTCAGGCACTTGTCCTGGGTGTCCGGCTGCTCTGTTAAGGCTGGAATTTGGACTGCAGGGCCTGTTCAGAGAAACCTCAAGGCCAGTAAGGGCCATTCCAGGCCCTTTTCTGCATTAAAAGCCAATATTTAATGGTGCTGGAGTCACTTTCTGAAGAGAACACCTTTTCTCAGTCACCTTCAGTTGGGTGTAACCAGCTTCCTTCCAGGGCTGAAGGAGTTGCAGCCGATCATTGCTGCTCATGGCCAGCGGCCAGACTGGGAATTCAGGGTTGCTGCCAGGGGCCCCCTTACATGTTTCAGAAAAGGGCCCCTGGTACCCATATGGAGGTGATGTAAGGCTGTGGGCATTTGCTGGCTAGGGGGGTATGAATGTATAGCATTGAAGGAGGAAATTTGGCTGGCATTAGCAGGTTTTCAAATGGTGCTTTTATATCACAGTGATGAACTATTATTACCAAATTGAGACACAAATTTAAAAATACAGGTTAGGAAGTGCAGCTTGATTGTCACATACTCACCCTTTTTTACATAGTACTTTTCCTAGCAATGCCAGATTCAGTTTTTCAGCCCAAGGATGTTGTTGCAACTATAGGAGGCTGCTCCGCCGAGAGTTTAGACCCTGAATTGATGTGGAGCATAGAGCTGGGTTAGGAGACTAAGTTCCATCAGTGGAGAATTTGGGGTGGGAGATCAGCCGATTTCCAGGGTTTCTTCTTGCTAATGTTTGTAGGCCCAGGAAAAACTTTTAATTCATTAACTTAATTACTGAAGCAGGGTGGCACCTTTTGCCAAGTGGATATCTTTGTTCAATGAGACAAGTGACTCGCTGCGGTTTCCCATCTTCTGTCAGATGTCGGGAGTTTACAGATAGGGCAAACACAACTCTTATAGGCCCAAAGTGCCAAAGAGGTCTTGAAAGTTTGCACAGAAATCACTACAAGAAAGTATCTGTGTTAACGCTGTGCAAAGCTGTATGTCTGTGTGGGTATGCTGTTTGTTATAATCTAATGTGGAGTATTGCAACAGAGATATGCCATCACAAATCTTAAACCAGCTTTATTTTTTTATTCTTTGTACATGGTATTTATACAAGGACTTGCTTTTCCAATGATTTTAAATGCAATTTTGGGGGGTCTCCAGGTTCTCAAGTGGCAATATTTGGACCATGTCTGATCTTCGCCAGCAGAGAAATTCTTGCCGAACTCTGCAGAAAACCTGGGTGCTCCTGGCCGGAGCTACACTTAATTGTATCACATTTTTCATTACAATGAAAAGCAACGAAGGGCAGGTGTATAATAAAATATTATTAGTTTTAGCCTCGACTGCTTCTTTGTCTTTGGAGGGAAATAAGAACTTTAACCCCCAGCAGTGAATTGGAGGTTGGGGAAGAAAAATGGAGAAGGGAAGGGGGGGAGATGGAGGTAGAGGGCATGGGAGGCACAGGAATTGGGGACCTCCCTGGTCCCCGCAGAGGACGGAGCCCGGGGCCCTGGGTGTCCTCCCCGAAGAAGCGGGAAGAGCTGCAGCGGCGGCCCTTCTCTACGCTCAGTAGGTCAGGGTCGCAACGACTCCCCCCGAGGTGGACTAAACCGTTCTTCGAGAAGGTCGCCGCGTTACGCGCTCGGGGCGCCCCTGGAAGGCGAGCAACGCCGGGGAGGCCGGGCGCACCAGATCAAGCGGCAGCAGCAGCGCTCAGGCCGCGGACTGCGACTCCCATCGGCCCGCGCGCCAGCCCGCCCCCGCGCGCTGCTGTTCCCGCGGCCGCCTGCAGGGGCGCTCTGCGGGCTAAGGCCGCAGTCCCGCCGCCGCCGCCCTCCGCACCGGAGCCCCCGCTACCGCCGCCGCCCGGGCCACAGGGATGCGATGACCACGTCCGCCCTGCAGGTGCCTCCGTTGCCGCCGTCCGGGCCACGCGCGCCGCTCTCGGCTCGAGGCCTACCGAGCCGCCCGGCAACGGGCCCGCCCGGCCTTCGGCTCCGGGGCGGCCGCGGGCTCTGTCTGCTCAGCTCACGCGGTGGTCGCGAACTTCTGCGCGAAGCAGCGGGGCTCTCGGAGACGCCCCCGGGGGGCACAGCCCCCCTCAATTGCGTCTGCCCGGTTTGGCTGCCGCGCGACTTGTGCGCCCCCCGCCCAGCCTCTCTTCGGGCCGGGATCCCCGGCGATCCCGGTCCGGCCTGCTCCCGCTGCCCCCCCCCCCGCAGTGGCTCCCGCGGGGCCTCCCTGGCAAGAGCGGAGGGTGCCGTGGAGGAATGGGCACCGCGGAAAAGCCCTCGAAGGCGGTCTTGGGTGCCGAGCTCCGGGGCGCCGCGGGAGAAGAGAAGGGGCCCCGCCGGCCCCCGCCGCCCTCCTGAGCGCCGCTGTCTTTCCAGAAGGCCATTGACCTGGTTACGAAAGCCACCGAGGAGGACAAGGCGGGCAGCTACGCGGAGGCGCTGCGCCTGTACCAGCACGCGGTGGAGTATTTCTTGCATGCCATCAAGTGTGAGTCCGGGACGCGGGCAGGGCGCCCCCAGCAGGGCCAGCTCCGAGGGCGGAAGGGGCCCTGGGTCCGCCCGCCGGCCCGTCCATCCACCCACCGGGTCTCCCCTCCTCCCCCCGCAGATGACACGCACAGCGACAAGGCCAAAGAGAGCATCCGGGCCAAGTGCGCCCAGTACCTGGACCGGGCAGAGAAGCTGAAGGACTATTTGCGGAACAAGAGCAAGCAGAGCAAGAAGCCGGTCAAGGAGGCCCAGAATGAAAGCAAGGGGTAAGGGCTGGGCGGGGGCAGGAAGGCCATGGGGAGGTCACCTGGCCAAAGCCAACCGGAGAGCAGCGCCTACTCTGCTCATGGCCTTTGAATGTCTTCCTCTGCAGCAGCGACAGCGACAGTGAGGGCGAGAACCCGGAGAAGAAGAAGTTGCAAGAGCAGCTGATGGGTAAGCCAGAAGGCTGGGGGATGCCCTGGAGGCCTCAGAGACCACTCTGCGTGGGAGGGGGTGAGCACTCAGCTCAAGTCTCTGGGGCAAACTGGCTTGGTTGCAGGTGCCATTGTGATGGAGAAGCCCAACGTGCGATGGAGTGACGTAGCGGGCCTTGAGGGGGCCAAGGAGGCCCTGAAGGAAGCTGTCATTCTACCCATCAAATTCCCTCACCTGTTTACAGGTGAGACCTGGGGGTCCCTCCCTGCGTTCTCTGGGACGTTTGGGGATGAGTGAGGCCATCTTCTCTCCTCTCCTCGGCCAGGCAAGCGTACACCCTGGCGTGGGATCCTCCTCTTCGGCCCCCCAGGAACTGGGAAGTCCTTCCTGGCCAAAGCAGTGGCCACTGAGGCCAGCAACTCCACCTTCTTCTCCATCTCATCTTCAGACCTGGTGTCCAAGTGGCTGGGGGAGAGTGAAAAGTAGGTGTGGGAGGCAGGGCTCCCTCCGTGGGGTATTGGGCCTTGGAGAAGGGGTCCAGGAGTGAAATGAGGCACCCTGGTGGGTCTCCATATCATAGGGAGTTTGCTTCCACCCACTTGGGCATCCTGCATGTGGGCCAGGCTGTCCTGACCCTCCCCTCGCTCTGCCCGGCTTCCTCTTCAGGCTGGTGAAAAACCTCTTTGAGTTGGCCAGGCAACACAAGCCGTCCATCATTTTCATTGATGAGGTGGACTCCCTGTGCGGCTCCCGCACTGAGAACGAGAGTGAAGCTGCTCGCAGGATCAAAACAGAATTCCTGGTGCAAATGCAGGGTGGGTGATGGGGACAGGCTCCGGGGCAGCAGTCCAGCTGCTTGCTCTGACTAGAGTGGCCGCTACTCTCAGGCCATTGGCCAGACGGATCCTGGAGCATGGGGTCTGCTCTCTCCAGAAAGGGTGACATGGGGTACTTTTCTTTTTTCTCAGGTGTTGGGAATAATAACGATGGCACTTTGGTCTTAGGCGCCACCAACATCCCCTGGGTACTGGATGCTGCCATTCGGAGGAGGTGGGTGATAGCAGTGTGTGCATGGGTGAGTTCAGCCTGGCAGAAACCAAATAAGGTTGCCATCACATTTTGCATAAATAGAAATCGCTGAAATTCAGGTCCACAGGGAACAGATTGTAGTTCTCTGAATAAGAAAGTTAAATGGGAAAAAGTCTTCCTGCCTATGTCCCTTTCATAAGGTAGTTCCCCAACCTCACACAGCAGGTATATTTTGTGGCGTTTAAAGTCAACGTTAGATGATGTGTGATTTCCGCCCTTCATAGTTCTGGCTATAATGCTGAGCTGTGTGTGCTGCACCAGGTGCAGGACATAGCCAAGCTTTGGCTGGCTTGAAAAGTACTCGGACTGCAGGCAATCCCACATGTGGGGCCAAGAATAGGCATCCTATAAAAATATCTTCATAGACAAGCGTCATCCATGTAGTCCTGAAGTGAACAGGAATTGAGGTCCGTTTTATTTACTAATAACAAAGAAACACAAAAACAATCTAAACTGGGTCTAACCTTTTTACTAACCTCTTGGCCAAATGCACTTAGCTGAAATCATCAGGGGCAGATGGAGGAGTAGGGTTGACATCGGCACACACCTCAGTTATAGCAATGGGCAAAAGGGTGGGATACACACATGCACGGAGGCACACAACCCCGTCGTTGGAGATTGACCCGTGCATTCCCTCCTTTGCACATAGGTTTGAGAAACGCATTTACATCCCGCTTCCAGAGGAGCTGGCTCGTGCCCAAATGTTTAAACTACACCTTGGCAACACTCCCCACAGCCTGACTGAAGCTGACATTCATGAGCTGGCCCGAAAGACAGACGGCTACTCGGGGGCTGACATCAGCATCATTGTGCGGGATGCCCTGATGCAGCCAGTCCGCAAAGTGCAGTCAGCCACGCACTTTAAAAAGGTGAGGCTGGCAGGGATCAGGGGCCAACTACTGTGCAGCATCTTGATGCCCTCTGGTGCAGAGCAGAGCTCTTTGGCCACGAAAGGGATGAGCTCTGCCCACATTTCTTTGTGCTGGTTCACCCATTGCCTGCCCACCCTCATCCATTTCTTTCTGTGGGGAGGATTACCTGAACACGGCAAGCATTGTCCCCATCATTCAATGGGAGTAGTTGGACTCCAAGATTGGAGCGTTGCCATGGCCTCCAAGGAAGGCTTCTGGTCTGGCAGGAGAGCTCCAAGAGCAACTCACTCCCTTATGCCGTCTTCATCACGATCTTGGACTGCTGTTAATGGAGAGCAGAGGTTGATTGACGGGTGGCTTGCCTGCCAGCCTATTCTTTTCCCGGACCTGTAAGTTAGACGCTGATTCTGACAACCCTCCTGATCTGCCTACTGCTTGCATCCTTACTGCAGGTTCATGGACTGTCTCGCACCAATCCTGGGGTGCTGGTAGATGACCTGCTGACTCCTTGTTCCCCAGGGGATCCTGGGGCCCTTGAGATGACCTGGATGGAGGTGCCTGGAGACAAACTTCTGGAGCCCTTGGTCTGCATGGTGAGTGGTTGTGACAAAACCCCTTTCCTCCCCTGCCCGCAAAACTCTGCGACGACACACCCAGTGCTTCTGTGTGGAATGTGGGTCCACAAAGTGGGACTGAGCACCAGGCTAAGTGAAGGTATAAAGCAGATGTCAAATTCAACGCCCGCCTGCAGATCTGGCCATGAGGGGTTTAGATCTGGCCCTCAAGCAGACTAGTAGGAGCAGGTGATTGTAGTGTGTATGTGTGTGTGATTGTAGTGGGGTATGTGTGCAGCGGCAGTGCCAGAGAAGCCTGGGGGAGAGTCAGCTGGAGCTGGGGCTCTGCTGAGGCCCTGGGATTGGTGCACAGGGCTCCAGCTGATCAGGGCTTCCGGGGCCTCAGCGATGGTCAGCAGCCGCAAGCAGTCTTTGGATGGAGAGTCAGCTGGAGCTGCCGGGGATTGGTGGAGACCCCAGAATCAGTACACTCAGCTCCAGCTGATGAGTGCTGTGTGAAAAAGCCTGCCGGGCAGTGAGTGAACGCATGGGGGAGGATAGGATGGAATATAAAAGTAGGGGTTTAGGCGGGGAGAAGTGAGAGGGGAGAGAAGGCGATAGGGCGATGTCGGTGGGAGCAGCCTGAGGGAGAGAAGAGGACATCAACTGGCCCTTTCAGGACAACCATAATGCTGATGTAGCCCTCAGTGAAATTGCGTTTGATACCCCTGGTATAAAGCATCAATCCAGGCCCCCCTTATGTTGGAGGGAATACTGCTGGAGGCTTGGGGGTTCTGAATGTTCCCTCTCTTTGCAGTCAGATATGTTGCGCTCGCTGGCCACCACCCGCCCCACGGTCAATGCAGAAGATCTCCTGAAAGTGAAGAAGTTCACAGAGGACTTTGGCCAAGAGGGTTAACGCTGTACCTATGGGACGCCCCATTGTTAGGTGGGAGCAGCCAAAGGCCCATTTTCCTGGCCAGGAGCAGAACGGGCCAAGAGTGGCTGGTGGACTCTGCCATGCAGAAGCTTCGTTCTCCATCTGTCTCCCCTGCGGCATCTCTGGTTGGGGATGGAAGGGAGTCCACTGGGGGTACCAGGGGATAAGAGCAAGCCTGACTCGGCCTGCTGTGTTTTTCTTCCTTTCAAATACCCCATCTTTCTGTTTTTCTTTCTTTTATTTCTGATGCTTAGTTTCAAAAATAAAAGCAACCCAACTCCCTTCTGCTCCCAGCCATTTCCCCGCCGCTGAGTCCAGTTCTGCTCCCCAAAGAAAGGCCAGGGGTTCTCCCAGAGCCTTCTTTCCTTCTCCAGTGCTGTTGTGCCTCACCTCAAGTTCACTTGGGGAAAACGGTGTCATTCTGCCAAACTTGTATGATGCTATTTTACTGAGTTCTGTCCACTCCAAACCCTTATGCTAGTGGTGGCGAACCTATGGCATGGGTGCCAGAGGTGGCACTCAGAGCCCTCTGTGGGCACGCGCACTGTCGCCCCAGTCCTAGGCCTTCAGCTGGGTTTTATAAAACCTTTTCGCTTTAAGCCTCTGCTGCGTGTGCAAAAAAAAAAGGTTCAATCAATTAGTCAATTTCAACTTCTGGTGGGAAAAAAAAGATCTTGCAAAGTTGGAATTGATTGATTGAACTTTTTAGTCCCACCCAGTCTGCTGTTACCACTGCAGCCATGCCCACCCAATGGGCCACACCCACCCGGCACCCGATGATGCTTAAGTGGGTTTTGGGTTGCAGTTTGGGCACTCGGTCTCTAAAAGGTTTGCCATCACTGCCTTATGCTCTCAGAACAATTTTCCCTTCCAGCCTTTGGTGAAGGTCCTCAGCCTTCTTTGCTTTGCTCCTGGGTGCATAATAGATGTTGGGTCTGGGGGGGGGGGCAGCTGGAAGCTCCTGCTGCAGCCCTGCAGTTCCACCTGCCTACTAGATTACTTTGCAAAGAAGAGAGGAATTGTGGCTTGGCTCCCATTGACAGGACACAGGTGGGATTCCCTGTAAGGCTCGGACAGTCCCAAGGAAGCTTCTCTCTGTACCTCTGGCCAAGTAGAGTTGCCTTCTACAAGCAGAGCTGAACAGGCAGAAGCAGAGTGATAGGTGCACACACACATCCATGCCCAGGGTCAGTCCCATGGTTTTTACTGGGTGAATTTGTGCCATGGAGAGGCAAGTACCCCACTCCGCTGTGGTTAATATCATCTGCCATCTGTTGTTTTAGGCCTGCCTTGTCCTTAAGAGGGCTGAAGGACCGCTTTTTGGCAGCCCAGCCCACATGTAGATGTTTTAGTGATGGGTTGTATGGGGAGAGATGGCTTGTGGAAGAATAAAGTGCTGGAAATGAAGGCTTACAACATACTTATTTTTTAACTGAGTTTACACAGAAATAACTAGTTAACATTCACAGCAAGTTCAAGTCCTGCAAGGCAGCAAAAGCTAGGCTGCTGCTTTTAGCAAGTGAGCACCCCACTGGTGAAGCAGCTACCTCCCTGGCTTAAAAGGATGCACTCATCGGTTGACCTTGGCCCAATGCAAGCAGGTGAAACTCCTGCTCTCCATTTTGTCGATGTAGAGGATCCCCTTTATGTGATCCATCTCGTGCTGAACGATGCGTGCTGCGAAGCCTCTGGCTTGCCACGTGGCCTCCTCTCCAGCCTCGTTTAGTCCTGGGGGGAGAGGGGAGAAAAAGCCCCACAGCGGGGCCCGCTTTGGGATCCCGGAGGCGAGCAGGGCACCTCGTCCCGGGCGGCCGCCTGTCCTCGCCCCCGCCTCACCTGAGACCTCCACGCCCATGTGCCGGGCGACCACGGCCGAGAAGCCGGGCAGGCTGGCGCAGCCCTCAGTGAAGTAGCTGGGCCGGCTGTCCAGCACCCGCACGGCCGGGTTGACGAAGACACGCAGCGGGAAGGGGACGACCTCCAGTGCGGGCAACGGCGGGCCACGGAACTCGGCCACGAAGACCTGCAGCGGGACGCCCAGCTGGGGGGCGCTCAGCCCCACGCAGCCCTCCCGCCGCATCACCGCCACCAGCCGCGCGATCAGCCGCTGCACCTCTGCGCTGCCCACCCGCTCCGGCTCCACCGGCGCCGCTACGCCGCGCAGCGCCGGATCGCCCACCAGGCAGACGTGCTGGAAGGGCGGCTCGCACGGGCCCAGCAGCCGCCGCCGCAGCCTTCGCCAGCAGCCGCCGGGCTCCCCCCAGGGCCGGTTCGAGAAGGCGAGGCCGCGCGGGCGGCACGAAACCAGGCTGGCGCGGAGGATGCCCCGCAGCCCGTGATTCCACCTCCGCGCCGCCATCGGCCGGGCAGAAGAGCGCCCCCCAGCGGCAGACCTCCCCTCCGCCGAGCGCGCCCATCCGGCCCGGAAGTGCTCCTTCAACGGAGGCTGCACACTAGGAAAGGTGGGAGGGGGGATCGGATCGCGTAAGCGCAGATGGACCCGCACGGGCCACGCTCAAGCTCCTCCCCCCTCCTCGCGGGGGCAGTGGGAGGGGCGAAGGCGCCTCCCGCGCACAATAAAATACTCCAGCGGAGAAAGGGAAACATCAACTTTATTCTCACAGTTCTTCCCTTGCATCTGCCCCCCCCCCCAACCTTCCCTTCCTGCTTGGCAAAGGAGGCTGCCAGAAAGGGCACCTGTAGCCAAGCGCTGCCCTTGCTTGCCCAGGGGAGAGTGGGGGATGCCCACAGATGCTCCTTCAGAGGATGAGCCCCGAAACCTCCACCAGCTATCCCGTGGAGGGAACCACACTGAGTGGCCGTGTGTCCTCAGAAAGGGGGCCCTTCTCTGCAACTGGAGGAACAGAGATGGCAGGGCTGGGATCTGCTTCCTCCTGCTCTGAGCCAGAGAGTCCCAAGTCCAGGGGAAGTTGCAGGCACTCTTGGGCCAGCCCCTTCTCAGCCAGAGGGAGAGCAGTCTCTTTCTTGGGGAGGACTGAGCCCAGGAGCTCCTGGATCACCTCCTCATCTACACAGGCGAGACCTCCATACTTATGGACCTGAGCAGCAGGAACACCTAGCAGGACAGGACAGGAAACAAACACAAAAATGGGAAACCAGACACTTCCATCAATCCTAAATCCCAGAGAAGGTTCCTTTCTACACTTTCCAAGTCTGTGATCCCTACCTCCCGGGCACCTATGCACATCATTCCCTGATAGGCTAATCGTCCCAAAGCTTCTTTTTCCAAAAGGTAATTAGACATTGTTGGTGTTCAAAGAAAATACAAAGAAAGTCCAGCTGCCTTTTGGAAAAAGTACCTTTTGGACAAGCATGAATAGGATGATTGAGAAGGGGCCAGTTCTAGCTCCAAAGAGCAATAAAATGCTCTTCTACCACTTTCTGCAAGAAAATAAATGTAACTATACCCAGAATCTGTGCAATTTGGGCTAGAGGGAAGAGAAGCTGGAGACAGCGGTTGAGGTATGGCACCAAGTCTTCCAGGAATGCTGTGCAGAAGTGAACAAACAGCTCTTGCTCTTGACTGCTGAATGCTGCTGCCTCTGCCCGATGGAAAGCCAGGATGATCTTTACAACCTGGTGAGAGAAAAGACTCATTAGAAGCCTTTGGTTTATAAATTCAGAGCAACTGGATGAAAACTACCTATTGAACATTCAGATCATGAATTATCTAACCAGGCAGTGCATGACACTACTAGACAAAATCCACCAGCTGCAAAGAGACTATGAGAGATTCTAAGGAGCTCAGTTTAAAATGGGAAGACATTCAAGCTTTTGGAATAGCCATTAAAATAATTATTCTCATCACTGAGAAATACAGAATATTTTTCCAGTCTAAGATAGAGAGCAGTACCTGGCTGAGCACGTCCTCCAACAGAGCTGCCACAACTGAGGTCAGAGCGACAGGACAGCAGAGATGCAAATCATTGAAGGCCATCAGGATGTTGTTGAGCAAGTGGGCAAGGGGGGGAAAGTCTAGTAGCACCAGAGGGGGCTGCAAGGTGCCTGGCTGGGCAGAAGGCATTGGCACAGAGATGGCACTGCCCAGGAGAGCCGGCGTAGAGATCAATGTGTAGGAGTTCATCTCTTCTTGGAACTGGTCTGTGACCTCCTGCATAGCTTTCTTGAAGGTAAGGAGCACCACACGCTGAAAAATGGGAACAAGCTGGCCCCGGAAGTCCGCCCCTACCCGGCTGAAGGACAGGCCAAAGTACATGCACTGGCCCAGCAAAGAGTCAAGGTGATTGCCCACACCACGCTGTAAGTCTTGCTCAAGAATCAGCAAAAACTGGGACACTTTCTGCAGCACCCACCCGTGGAAGATGGCACTCTCATTGAAGGTGTCCTTCCCCAGGGGCAGCACCAGCGGCTCTTCATCTGCAAATATGGCACGATACTGCGTGACAATGTCAAAGAGATGCACGCGGCAGGCCTCTATCGTTTTTGTGATGTGCACATAGGGGTCATCATCAGGAACAGCCGCAAGGATGGAGCGCAGCCAGAAGTCTCTTGCTTGCAGGAATGTGATGCGCAGTTCAGCCTCTGTGAACACATCCATGCAGCGCAGGTAGCCAATGACACGCAAACAAGCGGGTAGCTGGATGTTGGTGCGTAACTGCTGGATCAGTTGAGTAAGCATGTGCTGTGTGGACTGACGCACCTCAGCCACTATGCCCTGGGAAGGAGAGAGAAGCCATTCTTACTGGGGCAGGTGCTCTGACAATAGATTCACAAAACCATGCAAGAGGCATAACCAATTCTAATTCACAACGCCACATGGCCCTTTGGACTCACTGTTGTAATAGTGCCATAGATGTGCTCTGGCAACATTAATGCCAGCCAGCAGGAAATGTTTATGCTGAGACGTGGTTGCTTACGGTATATTTGAGCAACTCATGTAACAAAAGGTACTTGGTCTTAAATCATCCCAAAATTCTTAGTATAAAAGCAACCAGCATTTTACAGATCAAAAGAAAAGCAAAGAAGCCCCAACACTTTTTACCACAGAGGGAGCACAAATGCTTCACCTTCTCCCTCCTTTAAGCTTGACTCCTGCTTCAAGACTACGGCTATATCCTCTCCTGCCTTCACCCCAAGCCCCTCAGGCCAAGGTCACAGCGATCAGAGCCTGGAAGTTCAAAAAGGTTCACCCACGGGCCATCCCCAGTGGTGCCTGCACCTGGATTACGGGGAGGCCGGCGTGCTTCTTCTCCAGGCGGCGGACGTAGGAGATGAGCTCCAGCGCCTCCTCGTAGTAGCTGTTGCGGACACAGGTGTCCATCAACTGCGGGATCTCCAGCACCTCCAGGATCTCCGTGTGGCGGTTCAGTGTCACGTTGTTCATCCGGCGGCTGTGCGCGATCTGCTCGGCGTGGCGCATGAAGCCCCTGCGGGAGAAGGTGGCGAGTCAGCGGGCGGGCCTGGCCGGCACCCGCCTCGCCTCCCTCCGGCCGGGACGCGGCGGCTCACCGGCAGGCCTCGGCGAAGGGGGGCAGGCGGTCCAGCAGGCGGCCCAGGCCTTGCTCGATGCCGCCGAAGCCGCGGCGGGTCTCAGCGGTGCACTCGGCCGAGCGGATGAAGGTCTTGTAGTGCGCGAAGGCCAAGGCCCGCGTCTGCGCCCCCAGCTGCGCCCGCTCCTCCGCCAGCCGCCCGGGCTCCCGCCGCAGCGCCTCGAGGCCCAGCCCAGACAGCCCCGCTAGGTAGGTCGGCAGCTCCGCGTCCCCCGCCGGCACCCCTGAGGGCGACGCGCGAAACAGCCAGGCCAGCAGGCTCGCCTCCTCCACGTCCGCTCCGCTGCCCGGTGCCGCCGCCTCCGAGCCCGCCATCGCAGAATCTACGTGGACCAGGAAGTGATCGCTATGGCAACCGGGGCGCTGGGGCCCGTTCGATAGCACTTCCGGCTTCCGTTCTGACGGCTCTATTCCGAATGTCTCGCACTCTATAGTCCATGAAGGATGTTCCTGCGGTGAGGCAGCTTCCGGCCCTGGGAACAACTTCCGGGCCCGGCCAGGCTTGGGTGTCATCACGCGGCGGCGCTGCCTCTGGCGTTTCGGTCGCAGGGGCGATGCGGCCGCTGACGGAGGAGGAGACCCGCGTCCTCTTCGAGAAGCTCGCCCGATAGTGCGTGCCGGTGCCGCGCGGGCCTCGCGTAGCTTGGGGAACTCGGAGCCGCTCGACGGGCGGCTGGGCTGGGCTGGGCTGGGCTGAAAGGAGGCCGGGCGGGGAGGGCTTGGCCGAGGCTCTGCGGGGCTGCCCGGCCGACTCTGTCTGTTCCCTTCGCAGCGTCGGTGAGAACATCCAGCTGCTAGTGGACCGGCCGGACGGCACCTACTGCTTCCGCCTGCACAAGGATCGGGTTTACTACGTCAGGTCGGCGGGGCCCGCCGGTGGCCAGAGCCGCGAGGCAAAGGAGGGGAGGGGGGCGGCCTTTGAGCGGGTGTGCTCCCCCTTTTGTGTAACCGTCGACAAACCTGGATTGGAAGGGAAGTTTTTGTACGTTTTGTGACTTTTACATAGGGTGATGATTTCAGTGGTTCCTCCAGGGTAGAAAGGTTGAGGAGGGCTGGTCAAGACGGAAGCCGATGTCCTCCCCATCTCGCCCACTCCAGCTTTAAAGAGGGACCAAACCAATGGCTGACCCTCCACTTGCCCCAGAGTTTTGAGATTGGCCTACTGAAACCTGTTCCTAAACTCCACTTTGACTATACTCCACTTTGTTTTTCAGCGAGAGACTTCTGAAACTAGCTACAAACATTCCACGGGACAGTCTGGTGTCCCTGGGCACCTGCTTTGGAAAATTCACCAAGACCCAGAAATTCCGGCTCCATATCACTGCCCTGGATTACCTCGCCCCTTATGCCAAGGTAAAGAGCCAATGCCAATTTTATTTCAGAAGCATTTTCTTTCTGTTCCCAAGCATGAGCTTGAAGGATGTGAGAGAAGATGTTTGTCATGCTCCAAAATGAAGAATGGGAGAGGGCCAGAATGTCAACTGGCTTGCCTTGGGACAGTGAGAAACATTTTGACTGCAAGCGGTCAGTCAAAGACCAGTGAGGCCTGGAAATAATAATAATAATGTACATCAGATGGTTGAAGAATAAAAAATGGCTTTGGAAGAATATCTGAAGAACAATGATGAAGATGCACTGAAGTTAGTATATCAGGAAAGCTTACTGACTACTAGAGACACCAAACTGGCCTACAAGAAAGACCAAATGAAGAACAGAATAGAGGCATGGGAAGACAAAGCACTACATAGCCAGTACATTAAAAAAATAGCTGGGAAAGCAGATAATAAAAAGACCTGGCAATGACTAAGAGCAGGAAAATTGAAAAAAGAAACTGAGGGACTAATTCTGGCTGCACAAGACCAAGCCTTAAGGACAAATGCATATAAAGTCAAAATTGAGAAGACAGCAACAGACAGTAAGTGCCGCCTATGCAAAGAAGCTGAAGAAACAGTGGACCACCTGATAAGCTGCTGCAAGAAGATCACACAGACTGACTATAAGCAGCGGCATGACAAAGTAGCAACAATGGTGCATTGGAAGATCTGTAAGAAATATCATTGCCTGTAAGCAAGAACTGGTGGGATCATAAAATAGAGAAAGTCATAGAAAATGATAAAATTAAACTGGTCTGGGACTTCAGAATTCAAACAGACAAGCACCTGCAACATAACACCCCGGACTTAACATTTGTCGATAAGAAAGACAAAAAAGTCTGGATAGTGGACGTGGCAGTGCCTGGAGACAGCAGAATAGACGAGAAAGAACTGGAGAAGATAACAAAATACAAAGACCTACAAATAGAAATAGAAAGATTGTGGCAAAAGCAAGCAAGGGTAGTACCAATAGTAATAGGTGCCTTGGGTGCAATCCCAAAACAACTGGAACACCACTTGAACACCATTGGCATTGACAAATTTGCCATTAGTCAATTGCAAAAGGCGGCCTTTCTAGGAACTGCTTCCATCCTGCGACGATATCTGTAATAACATCAAACATCCACATCTGCCTATCCCAGGTCCTTGGTAAGGACTCGATAGGTAGACAAAAGGCCAAATCCAATCTGAACATCTGGCTGACTGTGCGATGATCAATAATAATAATAAAGTTGGGAGGGACCTTGGAGGTCATCGAGTCCAACCCCCTGCCCCCTGAAATTATACAATTTCAGACAAATGGCTGTCTAGTCTCTTCTTAAAAACTTCCAGTGTTGGAGCATTCACAACTTCTGGAACAGGTTGTTCCACTGGTTAATTGTTCTAACTGTCAAGAAGTTTCCCCCTCCCCTTTCTCTTCCCTTTTCCCTCCCTTATTTTTCTATTTTCTTTTGTATTTTTGTATTTGATATTATAAACTAAAAAAAAAAAAGATACATATGTTTTTTTTTTCTAAATCAACATCTAATTTTAACTGCATGGCCAAGCAACCAGTTTGCTTATTATCATCGTCTTCATTATTTTGACTGCAATTGCAACAAGCAAAGAAGTCAGGCTCTTAAGGATAGTGCTTTTACTATAATGAGGGACTGTTGCTAGCATCTTTTGAGAAATGCAATCAAATGGATTGTATTTCTTGAATAAACTGAACAAACTTGGTCGTGCTTTTAACAGTTCAAACAGTGCTAACACTGGTCTTAATTTGGAGAAATAAGTGATGCCAAAGCTTCTGTGTGTGGTTTTCTGGGTTGTTTTTTGGTTTGTTTTTTTTTAGAGTTGGTCTCTTTTATGTGTGAATTAAAATGGAATTAATAATAATAAAGTTGTAAGGGACCTTGGAGGTCATTGAGACCAACCCCCTGCTCAGGCAGGAAACCCTACACCATTTTGGACAGATGGCTGTCCAGTCTCTTCTTAAAAACTTCCAGTGTTGGAGCATTCACTGCTTCTGGAGGCAGGTTGTTTCACTGGATAATTGTTCTAACTGTCAGGAAGTTTCTCCTTAGTTCTAGGTTGCTTCTCTCCTTGATTAGTTTCCATCCGTTGCTTCTTGTCCTGCCTTCAGGTGCTTTGGAGAATAGCTTGACTCCTTCTTCTTTGTGGCAGCCTGAGATATTGGAACACTGCTATCATGCCCCCCCTCGTCCTTCTCTTCATTAAACTAGACATACCCAATTTCAGCAACCGTTCCTCATGTTTTAGCCTCCAGTTCTCTAATAATCTTTGCTGCTCTTCTCTGTACTCTTTCTAGAGTCTCAGCATCTTTTTTACATCATGGTGATCAAAACTGGATGCAGTATTCCAAGTGTGGCCTTACCGAGGCATTATAAAGTGGTATTAATACTTCACGTGATCTTGAGTCTATCTCTCTGTTAATGCAGCCCACCACTGAATTGGCTGTTTTGGCTGCTGCAGCACACTGCTGGCTCATATTTAAATGATTGTCCATTAGGACTCCAAGATCCCTCTCACAGTTACTACTATTGAGCAAGGTACCCCCTATACTACACCTGTACATTTGATTTTTCTTGCCTAATTGTAGAACCTTACTTTTTTCAGCAATACTGTTTAATTCAGTGCAGGAGGTTTAAGAGGTCATTTTATCATGCAAGGAACCACTTCTTGAGGATTTAGAGTTCAGTGGGCTATTCTGTTTCTCCTACAGTACAAAGTCTGGGTGAAGCCTGGGGCAGAACAGTCTTTCCTATATGGGAATCACCTCTTGAAGTCCGGTCTGGGCCGTATCACTGAGAGCACTGCTCAGTACCAAGGAGTGGTGGTGTATTCTATGGCTGATGTCCCTCTGGTGAGTTGTGGCAGATGTTTGGATTTGAGTAGGTCCTGATACAGAGAAGAGTTGTATTATTCACCTTACCCTCTTTGTTTCCTGCAGGGATTTGGAGTGGCAGCCAAAACCACCCAGGAGTGTCGAAAAGTGGATCCCATGGCAATTGTAGTATTTCACCAAGCAGACGTAGGCGAGTACATACGGCATGAGGAGACACTGACTTAATAAACAGGGCTGAATTCCTCCTAGCACTCTGTGTCAGCTGGAAACCTTAAAAACTGTGTCCCTTTTTATGCAATCTGAAAGGACTGCTGATTGATGGAATATGAATGTTTCCCAGTCAGAAACGGGTAACATGACCAGTATCTGTGCCTGCTAGTTAAAACAACTTGTAAAACTTTGGGATGAAGCTATAACTCAGAGGTCCCCAACCTTTTAGGCAGCAGGGACCAGTTCTGTGGAGAGAGGATTTTCTGTGGACCGGACTGGGCGTGGTTTTGTGTGCTGCCTGTACCCCATGGATGCGGTTTTCCTTGTTTATGCGGAACAGTTGCTGGCATGCCGCGGCCCGATACTGGTCCATGGACCAGGGATTGGGGACCCCTGCTATAACTCTTAGTCAAATTATCTGATATTATTCACATTGTTTTACTCACGTTGAGCTCTAGGAGCTGATAAAGATGCCATTTCTCTTATTTTTAGCACAGTGAATGCACTTGTTTCCTTTTATTTTTTTAGCTGGGCATCTCAAGGCAGAAAAAAATTAAGGGGACAATTCTGGTTGCATACACTCATAAAAGATGTCCCTGTTCTATTTGGATAATCAGCTGTCTGAACTCTTATTACAGCATAGTGCACAGGTCGGCAACCTGCGGCTCTTTGAGCCTTCTCCTGTAGCTCCCAGCCTCCTCTGCCATTTGCAGAGAGAGGCACTTGCGTTTCTCTTCTCTCTTTCTCTCTCTCTCACACAGACATACACACACACACTGAGTGGGGGAAGAGGACTGGCAGATCAAGGGCAGAAAGAGGGAGAGAGATGGTGGGAGAGAGAGAGACCCTTTTGACATCTAAAATGAAGATAACACTGCATATATCCTTTATGAGATACAAACACACCTATAATAAAGGTAAAAGGACATATGCAGTGTTATCTTCATTTTAGATAACAAAAGGGTTTTGTGGCTCCCAGTGTTTTGTTTTTGGTGGGAAACGGATCCAATTGGCTCTGAGTGTTTTGGGTTGTCTATCTCTGGCATAGGGCATTTTAAAAATTCAATTAATATTTATATTCACATATGCTGATGTTGCTCCTAGTCAATTAGTTCACTTAAAGAGAATTCTTTGGATTTATTATCCTATTAGCAAATTCCAGCCTTGAGAAGGGTACAACTCATTCCATGACTTTGTAGTCAGAGGTGAGGCCCTCCTCCTGCTTTGGGACTTGGCGTCGCATCCTGCTGAAGTTTCAGCATCTGGGCCTCTGGCTCAGCTGCATAGCAAAGAGGCGCTTGAGGAAATGGAGCTGAAGGATGCCAGAGAGCACAATGGCAACACTCTGAGCTGCTGACCACCACTTCACATAGGTGTAGTTGGACTGGAGAAGGTTGAAGTCTGTCCTTGACCTTATCCGAGCAAAGTTGTAGTAACGCCACATGTGGAAGATATTGGTCAGCAGCTTGGTGGTGCTCTTCTATTTTGGATTTTAAAATAATTCAGATTCAGCTCCTGGTGTTTAGAGGAAAAGAACACCTCCCTCTTCCCCTTTCTAGCTAGCTAATAAAGGCTGTTACCTGCTACTTTCATTTCAGGCCTTTAAACTAGATACCTCAATTGCTTCCAGGGTGCCATTGAGTTCTGTCCTCTTGAGCTCAGCAGTTTCTAGATCAGAGCCTTCATAGAAGACCCCGAAGTTGAGATACACTTGCACAGTTCCAAAATGGTTGTATCGATTACTCAGGCACAGCTGGTAGAAGCCTGAAAACAGAAGGGAGAATTACACCAAGTCTCAAGGACATTTCCTGTGATGCTACACTGGGTAGGTGATGTACAGTAAATGGATTGCTCACAAGGACAGGAAAGCTGTATCCACGGTTAAATCTTCTTTTCCTTTGAAACACAATGCTTTCAACCTTTCCTAGCAATTTCCTAGTCATTTTCTATCTCCAAAGCACAAAAATACTGAAATGGGAATTCAATGCAGGGGTGAGATTGGAATTGGATTTGGTGTTCAGCTCTCCTTAGAATTAAAAAAAGGTTATATGAAGTAGGATTTCTGCATTAAAAAAGCTATAACGTGGATGCAAATGAGGCTCAAATAGTATGTTTGGGCCATCAAGTGGAGGATATTTTCATGGAAGAATCTGCAACAGTGGCAGATGCAATTCCACCAGCCTCTGCTTGCTGGCATTCTGGCAATTGAGGCTTTCACATACTTGGGAGAGGGGGGTAGATGAATCGGACTCCCTAAACTATGACTAACAAGCCCAAGTGTTGTTTTCGTGCAAGGTGTCGTGCTGAAACAAGGACGGTGGCTGGTCTATGCCACGTGGCAGCACAGAAAAGGGAGTCATTGAAGCAGCCTTCTGGATGGGGTTTTGGGGCAGAGCCAACAATGAGGCACCTGTCTCCCGAGTCGGGAAGTTGATCTGTCCCTGCACATCCTGGGAGGTGCCGAGGTGGAAGCCACTGGGGTCGTTCACAGTTGCTAGGATGTGTCTATCATGGCCAAGGCCTGAAGTCCACTGCACCTGGAAGCAAAAGCGATCAAGTAAAATCGGGAAGGATCAATGGGGCCAATGACTCTGTTGCTTCCTGGGCCCAAGTGCCTTGAAAGTGGCTGAGTTGGTTCTTAAATCATAGGTTCCCCCTGCAGGTGCCTCTTGCCTGCAAAAAGGGCTTCAGGGGTCTGCCCTGGAGTGCAGGAGCTACTTGTATGGCAGGGGGAGAGCACTCCCCTCTTTCTAAGCAGCATAGAAACTCAGGGGTGCTGATAACAGGTGGAGGGACTCTTCGTATGGACAAAGTTTGGGCTGGGCAGTGGGGGCATCCTCCCCTCCCACAAGAGGCAGGGTGGAGATCCAAGAGTTCTGAAGCTGCGTCTCCCTGGCTTCTGCTTGGGCAGGTCTGCTCCAGCTGTTTCCAGGCATATCTTGGCAGGCATCTCTGTAGGATTCCCCCCTCCCCCCTTTGCCTGGTGGAGTCAGGTGTACAAGGGACCCTCCCTTCCCAGGGTGGCTAGGTCTCTGGGATCCACCGAGGGAAGTGAGATGCTGGCAGAATCCTGCTGGAATAATTCTCAGCAATATAGCTGTGGGCAGCTTTTCTGCTGCTCACAATGGGGGCTGCCAGGGAGGACTATTCCTGCCTCAACCAACTGAGCAGCTAGACACAATTGGGGGGGGGGGCTTCCCCCTTTGCCTCCCTCCCCACGGCACCCACCTCATAGCTGAAGTAGAAGGAGCCATTTTGGTGTGCAAATTGCCAGAAGCATTCAATGCCTCCTGCTGAGATGACAATGGCAAAGTCATACGGGTCCCTCATGAGGGGGGAGAGGCTGCTTGTGGGACCCCCTGGCTGCTTCTTCTCTTGGCAGTGGACGAGTTGCAGCCCCTGAAGCAAACCCAGGAGCCCCACCATCTGGAACCGGGCAAGCATGTTGGCAAACGGATGCCAGCTGGCTGTGGGCTCTGTGGAGGAACTGCAACCTCGCAACTGGCTGAGCTAATCATTAACTTTGCTGCCCTGCACCTGCTGGTTCAGGCGGAGCAACCTGGGGAGGGGAAGGGCTAGAGGGACCCCTTGGGAAGTTGTGCCACGGCCAGAGTGAAAAGGCCTCCCTTCACAGGGCACTGTGCCCAGATTGCCTGGGGACCTTCAGCTCCAGCAGCTCCTGAGTCAAGTTGCTTGCTCCCCCTTTTGCTCCACAAAGGCAAGGGGGTGAGCTTGCAGCCTGTCAAGCACCTCAGGATGTGGGACCACCAAGCAGCTGCCAGCTCTCAGGACAGCAGGTTGAGGAAGGGGTGTTAATGTGGCTCTCAGCTGAAGAGTAGGAGGTGGGGATGGGGCTTCAAGATTGCTAATGATTTCAAAGGATGGTTCAGAAGCAGAAATCACCAAGGTGTGGTGCTTCTCTATATAGCCCATTTTTAACAGCTTCTCTGTGCCTTTCCTCCCTTGGAAAAATGAGTGTACACATGTAAACTTGCATGCTTGCACCCTAAAGGACACATCACTTCCCCAACAGCAGTGTTTCCAAGGAATTGGCCAGATCATGAGGAAGAAAATATGGCTGACTTTATATATGGATTAAATGCAAGAGAATAAACACCTTTTGACTAGTGGATGATACTCTGCCTGTAACCAGATAAAATCCAGCCAGCAAGAGGGGGCCTTCCCCATGCCACTCTGGGGACTTCTCCCATCTGGGTCCTCGGGCACCTTGTGGGAATGTGAAGAACATTAACCAGGGCTGAGCCTGGCCTCTCAGACTACACAAACAACTTTTGCTGGAAAACCCAGTTTTATATGGCTGCCATATTTCATAGATACTGGCATATTCTATATGTTTTGACTTTTATTATCTTGCTTTGATTATGTTGGTATGCAGTTCTTCTTTGATGCTTAGTTTGCTGTTGATTGATGTACCGACTGCTATAAAACAAGCTGCTTGGACTGCAAATTATTCAATACAAACATTTTATTACCTATTTTACATAATATATTTAAGGCAGGGCGACAGCTAATACAATAAATTCAAGGCACAATCTTTTCTCAATTTCAGTTTAATCCCAGTTTCTTCATTGTTCGCCAGCGGTCCTTGATCATCACAGATGTACGATCCTTAAAAGGATAAGTTTGAGAAATAGCTTTCCAGTTCCCCTCCCCAAACTTCTCCACACCTTCCTTGATCCATGCAGACTCTTCTAAAGACCACTACAAAAGAATTAATGGAAACCCTCATGAATAAACAGGAACAGCTAAAATTAATAAAAGTGCAGAAAATGAAAAAAAAAAATTCCCCAGGCACTCTATGTCCCCATAATAGTTTTAAGTTATATTGGCTGAAACACAACCTTAGTCTACATTCAGAAGTTACATGTTTGCCAACTCTGAGGGAGGCTGAAAAAGCTTGAAACAGCAGCAGCCACAGCAGAGCAGTCCCTTGAGCAGCAATTTCCCAGATTCCTGTGCTATCATTGGCTATAATTATCTAGACTGTCTAAATTATTTTTAGAGAAGAGAAATGAGCAATGATCAATTTGTTTTGTTTCAGAAAGTTCTCTGCTTGTATTAGGTTACATTACCTTCTTCTTAGCCCCAGAAGTGTTGGTGCCAACTGACCACTCTAATTCTGAAAGGAAAAAAGGAAAAGAAAACCACTCGCAGAGGTTGGCAGGCACAAATTTTGCCTGGGAATTTTTTCTGCCATACACAGCCAGAGTGCTTCTACCTTCCTGCCTCAGATGGTTTTCGCCAGGACAACACAACATTGCACCAGAAACGCAAGCGGAGAGGATAAACATTCCCTTCAGGCTTACTGGCAGAGTTTAGGGCAAATACATCAATAATGCACTCACGCTGGTCCATGAAGATCTCGTCCTCATCACTCCAGGATTCTTTCTCTTCCTGAAGAACGGAAAGAACTGCTTGTTTGGCCCCCCTAAAGCAGAAAAGAAAGCCCGATTACACGTGAGCCCCTCCTGGGCTCTGACAGCATCAGACACTTTCAGCCACAGAGGCACACATCGGCAAGCATCCAGGGGACGTTGTTCTTACCCCAAATCGCAATAGGAGTTCAAAAATGACTTCCTTCAATCATCCTGATGCCCACCCAGAGGGGCACATCCCTGCTGGGGCACATCCCTTCCCCTTTAGGGAAGTGGCTATGGCCAAACCGTGAAAATGCCCGAGGAGATCTGCAAGAAGAAAGTGCCAATACTTCCAAGACTGCAGCTCTGCCATCTCTCCTAACAGAGACCCAAAGGGAGCCCTCACCATACCTGGAACCTGGGGGTGGTGCACTTGGGTGGCTCTCTTCACACTCTGATGACTGGACCTCCAGAGTCACAAGTGGCTTTGCAACCAACTGCCTGGTAGGGGAATGCCTGCGATGTTCCCCCTCTTTCCACAAGAGCATGTTGCTTATAGAGGGCACAGATCTGATCTTCTCCAGGTCGAGAAGAGCAGGGACAGTGACGTTTTCCATATTCTGGCGTTTAGCTCTGGGGGAGCCGGAAGGAGAGAGTGGCTTGGAATAAGTCCAGTCAGTCTTGTCCAGTTGCAAGAAGGCCTCCTCAGGGTCTGGGGCATCAGAAAGAATCTTGAAGGCTTCTCTCAGCACAGAAAGCACGTAGAAAGCTGGCTTCTGGCTTGAGGCCCTACAAAACACAGGAACCCCAGAAGAATATTCTGTGAGCTCTGCCAATTTCTATCCAGCTGAAGAGCAAGGAGGCCTCTCTAAATGAGGTCACTGCTGTGCCTCCTTCACCAGGGGAAAATGTCCGGTCATATTTATAGAGTTCCCTGAACAAATAGGGTTGCTCTAACATTCCTTTGCCCAATATTCGCAATCCGCAGCCTTTGTACATGGACTCTCATGCCAGAGAGGACTTACTGCATTGAGTCGTCGGAAGCCCCAGACACGGGGGCCATGGCAGCGGGCTCTGCTATCCCTGTCGCTCCATCCACCTGTATGGATGCTTTGGTGGGCTCATCGGCAGCCTCCGCGCAGCCCAATACTTCACGTTCATCCAGTGCTGGCAAAGATTTTGCTGCTGTTTCTCCGGTTCCTGCTCCAGACTCCGGCCTTCCTCCTGCCTCTGGGGCCTCGCTGAGTTTTCCTACTCTCTCTCCATTTGCTGTCCTCGAGGTCTCGGGGGCCTCTTGTGCAGCCCCCAAAACAGCCGTTCTATCCCTGCTAGCTGCTGCTGGACTCTCCTTGGACTCCACATGATCATCGCAATACTTTTTTGCCATCTTAAATAAAAAGCACGAGAGTCACCACAAGACTTTTAATATGGTGCAGAATGCAGACAGACTGTAGTTGTTTTTCCCACACAAAACTACTACTGAGAAAAACTGAACTCCTGTGTTACCTTAATATCTTGCCATTGCTATAACTATATAATTATTACTGTTCCTGTTTCTATTCCGAGGATTGATTTCTAGTACTGTAATTGTAGCACTATGTGGCCATTGAAGTAATGATCAAATCATTACGTGACCGCAAACCAACACTCACCACTAAGAGAAATGGCTCACAATCATCCAAGTAAGGTTCAAAGAAGAGAAGAATCCGCTGCTGGAAAGCTTTGTAGGAGAACTGACAGATGGCTGGATGAGAAGAGTTTTTCTCTTGGATGATGTGATGCAAAATAGCCTTAATTTGCTAGCCAAGGAAAAGCAGTAGAGATCCACATCTTTGAAGGGCCTAGAAGGGTAAGCTGACTGCCAGTCCATAATGCTCTAAAACAACCACAATTAGCAGCCAAATGCCTGTTCTCTTCTACCCTTTGAGAGAAGACAGGCATCCAAAAAAGGCACTGACTTTGCAAGGGAAGGAAAGACTCATTACTGGGACATATCCAAAATGTTCACCTTGCTGCTTGGATCCTGTGACAGGTACTTCTTTAAGATTTTGTTGGCATGTTCATATTCTTTGTTCTTAATACAGGTGATAACAGCCTGAAGCAAAAAAAATAAGAATAAGAATGCAAGCATACCTTTTCTGGATTTCTAAACAAAGTGTTTTCCGGATCTGTTTTACGTGGCCCCCAGTAAAGCCCTTTCTCCAATTCTGAACTCAATGGAAACAAAGTGGAGATTGAGCCCATGGCAGCTCCCTTGCTTCCATTTTCAGAGCCTTGCTCTCAACATCCAAGGCCTGCTCCTTTGGTGGTTTCACTAGTTGACTTTCATCATCTGAGAGCAGCTGGCCTTCCTATTCTTTTCTCAAAGTGTCAGAGTTTTGTAGCTATTAAATCTATACAAAGCAAGTCAGGGACATTTGTAAATATAGTTAACAGTCAGTTTTGAACTGGAAAAAAGAGAAAGGGGAAAGGTTGTTTTTTTTAGTGGGGTACTATATTACTTCCAAAACAATTTTCCCCGTGTGGCCCCCCTCGTCCTGCTTAAAAAGAGTGACCATCATCACCACTGAAATTAGTGTCGACAGGAGATGAAACAGGCATCCTTACAGCCTCCTTTATTCTTTTCTTTAATTCCTCCATTATTTCCACATTGATATGGCATTCCTCTCTGAGCTTCTCCAGAAGGGCAAGCCCATTTTCAAGAGGCGTGAGCTCAGTTTCTGAATCAATGGTCCAATCTAAAATATAAAAGAGGCTTGTTACTTTCAAACTATGATAGCACACCCATACGATTGGAAAAAATGGAATGTACATTTCAGAGGTACAGATGCTTCAGTTACTTTTAAGCAAAATCCTGTAATCCACAGAATATAGGCAACACATCCACAAGGGCTTGTCCTGCTTACTATAGCACTATTCTGCTAAATTACTATAACCTCTGTTCCTCCACTACTACGATTCTTTGTGAGTCCCCCCCAAACTCCGACCCCAGCCCAGCCCAGCTCAGCTTGAGAGAGCCCGGCTGCTGGGCTGGCTAGGGAGAAGCCTGAAGGGAGCGGGTACTAGCCGCCCAGGTGACCGCCCTCATGCAGGCAGCCCGTGCCTCAGAGACCCCGCATGCAGCGCTTTGGCCTTTAGACTGAGATCGGATCGCGCAGAGCTCCTCGAAGCCAATCCCTCTCAGCCGCAGCGCCCAGCCAGCCCGGCCCGGCGGCCCGGGAGCGAGCGAAAAGGGGCTGGGCCCCGCTCACCTTCCTCCAGCCTGGACAGGATCTGGATAATCCGCAGCTGGATCCGGATCGGCTCCTCCAGGGCCACCGGCCGCGCCAACACGGCTGGGGAACAAGGCAGAGGCGGCGGCGGTCAAGCGGGGCCAGGCGGCTGCGAGCACGCACCCCCGGGAGGCCCCGCAGCCCGCTCGGATTTCGTTGCGGGAGCTCCCCCCGACACCCCCCGCTGCCGGCCGCGACGGGCCTCCCGAGGCGACGGCGTACCGGTGAGGACGTCGCGCAGCTGCCGGAAGTCCTGGCTGTTCCCGGCCCGGAAGGCCCGCAAGGCCTGGTGGGCGTAGAAGAGGACGGTCCAGCGGTTCCCCACCGCCTCCAGCTCCATGCTCCGCGCCTCCGCCGCCTGCTCGGCCGCCGCAGCGCTTGCCGTGGCCATTCCCGCTCACGTGACGTCACCCGCGCGCCGGAAATCAAGCCTTCTTCCGCGCGCCTCCCGCCACCGGACCGCGAGGCGCCCTCTGGGACGCAAGCGCAGTGAGCGGCTGAGCCCCCCCAAGGGCGCCTGGGCAGCCGGGATGCTGCGGGGGGGCGGGCGGGGGCGGGTTGTTTCTTCCCTTGAACGCCCAGGAGGAGCAACCTGGCCTTTCACGCCAGACAGGCTGCATCCTCGAGAGGGCATCCGAGAGCTGCTGGCAGGCAGCCTTAGCGGGGCACAGCGCCCGGTCCCTCTCGGCCTGGCAATAGGGGGTGGGCAGGCGTTGCTTTGCCGGTTCGCCTCGCCCAGAGCAGAATTATGGCCCTTCTGGCTGCCCAGAACGGAGGGGGGGGGGCGTTCAGAGGGTCCTCCGTGCAGGCAGGCTGGCGAGATTCCTCGCTGCCCCCTCCAAAGCTGGGAAAGCAGGCGATTCTCACGATTGTGACCAACAGATGACCAACAGCAGAGGGAGAAGAAGCAAAAGCAAAAGGAAAGTGTTAAAATGGTTCTTCCAAGTGGCAAAGAGCTCGGGAAAGCTGGGCACCTGATGCCGTTGCACGGGGCCCTGCTGGTTGACCACAAGGGGTGCTATGCCAGGGACCCTTTCAGCTCTATGTCCAAAGGTAGCAGTGCCCCTGCCAGGACTTCCATTTGGTATTTATATCTTCCTCTATATCACATTTGGTGGCAGAATATGCCCAGGGAAAGAGCATAGGATGCCCCAGATTAATGGGCAGGGCTTTGGGACTCACTGGGAGAGGAAGCAATCCTCTGAAATCAGATGTGCCACAGGAATCATCCTGTGGCCTCGGGGTGCAGGCAAGTGTATTGAAATGAATTGGTGGTGCTCTCTGTGTTCTAAAAAGAGGTACTGGAGAGAATTCCCAAAGTGAAGGCTTCAGGTTTTCTTGGGTCAACCTTTGGTGAGCCAGATAGCCTACAGCTCATCTGTGGCCCACATTACAAAACTGCCTGCAGCAGGGACCCCTTCTTCCTGGGCTATACAGTGTGGGGGGGGGGAGAGGCTTTTTATAACTGAGTAGAAGCAGATCCCTCTGAAGGAGGACAGACAGCCCTGGTTTTTGTTCTTTGTACTGGACAGAGGTAACTGCAGTCATTTGGGAGTGGGGGGCCTGAACAGCCATGCCCTACAACTCTGGCCACAGCACGGGGAACTTTTGTAGTGCACTAATAAAAGCATTTTCTGTTCTTCCTGCCTACATGCAGCCATTGGAGAAACATCTCTTCGGAGCAAGAGACTCTGTGTTCCCCTTCCCCGAGGGGATGTTCTGCAGTTGGAGCACAAGTCATATCCATGTCATAAAACTAGTTTCACAAAACTTGTTCCTGTGCCCAAGGTGAACTAGTTGTGTTTGTGAGGGATTTCACCATTTTAAAATGGAAACACAATGCTGCCAATACTTTTTAAATTAGCTGTAATGCTAAGTCATGGGGTGGGGGGGAAGCTAATTGATGCTTCTGATGGTTTGTCCTTTGGCAGCAGATTCTTTTTGCAGATAAGAAAGATTGCATAGATGAAGGGGCAGTTTTCTTTAATATTATACAGTCTTAGGGATATTGATAGTATCGGTGTGGGGATAACTACTTTAAGCAGGTAGAACAACATATAATAACACACCCTTGCCCATCTTATTCTGATCTGATGTATACCATGTATGGCCTTTCTCTTTAAATCACTTTTAGACTTCAAAACCAGGTTTAATCTGTTTTTCTTCCTCTCCCTCCTTCCCATTCTCTGGAAATGCTTATCTCGGCCAAAGGCTAAGAGGGGCAGGATGTGGCCCATCCCATCCAAATTCAGCATTCCATTTGGGCCCTGCTTCCCGATTCACACTCTCCTCCCTGGCCACACATTCTGCTGCTATCCCAGCCTGTCCTTGCCAACACTCTTAACAGGACTGACTTCAGGCCTAGCTCCCAGTCGACCTCTGGATCCTCTGTGGGATGCCCAGCCCTTGTTTATCCTGCATTTACGTATCTGGTGTGGGCTGAATGCTCACTGTAGTGTAAGCTTAGTTTCCCCTGTCTTCTTCCCTATTTCAGGCTGGGCACAGCAATATTTCGGAAGGATCTCCAAGGACTTCAGATTGCCTTCCTAAAACTCTACCTCTCGTGCTAGGCATTCTTCCCTCTTGTTAGCTCTTCTTTGCAGACCAGGTGAAGAAGCAGATATGCTGGGGATTCTCCATAGAATACTACAGCCCAATAATTAGTAGATAATTGAAAATCACATTTTTAAACTGTATTAAAACTTCAAGATATTAAACTGAAGCAGGATAATTATGGGGCAAGCCCCTGTCAGATATCTGTTCCTCCATTGTTTACAGCAGAACCAACTTAATGCTGGGCAGGGTCTTTGGTTCTCCTACCCGCACCCCCTCCCACCTCTAGCACCACCTTTGTACCCAGCAGCTATTCAAGGAAAGGGAGTTAGTTCCTTCAGTGTCTCCTGGGCATTTCAGAAACTCCCTTCTCAGTTACTCACTGCAGAAGGAGGAGGAGGAGGAAATGCCAGGAAGCCCTTCGGAGAGCAAGTGGAAAATTAAGGGAAAGTGAGCAAAGGCCCTTTCATGCCATTTAGGAAAAAGGATAGCATTTAAAAAGAGGAAGTTGGTTTTTCACCTTTCACCCTACAAGTACCAGATGCTGAGTTTACATTGTGGGGATTATCACAGGCAGCTCACCTTTGGTCAAAGTTAATACTACCACTAAATATATGTAGCTTATGAATAATTTTTAACTGGATGATAAATTGTTTATGACAGTTTTAACAGAGAACAATGCATTTTAAAGGGAACAATGTAGAAAAGATGCTGCATGATTTTATGATCACAATGATAAATTTAAGTATTTCCCTTATGTTTGAGAAAAATGTTCTTCTCCATGTTAAAATATGAAAACCTAACTGCATTGATGCAGCCTCCCTTCTTATTTCCCTCCCTCCTCTGTATCCGAGTTGCCATTCATACTTCCCATAAAGGAGATGAGGGATACATCACATCAAAAGATAAATGAAAATAATATATGTATGTTAAAGTATGCAGGTGGTTCTTATTAAAGTTCTATCCATCCTACCAGAGTAGGTACAATTGTGAGTAGATGACTGCTTTTCTCCTGCCGAGCCTGCTGTCCAGAGGAAGCTAACTAGAAGCTCAGCAACACCAAGATCTTGGTGACCATGACTAGGCCCCTTCAGAAGTGGATTGTTCTCAGGACTCAACAGCGCAAGGTGTTCTGACCCCACCAGGGAGCACTGGTTCCAAGCTCTCACTCTGTGTGTGAATGAATGTTAAGAGAGAGAGAGATTAAATATGTGTGTGAAGACATATAAATAGACAAATAGTGGAATTGTCTGAACTTGCTTCCCAACTTCAAGTAGAGAGCTTTCCTGTTGGTCCTGGGCAAGCAATGCCTGAAGAACATGGCTTGTTCTCCAAGAAGCAAAGGCCCATGTCCATTCTGTTCATCAGCATCCAAGGATCTCTTGGCATGCCTTGAAAGAGAAGAGAGGTGGGGAGTCACCAGGCTGATGTTTCCTCATCCACAGTCCCCCATGGTGTCATTAGTGGGAATGTCTCTGCTTTCTGTGTGCCAAAAACAACAAGGACCAGGAAGAAGCAAATTATGCTTCTTGTTTGGCTTTTTGTCTTGACTGCCTGATTTATGAGCCTCAGTGCAGCGATTAGAGATGAAAGAAAACATTCCAGGAGAAAGATCTGCACATTACAGCAGCCTCCTATGCCTGGCCTTCTGCACGTTACTGTAAAAGTGAGAGGGAAGCTACACACACACACACACAAAAACCCAGAAAAATTACAAGCCCCCCTCTCGCTCCCACTGCCATCAGCAAATGCAGAGATGCCACAGCCAGGCCTTGTCTGGGCACTAACTTGGCTGGAGCTGGGGCATGAGAGCCAAAGGCAGCACTGCAACCAGCTCAAGGAGCAAGCAGCATGTCTCCAGGCATTGCAGAAATAGTAACTGACACAATATACTTGCTGGAGGAACCCTACAGCATTAGGGTAGCCTGTGAACTTTAGCCATACTTTTCATGCTCCTTCCTGTTATAGGCCATGGTTCTTGGTGACTACATGCTCTGGTCCATGCAGTTTTCTGAATAACATTTTGGGAAGGGGGCTGCCAGTACTCTTTTTCAGGATTTCTAATTCAAGAATCTAGGCTGAAAAGAGAGAGGACTAGAATTCAGGTCTTGCTGTGCCTAGTCCAGCACCTTTGACCACAACATTGAATACTAACTGGCTCTTACTGTGCTTACTTTCCAGTAAATCTCACCACAGATGAATGTGTTAATTATTTTGGCCAGATACCACCAGCAACAGTTCTTTGCTGTAAGGTCATTAATTGGACTTAGTAGCTGAAATGCAATGGCAGATCATAGTTCATTATCACACTGAGGGTGTTGGTAAAACCTATAGTGTAGGGAAAAGATCCCCTGCCCCACCCTTTTTTGCATCCTTGCTCTAAGACAGTGGTTCTCAACCTTTTTAATGCCGCGACCCCCAACTGGTCGTAAGTCGAGGACTACTCAACCGGTCGTTAAGTCGAGGACTACTCAACTGGTGCAGCACCATTTGCAGAATGGGATTTTGGCGGGCTCAGCAGGGCAGAGACAGCCTGGACAATTCCTATTGGCTTTTGAAAGCCAATAGAATTAGACTCTATTCAAGAGAGTCTATTCTATTGGCTTTCAAAAGCCAATAGAATAAAAGGGAGTAGCATAGCTAAGGAAAAGGGGGGAAAAATGGCGGATTGCGTTGTTTGACGACCCCCGTGAAATGGTCGTTCGACCCCAAATGGGGTCCCGACCCACAGGTGGAGACCCGCTGCTCTAAGAGATCCTCTTCTGAAATGCTGCTCTGGAGTCCAGAAACCATCGCAGATGTCATGGAGGGAGGGAAGTGGGGAACAAAGCTCCTGTATTCACACTCAACTGAAATACATATCCGAAGGGTTTATGCATCGAACCATTGGATGAAGGACACATAGATACTTGTAAAGCAAATCTATCACTTTGTTTGAAAGTCAGATGGGGAAATAAATTACTCTGATTCTTCCAAATTCCATCCATGTATAATGAGCTTTCCAGAAGCTCAAGGTAATGCTTGTGTCACCTTTAAACAAACGAAGGGAGTGACCAATTTACCCTACCTACATTTTTTGTTTTTATTACCTCAGATAAGATGGAGCCACCACACAGATAGGTCTGCATTGTGATTGTGTATCTCTGGCCTATCATTATCTCCACCCCATTCCAACTCTCTGTAACTTGATGGTAAATAAATGAAGAAGCTGCTGGGCTAGCCTCCAGCTCATGTGGCCAAACTTGCTCGACTGGAAAATAAAGAGAAGTGCACATTTCCTGTGAAAATGACGGCTTTCCACACAGGCTGTCCCCCACCCGAAAATATTTCCCGTGACTGACAAAACAAAGAACAGGAAGACAAGACTGTCCCTGGGGAATAATCAGACCATATTTTACAGTTTAATGTATTGCATGGTTTATATACTTTTCATATAGGAGCCCGCTGGGCCTGCTTTCTTTCCTATCCATCGTGCTCAACAAAGAGCGGCCATGTGCAGAACGTTGAGAGCCAGGCTTCTAGATCACCAGTACATTTTCAGAAGTAAGGATCATTTGGCAGGCTAATTCATATCGCCTGGTGCCCAACTGGAGAGCCAGTTTGATGTAGTGGTGAAATTGCTGGCCTAGAAAGTGGGAGACTTTTGAGTTCTAGACTTCCCTTGACCATGAAAGCAGCCAGTCGCTCTCTTAGCTCACCTCGCTGCACAGGGTGGTGCAGGAGATTGAGATAATGTTCACCACCTTCAATTATATATTTTAAAAGACAGGATAAAAAGTAATTTAGATATTTATTAATTTACATAGCTCCCCAATCTCACTGAAGGCAACCCTGGGCAGCGGCCAATAAAGCAAATGGGTGTAGGGAGTTGTACCAATATATATATATATATATATATATATATATATATTATATATATATATATATATATATATATATGTTGTACCAATATATCTATCTATCTATCTATCTATCTATCTATCTTTGGTTGTTCGGGTTTTCTCCCGCGTAAAATTGGAAGCGTCTTGGCGACACTTGTATGTATTGCCTATCCAATACATACTTCCATCTATAATGGACAAAAATACAAACAAACAGAAGGAGCACCCATGGGATCACCCCTCTCACCTGTCATTGCAAACCTCTACATGGAACACTTTGAAACCCAAGCTCTAGAAAAATCGGATCACAAACCCAAACTCTGGCTCAGATACGTAGACGACACCTTCATAATCTGGCCACATGGGAAAGAAAAACTGGACAACTTCCTCACACACCTCAACAGCCTACACCCCAAAATACAGTTCACCATGGAAACAGAAGCTAACAACCAACTTCCCTTCCTGGATGTCTTAGTCTACAAGAAATCCAATGGCTCCCTAGGACACACCATCTACCAGAAGAAAACACACACAAACCGCTATCTGCACGCTCTCTCACACCACCACCCAGCACAGATCAACTCTGTAGCCAAGACACTCATCTCCAGAACAAAACGCTTAGCTGACGAACAACACCTAAAACCCGAACTACACACTCTCACCAATGTACTAACATCCAATGGATTCCAAAGAAATAAGATTACAAACCTAATCCAAAAAGAAACCCCCACTAAAATCCAAGACAAAGAACAAGAAAACGGCAAAGCCCTCCTCCCATACATAAAAGGCACCACAGACAGAATCAGTAAGATCCTCCATAAACACAACATCAAAACAGCATTCTGCACAAACAGAAAAATATCCACCATCCTTAGAAACCCCAAAGATAAAATTGACTTAGAAAATCAAGGAATATATGAAATCCCATGCACTACTTGTCCCAACACATACATCGGACAAACCAACAGAAGAATAAGTGCACGCATTGAAGAACATAAGAACTCAGTCAAAAAAGAGGAACCAACATCTTCCCTGGTCCAACACCTTAAAGCAGTGTTTCTCAACGTTTGCGTGACGGCGACCCCCGTCACACAAACGTGCCGCGCATGCGCGGTGCCCCCATGCGTGGCAGCGCCCCCATGCGCGGTGCGCATGCACGATGGCGTCCCCATGCGCGGCGCTGGCCCCATGCGCAGTGCGCATATGCGGCACCGCCCCCTGAGGGGGGAAAATGGCAGATCGCATTGTTTGGCGACCCCCGTAAAATGGTCGATCGACCCCAAATGGGGTCGCGACCCATAGGTTGAGAACCGCTGCCTTAAAGCCACAGGACATGAAATTGACTTTAAAAATACCAGAACCATTGCCAAAAGTAAACATTTTAATAACAGAATAATCAGAGAAGCCATCGAGATAGAAAAACGCCCACACAGCATGAACAAGCGAGATGATACCTCCCGCCTACCAGCCATTTGGAAACTCGCCCTTATTGACAAACGACTCCCTAACACAAAAAATGATACCAGACCCACACTCACAAAAACCACACAGGATGTCACCACCACACATCCACGCAAAAAACAAACCCAAAGCCACACCGATGACGAGGCACGACCACAAACCAGAAGCCAGACCACAGCTGCATCATTAGCCACTTTAAACCCCTCCAATCCATACATGAAGCAAACTGACACCCTCCATGAAGATGAGGCACGACCACGAACGCGAAGCCAAAAAATAGCAAGGCAGCCCACCATCTTAAACCCCCCTGCAACTCAGACTAACCTGAGCACAACCAAACAGAACACTCCCCCAGCCAATCAGAGCTCAGCCAACCCCCCAGCCAATCAGAGGACAGCCAACCCCCCCAGCCAATCAGAGGACAGCCACGCCCCTAACCAATCAGAACACACCTCCACCCAATCAGAATACAGCCAAGCTCCCACCCAATCAGTTCATACCCCCGCTGGCAGTTAAAAGAAACAGCTAAGACCACACATTACTCCCCGAAGCACGAAGCTGAAAGTACCAGCCTGAAGATGACGAATGGGACTTCGTCGAAACGTCGCCAAGACGCTTCCAATTTTACGTGGGAGAAAACCCGAACAACCAAAGACCTACATACAAACACCCGCGAAAACCTCAGAAAACATATATATATATATATATATATATATATATATATATTATATATATATATATATATATATATATATACACACACACACACACACACATTTATACACACATACATACATACATACATATATATTGATACAACTCCCTACACCCAGGAGGTTTCTTGACGGCTGCTCTCCCAAAAATGTGGCAGGTTACAGAGAAAGCTCTTGACCGCGAGAATTAAGATATTTGGAAGCGGGAGGGTCAATTCGCTGTCCCCGTTTCCTGAACGGTGAGCCGGAAAACGGTTTTCGCCAAGGCAGCTCTCCGGGCTCGAGCGCCCGCATGCATCAGGCGGAGGTCCGCCAGGGCGCGCGGAGGGTCGGGCTCCGTGACCTCCGGGTCTCCCCTGGTGCTTGCCGCAGGAGGGAGGCGCCAGAGTGGCCCAACTCGGCTTGGCTCGCTCCGGACTCAGCCGCGCCGCGTCGGGGATGCAGCCCAGGAGGGAGGCCTCCCGGGCTGACGATCGGCGCCCATCCAGCAATGTCACTTCCTTCCGGAAGGCCCGGATGGCTCCGCGCCTGATTGGTTGCCTCGCGGCGCGCGCGCGGCTGCTATTGGCCGAGCGAGGGGAAGGGCCGGCGGCGGCCCACAGGGCCGAGACCAGTGAGGCGGGAATCGCGGATGGGGACGGCCGGAGAGTGTAGCGGCGCGAGGCCGGAGGCCGGCCCGTTTTTCACCTTGGCCGAGGTGGCGAAGCGCAGCACCGACCGGGAGGCCTGGCTGGTCATCCACGATCGCGTCTATGACGTCACCCGCTTCCTCGACGAGGTGGGCGCGAGGGTGGCCGGAGGCAAACGAGGCCGCGTCCCTCGCCGAAGAGGCTGCCGCTGCCCTGGGCCCCGTCGGGATGGCTGGCTCGTGGCCCGTCGCCCCCCGGCTCTTGGGACGCGCCGCTCAGCGGAAGGGCCTCCGGCGCCGCCTTCTTGGAGCGGGCAGGCCGGGAGAGCCGTTTCCTCGCCTCCTCCCCCAGAGCGGTCTGGCTTGCTGAACGGCCCTTCTACAAGGCAGATGCAAGCCAGGCCTTTGGGACGTTGTGGGGGGGATTTGTTATATTTAAACGCATATTGTTGCATCGCAGCAAATTCTGTATAGCGGTTCAAGGTTCAACACTGGACTGGCAGGGCAGTCACTTGAAGGAAGGAGAGCAGTAGAACCGAAATCCTAAATGACACAAGAACTCCTTATTTTATTTCTTTTTTATAGGAATATCTTCAACTGTCTTTTTGCTTGAATATTATATTACAGGCATGAAAACAACTAATCACAAGGTGAAACTATAATAAAATTATCACAGATTGCTCAAATGGTAGAGCCACCTAATCGGCATGACTGTACTTAAAATCATCATCTTCATTTCCTTTTTTACTTCTTCATGTGTTGGGTGTATTTAAAATATCTTAGCAAATAAATAGTTTAAATAGTGCTGAGGATAACATAAGGTTGCTGCCAGCCAGCTCTCGGTCAAGAGGGCATCATAGTTGTCTTCAGGAAGGGTACCCAGGGAAGAGCTCAGCGGCCTGTGACCCAAAGTGAGAATTTAGAATATTTGCAGGGCAGAAAAGGGAGAGGCTAACTTCCTCTTGTAGTCCTCTGGGTGCTGGCTCTGGAGCCTTCGCCACTCCTAAACTCCTAAACGGTTGTAAGACCCTGGAGCCAGGGTCTTACAGCCAGATCTGGAAGTTAGGAAGCAAAGCTGAATGGGCACATGTTTCCCACCTCTCAGCATGCTACTGGAACATTATTATGCTGCCCGAAATACCCCTTAGCTCTTGATTAATCCAATTTCTCAATCTTTTTGTACATCCAATTATGCCTCTTGTTGAGCTGGATTATTTAAAGCATCGGGAACAACAGCCTGTAAGGAGTACCAGGAATAGAAGTCCTTGTGACATCCTGGCCTCCTCCAGTGAACTGGAAGTTAACTTAAGAAACTTAAGGTCAACTTATATTGTGAGCTGCCCAAAGTTTGGTGGCACAAAAATTGAATCATGTAAATGAATAAATTAGCAAGAGAGCTTGTCAGGCTCATATCTAATCTGAGCTATGCAGAGAAGTCTGTTGAATGTCTTGGGATAAGCACCCTTCACTTCAGAGGCCACAGAAGCAAAGAGAAGAAGGGAACTCAATTGCTAAGGGTACAAATGGAGCCTTATTGTCTGTTGTCCATGTCTCCTTACTTCCCCCTATGTCCACATTGCTTGCTGTGTTTCTCTGGGTAAAAATGTGAAATTTGCCACAAGGGGAAACTAATGACGTCAATCAGAGATTATTCCCTTAACCTCTGCTCCCCACCTCACCCTTGAAGGAGTTTTACCCTGGGAGTAAAATCCACCGCAGGGTTCTTTGCAGTGTGCTGTGGGTGTGTCTGGGCATGTTTTGCCCGCTTTGCACTCACTGACCCAACAAGCTGTCTGGCTCCTGTGCTGCTGTCAGCTGATGGCATCTGCTCCCTGGGGGCGGGGAGGGGGAAGCAGGAAGTCAAACATCAGTTGGAAAGATCATATAAGTAGCCTTCTCAGCACGCTGGCCCATTTGTCCTGCTGCCCTGCCATTATCCACCTCTCTGGGCAGCAGTTCAGCCAGAGGGAGGCCATCTTCCTGAGGGAACCAGCTAGGATTAATTCTGGGCATTCAGCCAGCAGAAGAGAAGACTTTCCTTTGCATGCCTTGCTTGGTGGTCCACAGCAGGCAGCCTGACAATCTGCTTGCCAAAGCTCCTGCCTGCATCCAGCATCTTAGGAGCACAAAGAATCTTGAGCAGCTAAGCCTTAAGCAGAATAAAGAGCTGCTGTCACCCTCAAAATATTAGGGACAAGAATAGGCCATAGAAGTCTTGCAAATTTTCTGAAATTTGCGAAGTGTGTTCAACATACGAGCATTAATTTGTTCAGAGATAAGAAAAACAAACTCCTTCCTGAGTAACTAGAACAGCATGGGAAGGTATGTCAATGTGGATGAATTGCAGCTCCCACAATCCTTTGTTCTGGCCATATTTCTGTGGACAGATGAGTTTTAAATTTAGATGCTTGGAGGAGACCACACGGTCTATATTTGCAATATTGACAGTATCAATTTAGGTGCTTGGTTGATGGAGGCTGGGTTTCCTTAAGCTAGTTCCCATAAAGGACATGACATACATGTTAATTTACCTCAGAGTTTCTGTGGAATTCAAAGAGCTTGTTTCTGAATAGACCTCAATATGGTTGCATTAATAGAATGCAGGCCTTTAAAAGTCTGCTAGGAAATAGGTCCTGTTGCTTCCATGTAATGGATTTTACTTTATGGTAAAGTGAAAAGTAAATTTCAGTGAGAAAAATCTTGAATGCTTGCAGTTCCCTATACCGTAATATAGAGTGGTCATTCTCTGTTTGCTCCTCTTTCTCAGACTTTCTGTCCTTTTTAGCATCCAGGTGGAGATAAGGTTCTGCTTGAACAAGCTGGTAGAGATGCCACAGAGAGCTTTGAAGATGTTGGCCATTCCATGGATGCTAAAGAAATGCTCAAGCAGTATCTCATAGGAGAGATCCATCCGGTAAAATTTAATTCATAAAATAAATTTGGGGCTCTTGTGATATTTGTGTTGAAAGGTTTTCTCCCTGGGGAGCAGCTCCTTTTCTGAGTCCCCGTGCCTCAGTGGCCCTGGGAGCCCTTCTTCCTTTGCTTGGCTTATCTGAGGTTTCCTGTTTAGCAGGCCAGGCCTTCTCCCCAGAATCTCTCCCTTGAGTTTCAAGCAGGTTATTCAAGTGAAGCCAGGCTTAGCTAGGAGAGATGGATGGTCTCACTCGCCGGGTTTGATGTCTTACCCACATCTCTCCAGAGGGATCCTGAAATAAATGGCTAAGCTGACGTGGATCAATCGAAATGGATATAAAAATGAAGGGAAGATACCTTTGGTCGTTTCCTTTATGAAAAGACGTTTCATTTTCTGGGTGGTATTTTCCCTTCAGGGCAGCAAAGGCCTTAACAGTGGTTTATCACCATAGATGAAAGGGGAGCAGTGATTTCAATTCAGTGTATTTTTTTAGATTTTCTATGCAGAATTGATGCTTCCAAGTATATATAGGTAGATTTATTATATCCAGACTTAATATTGCATTCATTTCCTGTATTTTACTTTTAAAATCATTCAGTTCTACCCAGCAGAATATTATTAGTTGCCACCAGGCTCCCTACTGACCCATCTATCAGCAGCCCGTACCCCTCTTCAGGGTCTTCGGTGGTTACCAGGGAAGTCAGTCATTCCTTCAGAGGAGGCAGAGGAGACGGTATTTCTCAGATGTGTAACAAGAGTCTCTCCCTTCTTTCCCCTTTTTCAACAGGATGATCGCAAACCTGATGCTTCCAAGGTAAGGCCAATTCTGGTAATATATTTTCCTTTTTATTCTAGCAGGGAAGCCTCCTTCAGTACTAAATTTAAATTTACCGACAAAGAATTAAAGGGAGACATCAAAGAATTAAAGGTAGCATCTTTATTTGTAAATTTAAATTTTACACAGAAATAGTTGGTCGCAGAAGCGACTGCCTGTGAAGACTCCTAGATTGGGGCTGAAAGGCAAAAGCAGAAGCAGTATGCTCCATCCCATATTTGGATAGACCAGGATACTCTGATAGACCTGTCTCACAGGAAAACACTCATCTTTCAGTACCTAAAAAGATGCTGTAAAAACAGAAACATGTTTTCAGCTGAGTGAGTTGTTTCATGTGGCAGAGGTAAGATGCTGTCCTGGGGGGGGGGGACTACCCTTGTACAGCTGGCCAGAATGCAGTGGCTTTGTCTCCAGCAGCACAGATCCTCCTGAGCACAAGGCTATTGATTCATGAGTTGTCAACCACTCCTCTTTTTTGCAGGCAGCATCTTTCTACCCTGCAAGGGATGCCGCTTGTCAGTCTTCCACCATGGAAGGAAAATTGTTTGAGTACTTGGGGACCTGCTTTGATTGGACCTGTGTCCAGAGGCAGCAGACTTCTGACTGCCAGCTCTTGGGGGCCTCCAAGAGAAAAGGACTTTATCTTTTTGTCCTTTATGGGCCTCCTGAGGGGATAGACGGATCCTTGGCTGAATAGGAGAAAGTCCTCTGGGGCAGAGATCCTTGGGTAAGGCACTTGGCATTTGCTGGAGGAGCCGGGACTTCCTGCTTCATCTTGACTGCTCTATCTTGCAGCAGAGGGAGTATGAGGAGGTCTTGTGGCGTACTGCGGTACAGTCATTGTGCTGCAGGATAGCCCTCTTGCTGGAGGTAGCTGAGGGGCCTCTTCCCTTTGGGTAGAGTGCCGTGTGGTGAGCAGAGTGCAGTCCTTTGCAGCAAGGGAATAAAAGCTTTCTGCAGCTTAGCTTGCAGCCCAGTTTGTAATTGTCCTATTTTGCCTCTCCCTCCCTGTCTTGTGTCAACAAAGGCTTATGATGAGCATGATGTCCCAGCTTATAGCTCACTGAACTTGTGCTGAGAGAGTCATCAAACTTTCAGATGCCGTGGGTGGCCTTGATTTCTCCCAAGGGGCCTGAGGTGAGGCCAGAGCTGAAAACAACTTTGTACAAGAGCCCCTCCCAGGAGTGATATTGGAGGCTGTAAACCTTTCTGTGGGCCTTTCTGTAGCTTATGATTCTGGGGGAGAACAGAGGCTTGGTGGCATTGCTCCTGCAAGGATAAACTCTCCCAGGCTGGAAGTTTAATGGGAAGAGAGGCACTGGGGTAAATATGCCTGCCTCATTATGGCTTGACAGCTTAAGTGGTGCCAGAAGTTTTGCAGGGTTTTTCCGCTTCTCTACCTGCTTTTTCAGAGGCACAGGAGGGGTTTACCTGCGGGGAGACCCTGGGCTGTGCGGGGAAACACAGCGCTATGATACTTGCCTCTGAGAAAAGGCTTCCAGGCCCTGTCAAAACCCTGCTGTGGGCTCTGCTCACTCCCTCAGATCAGGTCTGCTGCATTCAGGTGGCTGGAGAATGAACTGACCCGTTGGCTGTCTTTCTTTTTCCTCTTCTGCAAGGCTGTCCAGCTGCCCCGTTTCACAACCCTCACTTGTGACAACCATTTTGGTAACAGCCAGCAATTTCCCTAAACAAATCCTGTCTTCACTTTGGGATCCAGGTAGCAGCCATTCTGGATTCTTTGGAGACTCTTAGCCCAGGAAACCCTCTCTGAAGCCTATCCTTTGTGTGTGTTTTGTTTTCTTCTTTTGCCAGGCCTAATCGAAGGGCTGCTCTTGCGTGTTCCCTTCCTTCCTCCCTGCTTGCTCCCTTTCTGCGTGTTCAGCTAATGCCTGTTGAGTTTCAGGAACCAGTGACATTTACCAGCAGGGCCAGTTATACGATTCAGAGGGGGCGAATCCTGTCTTGGGCTTTTTGAGAAATGCTTTAGCTGAAACCAGGGAAAAAGTCCTGAGATTGGTCCTCCTGCAGTGGGAACAGGAACATAAAGAGGTTGAGATCCAAATAGATGCTTGCATCTGCCAGTCCTAGGGAGGGGGCTTATGGTATGATGAGGCAGCTTTAATTGGAAAAGGGGAGGCCAGAATTTAAAGGTTACCTTTGACATGACTGTAGCTGGCCAATCTTTTTGAGATCTCTTAGATGGGATTTGGTTGGAATTGAGGCTAACTTTGGGTTGATGGCCAGCTGGTTATGAGGTGGCCATATCCTGTCACGGGAAGCAAGGCATGGTAGCGATTCTGCTTTCTTTCCACCTGTCCTTCTGGACTAGCAACAAGGAATGGAACTGAAAGACAACATACTTCCAGTTCTGCCATTGATGTTTCTTCCCAGTAACACCTCCCAGGGAAATGTGGGGACAAGTCCTTTCTTCTGGGAGCAAGGCAGGAATCTCAGCTTGGCTTCAGCCAATTCCTGAATCTGCTGCCTTTCCAGGTGACCTGCCCTTCACAAGGGGACTGCCCACACGGCCAGCCTCTGAATGGCAGCCCTTCCCATCTTTTGCCTGGAAGCCAGTTCTCTCTTCCAGCTGATGCAGAGATCTCCTTGAACATCCTGCCACATCTCTTGGACTTGTCGGCTCCACTCTTGAACTGCCCTCCCAGTTTTCCTATGTGAAAACTACAGCATAAATCTTCCTGTTGCTGTGTCTTTGCTTCGTTGCCTCTGGGGAAGATGGCAGAGATGGCTGGGAAGTTGGAAGGGCTGCCTGCAGAATGCTCTGAAGTGGCTTTTCTCACCTTCTGAAAATGTTGGGTCCCACAAGCGCTGCCCAGGCTCTCTAGGGGAGCTGCCTTCCAGTTTGGGGAAAACCTGGGCCCAGAAAGAGTGTCCAAAGCAATGCCTATGGCTGCAAAGTGCCAAACCTCAGAGCAACCTGGTGTGCCAGGCCCAGGGGATAAAGGCAGGAGAAGGAAACAGGGCAGGAGATCAAAGAAACAATGGCTGTGTTTGCACAACTTGCTTAAATTGGTTAGCTAATTGGCTTGTTTTCTGACTGCCTCATATATGGAATCATAAAGTACAGACTTAGGCTTGGTTTGCAGCACACAGTAAAGCTCAGACTATAAAGGAGTTGGAGTGCTTTCTGCTCCAGTTTTGAGCAGCAGGATGCTTTTGTTGTGAAAACTGTTATCAAACCAATTTTGATACAAACCTAGGTTTTTCCCGGAGGCTTCTACGTTTACACTCTTTCTCCCCTCCTGTTCATGTCCATTATCTGTGATGAATAGCAGCCCAAAAATGTGTCTCTGACTTAATGGTCTTACTGCTCTTGCACTGGGATTATCTGTTGACGCAGAGAGTTTCTGTTTGTTCGGCTGGGGCCTTTTGGGCCAGTCATGTCAGAAGGTCTCCTGCGCCTTCCTTTCTGAAGCCAGTGAGCCTCCACCCCATCCAGCCATTCTGCTCCGATCAGCCTCTCCTCCTTCCCAAGGCCACGGTTTGGATTTCAGGACTGGCTCTTCTCTGGAAACGTCTCCTCTTTTCATGGGGCCTCATCTCCTGCTCCCACTCTTCCTACTGACCCGATAGTTTTTCCTAAAATGAAAGGCTGTTGACTCACAAGGCTCATATGCAGACTGTTGCTCATTCCTTTGTTCTTTTTCCCTAGCATTTATGGAGGTGGTGAGCAGAGTGACACGTCCTGATCCAAGCCACATAGCTTTTCAGGAAAACAGCCATTATTTGGGCTGAAAAGGAAAGGAGTTTTGTCTGAGCTGCCATTCTCCCATCCTGGGGTTTGCGTTGAAGGTCTCTCACGCTGTAACACCTCCCAAAAATAAATTCTTCCTAAAGTCTCTCTTGTGTTCCTTTGAAAAAACTGCCTGTTTTTGATTGGCACAGCCCCACTTCTACAGCTAAAAAAGGTCCTTTTTATTTTTCTGCAAATAACTGAAACGTAATTCACTGTATCATCTACACACAGGACAAACTGGAAACATTTCTTCTCCACTCAGGTCCACAGCAAATAAAGTAATGAGCTGTAGATACTAACAATTGATACAATTCTTGCATTGAGAAACGATATCTTGGGTCCTGCCTGCCCCTCCAACTTCTTCCCCATCCTGGGATATCCTTTGCATCATTCTGCTGCCCATCAAAGGGAAGGAGAGCGACTTCTCTCGCCATCTGCTTGCAACAGCTGGCAAGGACGGCAGCAGTACAGGTGGTTAGCTTCCTGTTTGGGTAACTTGCCTCCTGGCCAGACAGACATCTGATGTCTTTGTGCAAAGAGAAGATGTTCTCCTTTAGAAAGCCCCCCTTTGCCTGTTGGGGAGAGCGGTGGGACATGGTGATTACAGAATAAATAGGGAGGTGGACCAGGGGAGGGAAACTAAGACACTTCCTTCTCCCCAGGATGTGAGAAAAATGGGAAGAGTTATCTGGCTCTCTGAGCAATTATCAGCTTAACACAAGGATGTGCCTTTTATCTCCCCAGGTTCCAAGCCCATTCCGTGAGTCAAGGTACAGTATTCTGACAATATTGTAAATCAAAGAAATGCACTCCCTTTGGCTTTAAAAGCAGCCTCTGGAAATGTGTGTCCTCCTGTCTCAATTGGAAGACTTACAGGCATTGTGTAGCTAGTGAAATCTACCTCCCTGGTGGTGGCAAAGAGAAGAATCTTACAGCTGGCACTTACATTAGACCCTTACAATAAGTTTAATGCAAGTGTAAACATGTTTTACATTTCTGTGATAACTTTATCCTTAGCGATCCTTAACTGGTGGCCTTCATAATACTGTGCCATGAAATGGGAAATTCTGTAGCGAGTGTCAGTGTCAGTAACATGTGGCCACATCGATTGGCTGAACCATGCAGAAGAGACCATGTTGCCTCAGAATGTATTTGTGCTAAGAAACCGAGAGTTCCAGAAATGCAGCAGTTGCAACTGTGAAGAGGAACAGAAGTGCTGGGCTGGAGATGCCAGCCTTTTTGCTTATGATAATTATGCACAAAATGTTCCTGTATGCAGGGGCCGTGGGGGGCACTTTACCTCCAACATTCCATCTTGCATGTAATAGTCAGAAGTTCTGAAAGCAGGAATCATCTTTCTATTCATGGAAATGTGGCTCACCTTTTCTTTATTGCTTGTTCCTCAGCATCTGGACGGTCTGGCTGATCCCTATTCTGGGAGCCTTGGTTCTGGGCTTGATGTATCGTTACTACATAACGGATGGGAAATCCTCCTGACCCGAGTCTGCAGTTATCTGCACCCACGTCACTCCGTTGACAGCTGTAGATGTTTTTTTAACTTCTGATGGCTTCCAGATGTCTTTCACTTCTATCCATCAGTTTAGTGCCTCTGCTACCTGCAAAGCCAACCAACGATCTAGGAAAACCACCATCTTTGCTGTAAACTCCAGGATCTGTCATTCCACTGTGATGTGCTTTTTCAGGCATCGGCTACAAGTCATTTTTATTTAACTGGTTCTGATGTTGTAGAGTGGCAGTCTCCACCTTTGTCAATTTATCCTATCAAGCACTATTAGCAGCTGGTAGGCAGCCACGTTCCCTGCAAAAAATTATCCCACCAGCATCTGCCAACAGGGCTTGCTTGGGAGGATTTTCTGTAAGCTTCTCTTGTACTTGGATTTCCAACTGTTAATTCACTGTATTTTTAATTATGTTTCGGTTTACTTACTGGTAGTCCTGTTTCATTGTATGCCTTCTGAATTGGCCTGTTCTGTAATAAAAGTTTCTCTAGACCAGCCAGATTAATTTCCTTGACGTGCCCAGCTGAGCAGGTGGTTTTTCTGCTGTTGGTGTATTGTTTGGGGGGGGGGGAAGAGAGAGAGAGAGCTCTTGGCTTCTCCATCAATGTAAGATTAGAGCCCTGAGCTCAGGACAGCAGAAGCAGGGCAGGGCTTGAGCCAGATTCCAGCTAGGCCAGCCCAAAGCACCAAGCCCAGCTGCGGTTGGGGCCCTGTGAGTTCTATGCCAGCCTCATTAGGCCTTGTCTGGCTCAGCTGGAATCTTGGCAGAAGGACCAGGTTGGTGACAGATAATTACAGAGAACATCTCTGTGGCTGCTAAGAGTAGATACTGAGTTGATGGCACATAAAGAGGTCAAAAAATACAGCAATTTGCAGTATGTTTTGTGAAAAGAAGGTCTTTCTCTTGTGAGGGGAACACTTCCCACAAAAAGCATGGAATGCTTGCTGAAGCACCACTGAGCTGCACCTGTGAGTTCTTCGGCCCTGAGCTGAAACCAGCCCTTCTGTAAGTTAAGTACTGACAAGGCGGCTGGCCATTTTGAACAAACGTTTTCGGCATCTTCTCTGGCTTCTAGCCAGGTTGTCTGGTCTCGGTAGGTTAGGAGTTTACTGGATTCAAGTTGTCTTTCCTGAGCCCCTGGCTCTGGATTGTTTTGCAATGATTCCAGCTTCTTTGAAACTGGCTTTCTAACAGCCAAACCCGTCAGTCATACATACATGAGAGCCTGAAGGATTTGGTAATGTCAGTGCAAAAAAATGCACCCAACCGCCAGATTGGCCCTAGGGGTGATGGTGAGGTCCTGCTCAGAGGCTGCATCTGCTCTTGTGGCTTTGTTGAAATCGGCTGATAAGAAAACAAGACCCATGCATGTATATCTCTTTCCCTAAATCCAGGGTTCAAATCTTGTCTTGGAAGCTGATCCCACTGGAATAAGGGTTATGGGAAACAGGCAGCGGCTGTCTGCTTCTGAGAAAAGAATGGGCTTCAGCAGGCTTATCTGTCTGGAGAAAAGCCACACAGAGCAAAACCTGCTGAGACATAAGCCTCCCCCAGAAGGGTGCCGTGTAAGCTTCCTCAGCAGACCCCTGCTCTTGGCACTCTTAATAATCAGATATGGGGCCGAGCTGGTTGGTTGAGAGTCAAAATATAGAGCAATAGGAGTCCATTAAGCAAGTGGGTTTGGCAGCAATTCAGTAGCAGATCCATTCTCTCCTTGCCAGCTGATTCCTGAGCTCTGCATGGGTCTTCAGTGCCCTCTACCAAGCCTGAGGCTGGATGCTCTGGCTTTGACTGAGTGGCTTTCGGAAGAGGGCTGCCAAACCCTCCCACTTTCTGGACAGTCCTCTCACCTCCATAGACGTCTGCACTTGTGTCTCTTTCCCTCCTTCCCCCCACCCCACCCCCTCCACCAGCAGACCCCAGGAAGGAACATCATTTTGGGTACCTCCAGGTGCAATTGCTGGCATCTGCTGTTGGGTAGGGAAAGATCAAACTGGAGACTGGAGAAGTACCTTCTCTTCCTCAAATGCTGAGCAGCTATGGCCAATGAACTCTTGACTGACCTCCATAGTGGAACAACCTGGGGTCTCCCATGATTTTGCACTGGTCAGTCCTTGCACAAGAAGAGATTCAAAGCAAAGGAGCCATGCAGCACTTGGGGTGCAGTTTGGATGGCCCCTTCTCAGAGCCACAGACTTGGCTGATCTCTGAAAACTAAGATGAACCAGGATGGGAAATTTATTTACTTACCTTATTTATTGATTGATGCAATTTATAGGCTGCCTGTCTTACCTCCAGGTAACCCTGTAAGAAATCTCCAGGAAAGGCTGCAGGCTAGATGAGAAAGTGCAAATCAGGCAAAGCCAAACCTCAAGTTGAGGTGAATTAATTTAGTCAGGAGCAGGAAGGGAATGCGAGAAGAACAGGGACCAAGAGGAGGCAACCCACTGAGCTCAGCAGCGAAATTAAGCTGACCATCTGAGTGGCTTTGATGAGGCTCATAGAAAGGCTTTTGGCACTCCTGATTCCTGGGAACCCTAGTCCTGGATCTGTGCCAAAGGAAGTTCTGAGCAAAAGGTTGTCGTTTTTAGTGCCATGGGGAAAGCTGGTAGACCCCTACCTGGAGGGACCCCTCCAGGTAGGGGTCCCCCAGCTTTCCCTGTGGCACTAAAAACGACAGGGACCCCTACCTGGAGGCTTAATCTTGCCCCTTCAGGTACTTAGAAGTAAACCCTCCTGCAAGGGAAAGTGAGAAGAACCCCACAAGGAGGAAGACTGTGTCAAAGGCCTAACACTGTTCAGAGCGGTTCTTTCGGGGCAAGGCCCAAAGTGGCATGCAACCCTCTGCACTGTTCAGCTGGAGGTGATGGGGCCTCTGGTGTTTTGTTTTGGATTCCCCCTCTCCCCACCCCAGCACTGGTCTAACAGGTGTAAAGCTGTTGTGGGAAACAAGGATGTTTACTCAGAAGTGAGTCCAGCTGTATGGAGTATGGCCTCTTGTGCACCAGTGTCCCAAGTGTCCAGGCCTTTAGTTCTTCTGGGTAGATCTGCATACCTGCCCTGAGGGATTTACAGAATAAGCCAAAAAAGCCTAAGTAGGATCCACCTCCAGACCTTCCATGCTTTCCGACCTGCCTGCTGAGGAGCAAGAGATTCCTCCCCCCACCCCAACCCTCCCCCTGTCTTCACGCCTTCTCTAACCACTTCTTGAAGGCTCCCTTATCTACACGCTTGCATTCCGCCTGGAAGGGTTTTAAACAGTGATTTGAACAATTTTAATGGGTAGATTTCTGTAACCCAAACAAACCCATTGTAATGGATACTGGAGGGTCTCTCGGTCTAATGCAAGCCCTGCTTTTAAGGCCGGCTTGGTCAGCCGAGATGAGCAGGCCGGTGGACGAAGTCTTGCAGAGTTTGGCTCCCCCGGCCGGGGTTTGGGCGGAGAGCCGAGCGGTCAGACCGCCTCTTTCTCCGCTGGGAAAAGGCAGACGCCAAGCAAGGCCCGGGGAGGGGGCGGCTGAAACACCGGGCCGGGCGCTCTGGGGGTGAGGCTGGCTGGGGCTCTCCGCCACGGAGCAACGGGCCAGCTTGGAAGCCGCACGCCCAGCCGGGGGAGGGCTCCGCGCACCGTATCCGAGGGCAAAGCTGCCCGCTCGGCTCCTGCCCCGCGCCGGCCGGGACGCGGCGACGCGCCCGGCAGGCGCGGCTCCGGCCCAGGCCGGCCGCCCTCGAGGGAGCAGGGGTGGCGGGGTCCCCGGCCCGGCAGGCGGGGGAGGGGCCAGTTTACTTCCGCCCCCTGGCCGTCCGCTTGCGCCGCGCCGACTGGCCGCCGATGCCGGCTTCGCGGGCGGCGCCATAAATAGCGGGGCTCGGGCAGGCTCGGCCAGTGGCTGGTCGGGCAGAGGCTGCGCGCTGTTGCTGTTCGGCGTCGAGGAGAGCCCGAGCCCGAGCCCGACGGGGCACCAGCCGACCCCCCCAGCCGAGCAGGCTCAGCGCGCCGGCAGCGCCAGCCATGCATTCCACCTTGGCCTCCGAGAGCGCCCTGGGCGCGGGGCCGCTGCACGCCTGGCCGTGGGGCGCCGTCGGAGGGAGCGCGATGTCTGCCGTCGGCCCGGGTAAGACCGCGCCTTCGCCGCGACGCTCGACTCGGGGGAGGAGGGGGCGCCGCCGCCGCGGCTGGCGGGGCCGTGTCCCCTGGCGCTCCAGCGGGGGGGGGGTCCTCGGGAGCCCCGCGGCGCCTGGCGGTCTGGGCGCTGGGACAGCGGAGTCGGTCGGGGAGGCGGCGGGGAATCTGCCTCGCGCGAAAGGAGCGCGGGAAGAAGGCGCCCAGCCGGAGAGCGGAGTCCCCCGACGGCTTCGCTCCCGAACTAGACCGCCGCCAGCCGTCGCCCCGGGGCGCTGCAGAGCAGCAGCGCAACGGGGTTGGGGTTGGGGGTGCTCAGCCCATCTTCCTCCGCCCGCAGAAGGGGCTGCCTCCCCCAAAACATGCCCCCCCGCCGCCGTTCGTTGCTGGCAGAAAAGGAGGCTGATTACTGGGGCCAAATTCCTCGAATTCGGGGACAGGGCAACCTTCAGCTTTGCTGGGTCTCGGTGTCAGCTGGGCTCTGCCTTGGAGGGAGGTAGAAGAGAATTCCTGGCTCAGGGTTGAACTGGGGAGGGGGGGGGGTCCTCGGAGCTCTCTGAGCTTGGCTATTTTCTTGCAGATGTTTCGGTACCAAACTAGGTGACATCATCGTTAGAGGAAGATTTTAGGCACTTGTGTTTAAATTAGATCCTTTGATTCCAGTGCAAAGATAAATAATTCATGGAGGAAGGGGCCTAATCTTTCACCTCGTTCCTTATGGGCTCCTTTTACAAGCCTTGGGAAATCAAAGGTGCTCCTTATGGGTGGGAAGAAAGGCTCCATTACCTGGTTACATACAATTCAATATTGCTCAGTACCAACAATTCAAGGGCAAATTTATATATATATATATATTTTGGTCTTGGTTGGGCAAAATTAAGTGACTTTTGCACCTGGGAGGCTTTGGTGCTGTGATGGAACACCCCATAGGAAACCAGATTTTCCTAATGGGTATTTTTACTTTCTTTTTGGATTGTGCTAAATGTCATTTATTTAAATATTCCCTCTGTGACATAGTAGCAAAATGAGAAACTGATCTTAAAGATAAATTTAAGAAATAATTAAAACCATGCTGTCTTATTATATGATACTGGAATATATTCAGCCAAATCAAGACTCTCCATGTGAAGTAGAGACCAGCTGCCCTCCTCTCTTCAGTAGGTTATTTGCATCAATCAGTTGTTTTTTTTTCTTAAATAAAGGCCATGTCCCCATCTTGTGTGTGTATTTATACTCAATATGAATTATTTAAAAGTGGCAATGGAATTGACAATATATTTATTTATTGTAGGATTTAAACAATAGGATGATGGTGAGGTTGCTCTTCATAATGCTTCTGCCTCCTGTTTTCCCTGCCATGCCCAATGAGCT